TTGTCAAGACATTTACACCACCACACAGCGCTGCTGGGACCTCCCCGGACAGCAAGTCTCTGCAGGCATTGTGAAGGGCTACGGTGGACGAAGAGCAAGCGGTATCAAAGGTCAACGATGGGCCCGTCCATCCAAAGTAATGCGAGACCCGACCGGGAATAAAACTTCGGAGCTCCCCCGTCGTTGTGAAGGCGCTAGGTGGATGGCAGTGGACATTGGAATCGTACTCGTAGGAGCAGAGCCCGACGTAGACCCCAACGTGCTTCTTCCTTTCCTGCTCAGCAGCACTTGTCATAGCCAGCTCATTGAAATATCCAGACTGTTCCAGAGCTTGATAGGCGGCCTCTAGGGAAAGCCGGCCTTGGGGGTCTATTGCCATAGACTCGCGCGGGCTCTTCTTGAAGAACTTGTGGTCGAAAGCATCTGGGTCGCGCAAAAAATTTCCATACCACTTCCGGTTGGGGTCCTTGTCGCGAAACATCATGTTGGGCGTAATCCGGTCGTCGGTGATGAGCTGGTGCTGCGACTTTCCGGTCTTGAGCATCTGCTGGAACTCTTCCAGGTCGTTGGCTCCTGCAACCTTGAGCGACATGCCCACCACTGCAATTGCATTTTCGTCTGCTTCTAGACGCGGCGGGTCTACGACTTGCACTGATTCAGTATCATGGACATGCTCTTTTCCCTCGTCGTGTGGTCGGTGCTTGGGCACATCGACCTCCTTATAGTCAAGCTTAGCACCAAAGGCACGCACCACCGGGGGAGGCAGGGGTCGGTCAAGCCCAAATTCAACGCGTGAGAGCTCCTCCTTGTTCAGCGCCAACTTGGAAGCGGTTGTGGTCCAGTTCAGCTGCTTCACCAGCATAGAGCGCAGGACCATCCCAACCAAGCCCGTTTCTTGACCCGAGACTTGGTTGATGGGCAGTGCGAGCTGGGCAGCATCGGGATACTGCAGCTCGGGCATCGAGTGGCACATTTCGATCACGGCTTCGGTGAGGCGTTCGCGCTCTGCCGTCGGGGAGTGAAGCTGCCCCTTGAAAGCGAGCTGAATGGCCGTGACTCCAGCTGCTCGGAGCTGCCGGGCCAGCTTGGGTGCTAGGCGCTCTGATACTGTCACCGTAGCTCGGGCGTCGTCGAGGATTACAGATATATAGGCATCGGGAGACAGCTTCGAGACGATGCGCGCCAGATCATCGCCCTGCTTGCGGGTTCTCCAGGCTGTGGCCAACGAGACCGACCTGCCTTTGCCCATCGCTTTGGTCCACTCCTCGGTGGCACCTACAAGGACTGCCATCAGGGCCGCGATGCGCAAGGCCACGGCGCCGTATTTTTCGAATTCTTGTCGAGTATGGGAGCTGGCAATGGCGACGGCGGCGATCATGCCAGCACAGAACCCAACTGCCTCGACCTTGTCCTCCTTGATCAGCTTTGCCTGTAGGTCGTTGACAGCTCTGTCAGCGAGTCGACTCTCCAGATAGCGCCAATACTGATCCAGCTGAATGGCAACCATCAAAATCCCGAGCCATAAATCTGGGAGCTCCGCGTCTGGAGCGAGCGAGTCGACCGAGTCAGAACCGTTTCGAAACCACGATTCAAGGTCGGCCAGCAAGCGAGGGCCCTGCATCGCGCTGGCCACTTCCGGGATCTTCTCCGTCACGGCCTCCCAGTACCGTGGCATGCCGGCCAGGGTATCGAGGATCCATCCTCCATTTGGGCCGTTGGCGATCTTCCGGACTTCTTTTTTCAGTGAGTTCTTGGTCTGTGGGCCGATGTGTCCTCCAAAGATGAAGCTTGTTGCTTGACGAGTGTTTGATGAAGGCTCCATATTGCTTAATGTTGAGAGTGTAGGACCCGCTATACTAGTCTTAAGGAAAGAAAATAATAAATGGTATGTATTTGGTTGTAGAGAAAAGGACCAGTTCATTTCTTGTTATAAATACAGTGTAAATACTTAGAGCGCTATGCACGCAATATCTTTCGCGCAGAAGGAAGCTGACACTCGATCCGGGACAAAATATCAGCGAACTCAGCCCCCAACAAGCTTATCGCCAGCCTCAGTACATCGATGCTAAATGCTGTACATGCTAGGCCGGGGGTGAACGTTCAAGGCAGATGATATGGTGACAAGCCTGTCAAGCACGTGGAAACGGCACTAATCTACCTTGATGCGGTGTCACTCCCTACTCCGCTGCATATCTGCCATGGATTTTGAATTGGTCCGAGGGTGCATACAGGACTCCGCGTGGAGGGGCATCGGACCACATCGCAAAAGGGGAATCCAAAGTCCGGACTCAGCCTCCCGGGTCACACCACACACATGGACGTGGATATATATACATTTATCCAATATGCCATTCCCATTTCCCTTCTCCACCAAACGCTTCATCAATTGAAATCGTTACTACCAACATGGGAAGCATTGCACCCCCCTTCAAGTGGCCGTGGTCGGCGGCGGCATCATCGGCGTCATGACAGCAATCGGCCTGCGTCGCCGGGGCATCAACGCAATCATCTACGAGCGAGCCTCGACCTGGCACGAGGTCAGTGCCGGGTTTGCATTCACCGGCGCAGCGCGAGAATGGATGGAGATGATCGATCCAGCTCTTGTCGAGCTCCTGGGCAGCATGAGCGGCAAATCTGACTCCAGCACGAGCAACGCCTACTGGAACGGTTTCCACCCTCGGACAAACGAGGAAGCTGAAGATGCGTCCAAGTCACTGCTCTTCCGGACGCCCACCAACAACCTCAGCTTCTGGGGCTGCGTAAGATCGCAGTTCCTCAAGGGGATGGCGGCCATGCTGCCTCAAGAAGCGACGATCTTTGGGAAGCAGCTCGCGGGCTACGACGAGGTCAACGACAAAGTTATTCTCCACTTCGACGACGGCAGCACCGCCGAGGCCGATGTTCTGCTCGGCTGTGATGGCATACATTCAGTCACCCGGAAAGTCATGCTAGCGGGTGAGAGCCAGGCAGGCTTCAGTCACACGGTCACCTACCGCACCATGGTCCCCATCGATGTGGGCATCAAAGCCCTCGGCCAGAAGGTTGCGAAGAACGCCTGCAATCATCTTGGGCCAAATGCGGACCTGCTCTGCTATCCAGTCATGAACATGACTCTGCTCAACATCGCCGTCTTTGCTTACGAGGACTCGGAGTTTCCTGACCCCGATAGGATGACGGTCGAAGTGGACCGCAGCGAGATTGCAAAGGTGTTCCAGGGTTTCAGCCCGCAGGTTGCTGACATCTGGAAACTTTATCCCGAGAAGGTCGTCAAGTGGGGAATCTTTGACCTGGAAGACAACCCTCCCTCGACATACGCCCGCGGTCGAGCCTGTCTCGTCGGTGACGCTGCACACGCCAGTACCCCGTATATGGGAGTAGGGGCCTGCACCGGTGTTGAGGACGCCCTTGTCATTTGTACACTGCTGGAGTCAGTGCAGCAGAAGGCCCTTGCCGGTGAAGAGCTGAAGGAGGCGTTGGGAGAGGCGCTCCAGACGTACAGTGGAGCAAGGTTGGAGCGAGGCCGGTGGATCCATCATCACTCGCGTCAGATGGGCCAGATGTACCACTGGAGGTACGGACCGACAGGCCGTGATCCACAGCGGATGAAGCAGAAGCTTGAGGAGAACTGGGGGAACGTGGTGACTTATGATGTGCTGGAGCCTCTCCAGCCGGAACTGCGTGCGTTGGCGAGGAGTCACCGAAAATCACTGTAGATACTCTGATAATTTGTTTTTGAATCGATTTTGTGTGTCTTTTAATCTTGTGCCCGTGAACTTGATAGATTTCCTCCTGATTGTAGATTCTCCTACGACCCAAGCCAGACATTGCTCAAGAGAACTTTTACTCAATCATCAAAGCACAACCCTACTGACTGGAAGATATTGAGACACCGGTGAGAGCAAGGTAATACTTTGACATTGTCGAGTACCATAACGACTATCTAATCCTACCTATTCACTGCTCGGGGGCTTCATGATGGAACTATCGCCAGTAGACCAAATGTGAGTCGACTTCATCGTCTTCAGCTTCCAAAGGTCGTCCACTTTGACAGCATCGCAGGCGTAGAATGCACCGGTGGTGAACTTAGTCGAGTCTGGCTCGTAGCCCTTGCCCAGGATGCAGTGCACTGCCTGAGCGTTGAAGGTGACCCGGGCAGTGGTTTCGGTGTCGACGCTGACACGGACGTTGGAGAGATAGTGGACGGTGTCAACGCGCTCGGCAACATTAATCCACACCTTGTTTTTTAACTCCTCGTAGCCGTCGCACGCTTTGAAGGCGATGTCGGTGTAAATGTCGGGCGTCGCGCTGGACTCGAGAAGCTCCTCGCTGGCATGGTCGATGGAGGCGAAGGCGCGGTAGCAGGCGTCGGCGATGGCCTCGCGGTCGCTGAGAGGGGGGCCAGGCAGTTTGGCAGGGAGCGGGGTTCCATTTCGAACCATGATGTCTGTAGAGATGATTGTCTATAGAGATGATTGTCTATAGAGACGATTGTCTGTAGGGGTGATTGACGTCGAGGATGAAGGTAAGTTTGTGGGCTGATGTCGATGCTACAACACACATGCACCCTTTAATATATAGACTGAGTATACAACAGCATAAACAAGATCTTATTTCCGTGGCTCAGCCCGACGTGAGATGTCGCTTGAAGTTTGTCGCGTGCCGGACAAAAAATGTAGCGTTGATGGGCTGTAACTATTTTGAGCCCCGACACGGCCCCCAAGCAGGTCCTTGGGGCTCGGGATTAGGGATTAGGGATTGCCCGCACCATTCTTACGGTAAGAATGTAGTTGATATTTGTGATAAGCCTCGGTGAATCAATTGATTCGTACGGGCTGGTAAAGGCGTATATATATGCATATAGATATCTCCATAATAACAGGATACTTGGACTTTAGGAATACTTTGCCATACTTTTGCTGCTCACTGCTACATACCTACCCTCTTTGTAAACTAAATAATATTCAAGCCCCGACGACCATCCACTCTACTTCTACATCGAAATGGACACCGAGGGCGAGTGGGCCAGTGAGCCGATTGCCATCATCGGCATGAGCTGCAAGTTTTCCGGCGGTGCCAGCAATCCAGACAAGCTCTGGGACCTTATGGCATCAGGCGAGACCGGCTGGAGTGAGATTCCAGAGGATCGGTATAACCTCAAAGGAGTCTATCACGCAAACCACGAAAGAACCAGCACGGTAATGCCCCTCTCTGCATGACCAACCTAGAGGTTTTTACTGACAAGCCCAGACACATGTCAAAGGGGGCCACTTTCTGGACGAGGATGTAGCAGCCTTTGACGCAGCCTTCTTCAACTACTCAGCGGAGATGGCCCAGGTGGTCGACCCTCAATTCCGGCTGCAGCTCGAATCCGCCTATGAAGCGCTTGAAAACGGTCTGCTCTCGTTGCTTTCGAGTCATATTGACATTAACTAACTAATTGACAGCCGGCCTGCCCCTGTCCCGGGTAATGGGGTCTCAGACGTCCGTCTTCGCTGGCGTCTTCGCCCACGACTACCAGGAGGGAATCATCCGAGACGAAGATAGACTGCCACGATTCAACGTAGTCGGCACATGGAGCCCCATGTCATCCAACCGCATCTCGCACTTTTTCGACTTCCGGGGCGCCAGCATGACTCTAGAAACCGGCTGTTCGACGACATTGGTGGCTCTCCACCAGGCGGTCCAGACCTTGCGCAACCGTGAGGCCGACATGTCCATGGTGACTGGCGCCAACGTGATGCTGAATCCGGACACATTCAAGGCCATCGGGTCGCTGGGGATGCTGTCGCCTGACGGGAGATCATACTCGTTTGATTCCCGTGCCAATGGGTATGGCCGCGGAGAGGGCGTGGCTACCATCATCATCAAGCGACTGTCGGATGCGCTGGCTGCCAATGACCCCATTCGTGCAGTGATCCGTGAGACAGCATTGAACCAAGATGGCAAAACGGACACAATTACAACCCCATCTGGTGCAGCGCAGGTAGATCTCATGCGGGAATGCTACAGCCGTGCTGGCCTTGACCCTCGCGGCACCCAATATTTCGAGGCTCATGGCACAGGGACGCCCACTGGTGACCCAATTGAAGCGCAAGCTATGGCCACTATCTTCAGCGGAGGCCAAGGCCGCGACGAGAAGGACCACTATCTGCGCATTGGCTCCGTAAAGACCAACGTGGGCCATACCGAGGCCGTGTCGGGTCTTGCTGCCATGATCAAAGGTGTCTTGTGCCTCGAGAAGGGGTTGATTCCGCCTACTGTCAACTATGAAACGCCTAACCCCAAGCTCAAGCTGGACGAGTGGCGACTCAAAGTGGTGAGGACGATAGAGCAATGGCCTGACAGTCTGATCGATGGCCCTCGTCGCATGTCAATCAACAACTTTGGCTACGGCGGTGCCAATGCTCATGTCATTTTGGAGAACGCCGACCCCTGGACCTTGAATTCAGGTTTGGATTTTGAACTTGTCAATGGCAAGGGCTTGAAAGGCAATGGGGATGCCTCGGACGATGTCTCGGATGCCAAAGTGCTCATCCTCAGTGCGCGCGACGAACGAGGCTGCCAGCAAATTGTTTCCGACCTCAAGGACTATCTGGAAAAGCACAAGTCGCTTGACCACAAGGCCTCTGAGCAGCTGCTGCAGAATCTTAGCTACACCTTGGGCGAGCGTCGGACCCTCTTCCAGTGGGTTGCAGCGCACCAGGTCCGTCTTGATAACGGGACTTTCGACTCTGCGATCCAAGCCCTTGAATCACCTCGTTTCAAGCCAACCCGTCGAGCTTCTGAGAGCCCACGCATTGGCATGATCTTCACCGGCCAGGGCGCGCAGTGGTATGCCATGGGTCGTGAGCTACTGACCTTGTACCCTGTCTTCCGCCGGTCCATTGAGGAGGCTGAGACGTACCTAAACGCCCTCGGGGCTGACTGGTCACTGCTCGAGGAGCTAAAGCGTGACAAGAAGACATCAAAAGTCCACGAAACAAAGATCAGCATTCCCATTTGTGTAGCGCTGCAGATTGCTCTGGTCCGTCTGCTTGAATCTTGGGGCATCACGGCATCAGGAGTCGCCAGCCACTCATCAGGTGAGATTTCAGCGGCTTTTGCTGTGGGAGCCCTCACACATCGTCAGGCCATAGCTACAGCCTACTTCCGCGCCATTCTTGTAGCAGACGAGACACAGCGTGCCCCGGGATCTGCCAAAGGTGCTATGGCGGCAGTCGGGTTGGGTGTTGACGCGGTGCAGCCTTACATCGACAGGCTGACCAAGGGCAAAGCTGTGGTTGCATGTGTCAACAGCCCTCAGAGTGTCACCATCTCTGGTGATGAAGACGCCGTTGACGAGATTGCCGAATTGTGCAAGCAGGACGACGTGTTTGCTCGTCGTCTCAAGGTCCAACAGGCATACCACTCACACCATATGGACCCCTTTGCTGATGCTTACCGGGAGCGTCTTCGAATCGAGATGGCCCGGAGTGTAGTCAAAGGTGACAAGCAGGAGCTCAAGGCGGTTTTCTCATCCGCAGTCACTGGCGGGCGCATCACCGACATCAAGGAGATTGCCAGCCCCGATCACTGGGTCGGTAGTCTGGTGCAGCCGGTAGAGTTCGTTGACGCATTAACTGAGATGGTTCTCGGGGATCCTGATGACCCGACAGGCAGAAGCGTTGATGTTCTTCTCGAGGTCGGCCCTCATACAGCCCTGGGAGGACCGATCCGCGAGATCTTGTCACTGCCCGAGTTTGAAGGCATTGAGCTTCCATACTGGGGCTGTCTCGTACGCGACGAGCATGCAGGCGACAGTATGCGTTCCGCCGCTATCAACCTGTTCCGCGAAGGACAATCCCTTGCCATGGACCAGATCAACTTCCCCATGCCTACATATGACGACGAGGGCCCCCAGGTCTTGACAGACCTTCCATCGTATCCCTGGAACCACACGATGCGCCATTGGCAAGAGTCCAGAGTCAACCGTGCCATTCGCGAGCGCAGCCAGCCTCCACACGAACTACTCGGCATGCCCGTCGCTGGCAATGACCCCAACGCGTCCGTATGGCGCAGGGTATTGCGTGTTACCGAAACCCCGTGGCTGCGCGATCATATGGTCCAAGGCAGTATTGTTTACCCAGGCGCCGGCTATATTTGCCTTGCAATCGAGGCCGCTAGGCAATTGACTGATCAGGGCAAGACAATCTCAGGACTTCGCCTGCGTGACATCAACTTCTTGTTTGCCCTTGTTATTCCGGACAACGCGGATGGCGTGGAGATCCGAACCACGCTCCAGTCTGTCCCTGAGCGTGAGATCGGGGCTCAAGGCTGGTGGCGCTTTGAGGTCTCGTCAGTCACATTGGAGAACCGGTGGACACTGCACGCTACGGGCATGGTTAGCATAGAGGAGTCAGCTGTCCTGGAGACTGAACGTCGTCGTCCATTGTCGACTTATACCCGCCAGCCAAGCCCCCAGGACTTGTTTGCCAATCTCAGGGCACGCAGCGTCTATCACGGTCCTCTCTTCCAAAACACCAACCAGATCATCCAGGATGGCCGAGAGCCGCGATCCATATGCGACATCACGATCCGCCACGAAGCTTCGTCTGATACAGACCCGGAGGTGGCAGCACAGAACAGCCTGTTACACCCAATCACCCTCGATGCTGTCGTTGTGGCCTTTTATTCCGCCCTCCCCAGTGTCGGAGCGCTACAGGAAGAGCCCAAGCTCCCGCGGTCTGTCGGATCGATGTGGATATCCAGCAACATCAGCCACCAGATCGGCCACACGCTGCGGTGCGACACATCCCTACTTCATGACGACCCCCAACGCGGGAGGGCAAACATTACAGTGTTCGACGGCAAGACGGAAGACGCAGTGCTCAGGATGCAGGGCGTCGAGCTGGCGTCGCTGGGGAGGGGCAGCTCAGCCAGCACCTCGATGGAGGAGGTGTGCAGCAAGCTTGTCTGGGGGCCTGACCTTTCGCTTCAAAACCCGCTGGCTTTCGAACAGATTAAGAAGCACCTGGCATCTACAAACTCGGATCAGGAGACAGATGTGGTCAGGAACCTACAGCGCTTGTGCATTGCTTATGCCTCTGATGCCCTACGCGAGCTGACTCCGGGGGATGTGGCTGGACTGCAGGAACAGCCACATTTGGCCAAATACTACGCATTGCTACGTGGATTGGTCAATCAAACTACCGAGGAGCTTGGGAAGGCTCAGCTGTCCATGGAGAGCGTTGATGAGCAGGTGGTCTGCCGTCTCGGACCTCTCCTCCCATCTATCCTTCGTGGTGACAGCGTGGAAGAAGTCAGTTGCTTAATGGATGAATACAACGCCAACTCAATGCGTCAGTCATCATCTCTCAGACAGCTCTCTGCTCTGCTACAAACTATTGCACACAAGAGCCCAGGTGCTCGCGTCCTCCAAATTGGGAGCGGTACTGGTTCCCTCGCCACACGTCGCATACTGGAGACCCTTGACGCGAACTTGGTGGCCAGCTGGCACATCACTGAGCCATTGTCAGAATCATTGGAGGATGCGCGTGTTCAGCTTGCCGACTGGGCGGAATTGCTCCAGTTCGACCAACTTGATATTGAGCAGAGTCCATCCAAGCAAAAATTTACCTCAGAGAGCTACGACGTTGTTATATCCTTGCATGCTCTACACGCTATCAAGAGCCCGGCCAGTGCGCTGGGAAATGTACGCACTCTGCTGAAGCCAGGGGGCACGCTGCTCTTTGTGGAGATGACTAAGAATCAGGTTGATGCGGATTTCGTTTTTGCTTTACTTCCAGGCTGGTTGCAGGACAAGAGTCCAGTGTCGTCCTGGGATACCGTGCTTCAAGATGCGGGCTTCAGTGGTGTCGACCTTGAGATTCATGACTCGGAGAGCGATATCCATACCAACAGCGTCATCATGTCCACTCTGCCTACTGAGGACCAGAAAGCCGACCTGAGCAATGTTAAAGACAGCTTTGCAGTCGTTTCTAGCATCAAGACACCTCCATCACCCGCCATTGTCGATCAGTTGTGCCAGCGCATTCAGGCCTTGACCGGTACCGCCACGGCGCACCTCGTGTTGGAAAAGAGCAGCGGCGACGCATACAAGGACAAGATCTGTGTGTTTATCGGCGAGCTTGACCGGCCCATTATGGCGGACCTCGACGGAGTACGCATGGAAGGCCTCCGCGCAATGGTCACGCAGTGCAGCGGTCTACTCTGGGTCACGACTGGTGGGACTGTTAAGAGTGAGGCCCCCGAACGGGCTGTGCACCAGGGCTTTTTGCGTGTGCTGCGCAACGAATACATCAGCCGCCGCTTCATCTCCGTGGACCTTGACCCTGCTCATGCAGATGCAGATACAGATGCAGCCAGATGGTCTTCTGGTGCAAACCTCGCCGTGTCGGCCATCATGCAGGTCCTCGAGGAGGGATTCGGGCATGGCAGCACTCAAACCGGTCCAGCCGAGTTCGAGTACGCCGAGCGAGACGGTGTCTTACATATTCCCCGCTACTACAAAGACGAGCAATACAACAGCATGGTCACTTGCCCGCTTGTGCCGAGCTGGAGTGATAAGGACGAGAGCAGCATTCCCTTAGAGCGCCTCTTCCAGGACCGACAACTCCGGTTGCAAGTCGGCATCCCAGGACACCTGGACACGCTCGCTTTTGTTGACAACGAGGAAACCCTTGGGGACCTATCGCCAGAACTTGTGGAGATCACCCCTCGAGCTCACGGGGCTTGCTCCCGCGATGTCATGGCTGCTATGGGCCAGCTCAAGGATCAATCCATGGGCTTCGAATGTGCCGGTATCATTGCGCGACTTGGTCCTGAGGCTCAGGCCAAGGGCTACAGAGTTGGTGACCGTGTCTTGGCCCTTTCGACCGGCGCATCTTTCGCCAGCAATGTCCGCGTCCCATGGCATGGGGTCATCCAGATGCCAAAGGACATGGACTTTGTTAGCGCTGCATCGCTTCCCCTGGCTTTTACAGTTGCTTACTTTGGTCTCGTCAGGAGCGCAAGCCTGACAGCTGGGCAGTCAGTCCTCATCCATGCTGCAGCCGGGGCCATCGGACAGGCCGCAATCATGCTGGCCAAGCACCTGGGCGTCACAGAGATCTACGCTACAGTCGGCTCCACTGAGAAGCGAGACCTTCTCGAGCGTGAATACGGCATCTCTTCTGAGCGCATCTTCACCAGCCGCGACGCATCCTTTGCCCCGGCTATTCTGGCTGCTACCAAGGGACGCGGTGTGGACCTCGTGCTCAGCTCACTTTCTGGTCCGCTACTTCAGGAAAGTCTCAGCACAGTTGCACCTCTCGGTTATTTGATGCATATCGGCAAGGCAGACATCGAGGGCAACAGCCTGATGGCACTCGAGTCTTTCTCTCGCGGCATCTCTTTCATATCAATGGACGTCCCAACCCTCTTGCAGCGCAGAGGACCCGATGTGCACCGTGCGCTTGTTGAGATCGCCAGCCTGGTCGAACAGCAGGTGGTGAAGCCGGTTCAACCTGTTACCGTTTACCCCATGCAGGATGTCCAGGCGGCTTTCCGCTTCGTTCAGACAGGCGACCAGATGGGTAAAGTTGTTCTTTCAGCTGGATCGGACGAACAGGTTTACGTGGTCCCCCGACCAAAGGGCTTAACAGCTCGAACTCAACTACGACCCGATGCATCGTACCTCATCGTGGGAGGCGTTGGGGGTATCGGGCGCTCAGTCGCACACTGGCTGGTGGCTCACGGTGCACAGCACCTGATCCTGCTTTCTCGCAGTGCTGGCAATCTCGATCTCGACCGGAATAAGAATAGTGATGGGGCACTCTTCATCAACGAACTGCGTCATATGGGCTGTCGAGTCAAGCCCGTCAGCTGCGACATCTCGCTCCCAAGCTCACTGACCGTGGCTCTCAGGGCCTGCGAAGACGACGGCTTCCCTCCAGTGCGCGGCGTCATCCAGGGCGCCATGCTACTGCGCGACGCCATCTTCGAGCAGATGACACTCGAAGACTGGCGCAGTGGCCTGAGTCCCAAGCTGTACGGCACCTGGAACCTACACACCGAGTTTTCGCGACCGGACTCTCTCGACTTCTTCGTTATGCTGTCCTCTGTCTCGGGCGTCGCAGGCATTGCATCGCAAAGCAACTACGCAGCCGGTGGCTCCTACGAAGACGCCATGGCTCGCTGGCGCCAATCTCAGGGCCTGCCCGGCGTGGCCATTGACCTAGGTCCTATTTCTGACATTGGCTACGTTTCTACAGACGCCAGAGTCGCCGAGCGCCTGCGCAAAGATGGTGAATTCGCCATGCTTGACGAGAAAATTGTTCTCGGTGCCCTCAACGCTGCGGTTCTACATCCACTGGGCCGGTCTCAAATCATCGTCGGTCTTACCTCCTCCCCGGGTCCTCACTGGGACCCCAACGGTCGCTCCCAGCTCGGCCGTGATGCGCGCTATGCAACGCTGCGACCGCATACTAAGGCCTCGGCACGACAGGACGGTGAAAACACCAGTGCCTCGCTTGCCACGCAGCTCGCAGAGGCCAGCGGCCCGCAGGAAGGGGCGGGGCTCATCGGAGCGGCTATTGCGGAGAAGCTTGCGGACATCTTCATGACTCCCATAGCGGAGATTGATATCAGCAAGCCGCCGGCCCACTTTGGGGTCGACTCGCTAATTGCGGTGGAGCTGAGGAACATGCTTGCATTACAGGCGTCGGCAGATATTTCCATCTTCAATATCTTACAGGCGGCCAGTCTGGATGCGTTGGCTGGGTTGGTGGCGGAGAAGAGCAGACATTTCCAGGCTTAGTCGAGGTACCTAGCCTCTGAATCAGATTGTGATATATATCAATAGACCGTTAGACCTCTTACACCAATAGAAGCCTCCTTTTCCAAAAGCTACCATGCCGCCCGGATGGGAACTTGAAACACCCTATGAAACACGGTATTTCATGAAATACCGTTTTTCACCTTTTGCTTGGGTATTTCATTTTTTGCTTAAAAATTTCATTAGTATTTTATAAAACATAGTATTTAGAATAATGTCCATGTTAGTACGGTTAGACTAGCTTGCTTTATTGTATGGGAATAGGGAGTGGATGACTGGTCTTTTGAATACATGGATGTTGTTATTATATATATCGTAGAAGATATGGCCTTTTAAGGCTTATAAGTATATCAAATCACTAAATTATTTGATAAAATTCGGTATTTCGAGCTGAAATATAGTATTTAACTGAGCATAGGTATTTCAAATCACTCAAGTATCTCACGAATTACCGTATCCTACTTTAGCTACGGCATTCCATCCTAGGATACGGTATTTCACTTTCTTATACTGCCGGCATGGTACACTTCTACCAGGCGTTCGTTGCACTTATACTTCGGACTGATTTTATTATCCGATCCCGACTAGGCAGATGTCCTCGCCCATGTCGTCATCTTGCAAGAAATTAAATTGTCAAGGGGGCCAAACTAGCCCGATTCCTCTTGACGCTGATGTGGGGGTGGTCCGAAGAGTCCCTCGTATAACCTAACCTAGCGCTGCCAGAGTAATGGAGTACAAGGCAATTCTGGGCTCTATGGCTTAATACGGAAAATGCAGCGCTTAGCCTTGGTTCTCAGCTTTTGGCCGTGAACACGAGGACCTGAGGATCTGAAGATACTCGACAGATTTTAGATCAGAGACTAATGCACGCCTGCTGATGTCCTGCCACGCGGGCAGTGTGATACAGCTGTCAGCCACCAACAACAAAAATGGCCTATGAATCACCCCTACTTGATGGACAATGGACTTCAAACGGCTCTGATTGCTCTTCTATATATCTAAAATCTAAACAGGGATCAAGTAGCTGCCATCACCAAAACTCCAAAACTTTAAACACCGTCCAAGCTAAGTCGCGATCATGCCTTCGTGAATATTTATATACATATATACATCGAGAAATTAAGTAAACCCACACCACGTGTCGCCCTGGGGCTTTAAGAGCTGAAGAAAGTTCTGTGCAAGCTTGTTGAGGCCCATCGAGGCTTGCAACATTGTTAAGATGCTGGGCATAAGCTTGATATAGGCGTCGTTTAGCTCGGGGTGTGATTGTGAGAATCGGGCGCCCAGGAGGAGTAGGATGGGGGTCAAAGGGTGCATCTGCTATTTTCAGCAATCAGCTTACACTTTTATCACACTTGATTGGCGTACCTGGAAGTGTTGACTAAGTACAGCCACCAGCAGAGAGATATCGGTCACGGCATCTAGGGCCTGTTGTTGGTGTTCTGCATGGAGGGCTTGAACAAGCTGCGTTCCTTCCGCGCCGGTCCCTAATGGCTTGGATTCAATCAGGTCGTAGAGTAAAAGCACATCGATTTGTGCCGCCAGGGCAACAAAGGCGATGATGGGGTCCGGGTACTCCAGTGATGCGTAGACTCGCAGCGTCCTAATCCGTTGCGCCAGGAGTGCATTAAGAGCTCGATGTCGACTACAGAACTCTTCGCACGGTCTGGTCGGGGCGTTCTGCTTATGCTGGAGGACTCGTCCGCACATGGTGGCCCCGATGACACACTCTGTAAAGGGCGACAGGTTATTGTGTGGCCACTCGACGCTGACCTCCGGGACCACGTCCGCAAGGAAACTCATGTCCGTCGGGCGATTGCTAGCAAAGTTTGCCTCAGGAGCCGGCAGGCGTGTTCGTATCTAGATTGAGTAAATTTCTGTTCTTTTTTTTTTTTTCACAAAGGACTCAAGACTGACCAGCCGCTCGTCAAAGAACATGTGTAGCCCATCCACCATACTCGTAAAGCGGTCAATTAGATATGCAAACCAAAAGGTCCGTCTCTTCGTTTCGATATCAACCCAGTCCTCCTGGCCCGGAGTGAGTTGCCTTTGATACTGGTCTAGCTGCATGGTGTGAGGTGTTCGAGGCAAGTCGAGCTCGTATAGTCTCATCATCTGAATCAAGCGAAAAGCTCTGCCGGCGGACATCATGCCTCGGTGAAAGTCCTGGCAGGTCAACTCGTAGATCGAAAGCAAGGCCCAGGCCTGGGTTTGTTCTAGAGAGATTTGGTGGCAGGGCTCCTCTGCTTCGAGTTCGTGCAGAAGCTGCCTCGTTTTCTCGTATAACTTGCAACCTTGAACATGGAACTGGCTGGAAAGTGATGAGGCCAACGTCCACATAGCGTACTGCAGGCATGTCCTCTGTTTGCTCTTGTTTGGTTGTTTAGACCATGATCGGTAACGGTGGGTATGGATGACTGGCGCAAACGCATACGCCCGGTCGAAATACAGCTGGTCTCTACGCCATATTAGCACTGTCCATATTAGCACTGTTGTCAGACGATGGTAAGACGTACAGGTCATTGTGCATCATGGGAGAGATCAAGAGACCGGATTCCATTGGGATTTGGACCAAATCTGGCAGACTTTCCACTAAGGGCAATTGAAGGAGCTCGCTCGTGTATGAACCGTCGAAACATCCCCAGGGTTCCACCATGGGGAATGGGAATTCTACCGGTGCTGCCTGCAACTGCAGGATATCTGTTGTTTCGGGCGTTGTGGTTTGGTTTTCATTGTTGTCTGTGCTGCTGTCGTTGTCTACGGTCTGGCAGGTTGGTGCTGGAGATGTCCCTTGTTTTTCTAGCTGGCTCTCGAGCTCCTCTATCCTTTTCTGCAGCGTCTTGAGATATCCTTTCTTGGGCCCTCGAAGGGGGCAGCTGTCTCGCACTATGCATTCCACACCGGATGTAACACACGCTGTGCATTGAGGTCGTATCCTATCGCAGCGAATTCTTCGTCGTCGACATTCTTCGCACTGCGTTCAAAGTGTCAGTATCAAACTCGCTGAATGGGCGACGAAGCCTACTGCAATTCCCGGCTGTTGTCGCTGTTGGCCCGGCATGGCTGTTGAAATCGGTCTGTGGAGTATGCAATCGGTCTTCCTCTTTTAGGGCCGGGGAGAGTCTGGGTATATGTATTGACCCAGGGTTACATCTAAGGTATTGAAGTATGGGTCATGCTGCAATATGTAGATATAAGTACAGTTCGAAGGGAGCCTTATTCTCTGAAGGACAAAGTGAGACACGTCAGCCCATCACCATGGGCTGCGAACTAGTGCTCAGTCGACTTCACCAGACCCGCTTCGAGTGCGTAGTATGAAGCGCAGGATACGGCCTTTCCAGGACTCTTGGCCAGTGGAGCTTGGTATGGCTTAGTCCTTGATCCTTTGCCTTAGCCGACAACAGTGGATTATTTTGTTGTTAGTTTCTGCCCCTGGTCTTACTCTCTTAGCTCTTATGGCTTACTCTAGTTTGGCCCCCTTTGTCTAATCTCGTCTCGTATGCTTACCTTCCTTTGGCCCCTTTACGCTGGTCTGACTTGATTGAGGCATTTTTGGCATTGGTCCACTCCTCGTGTTGCCAACTCTAACAAAGGGTGTGTATAGCCTTGCGAACATTGATATGATTTACCTCCCGTTCCTGATCGCCCACTGGCTAGCTATTAGGCGGGACCCGCAGGTGGCACTATTCTCGGAACCTTTTAAGGCTGCCCAGGTTGACAAGCAGCCCAATAATATCATAGACTTGTATCCATGAACCAAGGGGGGCGCATGGTCCGGCCCTCATTGTCTAGAAGCTTCTTTTCACATTGGGGGCGGTTTCTGCCCGTCCAATGAGGACGGGAGGATTAGATGTAACGTCAATTAAGACATGCATGCGGCTGGCGGAACCCGCTATTGCGGAAGGGCGGAGCCGAGGCTATCTCAGTGGTATTCGGGCTAGAAGTTAATCGGTGGGACGAGGATCCGGAGGATTAGTTGACACGGCGAGCGGGGCGCCACAAACGGCTCCCATTGCACCGCCTGTCTCCGCCATCTCCTTGCCCCTTCAACTTGAACACCATTTCTTCCTTGCTATGCGGGTAATAAGTCGTCCCTCCCTTTGAACGACAAAAATGCACCCTGACCGAAAGTCTTTACCCACCCGCGTTTTTACCCCATCATTCTCAAACATATATATCTACATAACTCTATATTACTGCACCACTAGTTATCCTATTCACTTCTAATAATTTAGGTTTGAACCCTGGGCCACCCTCGGTTAATATTCCAACTTAGATCCGGTGGGTGCGGAGGCCAGTCCTTGACGTATGAACTGTGAGTTTCGAACCACTTTTATGTCAGCTTCGTTATATAGATTCGCGCGTTATCTTAACCGGGTTAATAGTCTCGAACTAAACCTTCTTCGAGGGCAGTAATATACGACATTGCAGAATATTCACGCTTTATCGACGGCTCGCTAAGCTTCTCTCGATTAGGATTTTAAGTTTTATACGATATTGACGAATGCTTATGCCTTTAAAGTAGTTAAAATAATAGTCCGACGTAGATATCCGGGTACGATAGTACTTAGGTTTTTATAGGTATAGAAAGGATTCCGGCGGGCTTACAAATATATGAATTTACGAGTTCGATCACTATGGTTCCGAGGGCGCCCGGAGCGAGGCCTCGATTCGACGGTCTGGTGCTACTAAAAGCGTTAGATCGTGTTATATGGTTCCGCGAGTATGCCCGAAATCATGTGCTAATTTGGTTTAAGTAGTATACCTATATAAAATGCATAAATGATACTAGACCTCTGGTCTAGGGATAACTCACCACTTCTCTTCCGGGAAGGCCCATTGGCTTCTTTTAATAAAGCCATGGGGAGGTGTAAGAAGAGAAAAAACAAAAGGGTGTTTGAAGGGGTGATTTGTGAAGTGGGGCAGTGGGTAAAGACTTTCAGACCCCTAGTATAGCCGCGTAAACAGCATACGCAGACTCCTTGCCTTCGCTCTTGGTAGAAAGGATAAATTTATGCCAGGAGAGGGTAGGCTCTAACAATGGACGATTACCAGACACTCGTCGTGGCTCAATTCTTCAAGCCACTGCCAGATGTCTCCCAGATATCGTGTCACCAGTTCGTCTTGAACCATATTGCCTCGATCATCTTTCCCAGCGCTACCGGCAAGGTAGACGTTCAGCCCAGCTCTTTCCAGGGAAGCATGAGCTATACCGCTATATTACATACTCACTCCACGTACGTCGATCATCGCATTGCCGTCCAGTTCCGAAGCGACAAGCAAGACCTCTTTGGAGTCATAGAAGCTGGCAGTATTCATGGACCCATTGTACCCTTGGTAACATACCAGGGCATGTACGAAGGGCTGTTTGTGTATACATCTCCTTTTGCAGAAGGGACACCGTATATCAGTGTCTTGATGTCTTCTAGGACTATGAACTGCCGCTCCAGAAGAAGATGGTGACTGTCCTAGACCTTGCAGACCTCGTTTCTCGGGGAGCTAGAACAAACAATGCTACATCCGACACTTCTATATCCGACACTTCTATATCCGACCTTACTTCCACTCTTGATGATATCTGTCATCAGGTTGATAACTACATCTTCCGAACACAACTCTCAGAAACAGCATTTTTGCTTGCATCAGCAAACTCCTACCACGGTTACGCGATCTCGCCGCCCTCCCCGTCACCTTACCCATCAGGATCTCACCCCATTCAATTACCTTATCGACGACTCCACGGGCCGGGTTCAAGCTGTACTAGACTGGGATGGTGCTCTATACCTCCCAGTTGGGTCAAATTTCTATTTTGTGGAGAGTGTTTTCGGGTTCATGACCCTAAGTGGTTGGCAAGACACTGAGGATCGTCAGGAACTCGAGGGGGCGTTTTACGACCGGGCTCTGGCTAGTCTTGCTTCCCAGGGAGTTGGGGTAGTAACGAAAGAGCAACTGGAGTCGCAGAAGGCGATTGGGATGTTGCTGTACGGTGTTGAGCGGCTTCTCAAGTTCAAAGACAAACGAGCCGAGCACTATCTAGATGGATATCTACGGGGGTTATCTGTCATGATGTATTGGCCTAGTATCTGGACGAGACCTGCATGCGTGGGAGTTAGACTTTATTCGAAGAGATATTAAGAGCCATGACAGCTTCCTAGGGAATAGGAAAATAACAAGGAATAATTGCCCCAGACCTGCCGCACAATGATTTACTTTTCTAGCCAGGCTGATAAGAGTAAAAATTAAGTGAGGGTTAAACAAAGTGGTGTTTCCTCATATATATTCTTTATTTAGGTCTCTTAGGGCTATGTGCTGTTCAGGTGTCCTTCCGACGACCAGATTATTCCAACACGCGTCGCAGGATCTTGCCCCTATGCGCCCTGGGCGTATGTCAATCTATCATACGGATCGTAACTACTTCCAATAGAAAGTTTGGTTATCTTGAGTCATACTGTTTTTCAAAGGTAAGTCACCCCCACACCCTATATTTTCTTTCAAATGAGTTTGAGTCGGCTGAAAGCGGATTGGAAAGTCCTGGATCGGGCCGGTCAACGCAATTAGATGCTAGACTGGAGAAGAGATAAGCGTGGGCCGAGATTGTTATCGCGGGGAGAATGTACTGCCAAGACAAATTAAGCACGCTAAGCATGGCTTTAATGTGCCGCTCCCGAGTACGCCACGGTTAGTTATTTTTTTTTTTAAATTGGAAAAATCCCCGGGGCTGAACAGGAGCGCTCATAGTGTGATTCGCTACTTCCCAATATCTATGATACGTCCTGATTTCTCGCGGTGCTAAACTGGTCAAATTCTTTTTTCCCTCGTCGCCTCGCGTTACGATTACGGCCTGCTTACCATGACTCAACCTCTCGACGAAGAAAAAGGAGCCGGCTCACCCCCGGTCATCCACCCGTTGTCCACTGAGGCAGAGTCTCCGCCCAGATCATTGAATGTCGTCGGTCGTCTGAATGACCGCCTCACGTCACTGAAGCTGTTCGAGTCGCGCGGCATTGAACGTGTTCCCCTCGATGAGCGTCATGTTGTGACAGCCGCCGATTACTTGCAAATGACATTGTTGTGGTTCAGCACAAACATCACAGCTAATAACATGGCAATTGGCATGTTAGGTCCGCTGGGCTTTTCACTGGGCTTCGTTGACTCCGCTTTGTGCGCGACCTTTGGGGCGCTGCTTGGAGCTGCGGGCGTTGGTTACATGGGAACCTTCGGTCCTGCCAGTGGTAACCGGACTATGGTATGTCTATCAGCTTATCATTCAAAGGATTTTGATTGATTATTGATATAGGTTATCGCGCGATACTTTATGGGTTACTATCCCAGCAAAATTGCATGTCTGCTGAACATCGTCATTATGCTCGGGTACGGGATGATCGATTGCCTGGTTGGCGGGCAGGTTTTGTCTGCTGTTGCTGGTGGCCGTTTGACGGTTGCGGTCGGCATCGTGATCATCGCGCTCCTAACATGGATAGTGGTCATTTTTGGTATGGGACTATTCCATATTTACGAAAGGTAACTTGTGTCCATACAAACTCGACACCACTGAGAATGCTGACATGAACAACAGATGGGCTTGGATTCCTCAGCTCATAGCTGCATTTGTTCTCGTGGGCAGCGCGGGTTCGAAATTCGACACTTCAATCGTCTCAGCCGGCTCAGCAACGACCATTGCCGGAAACCGCCTTTCCTTCTTTTCATTATGTCTATCTGCTTCTGTGGCATGGGCTCCGGCGGGTGCTGATTTCTTTGTCTACTTCCCACCCACCACTTCCAAGTGGAAGACGTTCTTGATGACTTTCCTCGGCGTTGGGTTGGCTCTCACCTTTGCTAACCTGCTCGGTGTGGGTCTCGCTTCGGGAACAACCACCCATCCATCTTGGGCCAGTGCCTATAACACCTCATCCGGAGCCCTGGTTGTCGCCGGATTCGATGGTCTAGGCGGCTTTGGAAAATTCCTCAGCGTGCTTGTCGCGCTAGGTCTTGTTGCCAACAATATCCCCGGTACCTATGCAGCATCGCTTGGATTCCAAATTATGGGTCGCTATCTCGCGCAGATGCCACGTTGGTTCTGGTCTTGTGTCGGTGTTGTCATATATACGGCTTGTGCACTTGGTGGAAGGAACCATCTATATGAAATCTTCGACAACTGGCTGTCGTTGATGGGGTACTGGGTCACTATCTATCTGATGATTGCAGTGGAAGAGCATGTCTTTTTCCGTCGAACTAGGGGATTCAACTGGGATTTGTGGGCAGATCCCTCCAAATTGCCAATGGGTATCGCGGCACTGGCAGCTTTCTTGATTGGATGGGCAGGCGCGATTGTCTCTATGGATCAGGTTTGGTATGTTGGACCTATTGCAAAAATGGTGGGTGCCCATGGGTCAGATCTAGGTATCTGGGTTGGTATGTCGTGGGCAATGCTGGTATTCCCGCCGCTGCGATGGTGGGAGTTGAGAACCTTCCATCGTTGATTCAGCAAAGTAAAATACCTTATACAACATATCCCAAGACTGCTTTTCTTCTTTTGTACGTTGTATCTTGAAAAGTCTAAGAAAAGGCCATTAGGGTCGGGGGTCGGAATAACTTGTGTCTGGTATGAAATAGTACCCTGGGTGAGGGAGCAACGGTTGGAACGAGCGACCACCCACCAGCAGTTGGCGCAGGCACGGCGGGCGCCAGGCTGACGGTTGACAGTTCAGAAAGGGCCTTCAGGCAGTGCCGACATTTGACGAGGCATATTTCTCCAATTAGAAAGATGAAGACCGATCCGTCTCTGTGAACGGCGCTACCAATCTCGATACTCAGGTTCAAATCGTTCCAGCTAAGTCTGTCTCGCAAAACCTATTCACGGCGAGGGGGCTGCCAGTAGAAGATCTGGATAAAGGGGGAAACAATGTCGTCCCCGCGACAAGCAAGCAGCTTAGGAAGAGTGCGCGCAACGGCGGCCCACTCTCTTGGGTGGAATTCTTGATTTCCCCGGCGAGGGGCGGGGACAACGATCCAGTTGCTCCCTGAATCATTATTATGACTCCTCTAGTAGTGGAGAAAGAGAAGTATCTTGCTCGCTCATCTTTGATATGTTGTAAAGAAGTGGAGGGTAAGAGGATCAAAGAGGAACAGAGAGAGGAGAAGAAGATGAGAAGGTAGAGCTGGACTTTTATACTCCCGGAGGGCAGGTATATGTCCCATTTAGGAAAACTTTTCATTGCCACACACTTCAATCGCTACATATATACAACTTCGGGGCTCTAGAATCTCAAGCACCGAGTGCTCATTCAGACGCTTAATAATGCTACCTCAATAAATTATTCTTTTACGAACTTCACTTATTGATGGAAATACCTTTTATGAAATATATTCCCCTACACCGGTGTAAGGAGATGCTGAATCGTTCTGACTGCGCTAGACAGTAGTTAGGATATGCTTACTTTCCTGAATCTCTGTGGACCAAACGTTATTCCAAATATAAAAAGCACTCTATGACTCTCCTTGCTGTTCTTGCTGTTCTTGCTTGCGGGCAAACGACTATGGCCTTATTGCTAGACCAACGCGGTGCTGAAGAAAGAGGACAATGTCTTCTTCTCATCATCACTCGATATCAATCTCCTAATCTTTCAAATAATCTCCATGTAAAATCCATCCCTAGGCCTATGGAGAGGAGATTGGACATCTTTTTGCCCAGAAGTGCAGAGGCTTTAGGATCCTCTGCGGCATGATCTAAAAACACAGGGATCTGAATGTGGCTCAATTCGAATCGTGACCGGCTATCTGGCGAGAGCTGTCCATCATATTCCATTAGGGGGAGTGCTAAGATGTCCCGAATATGATTGGTTGCTTGGATGCACAATGGTGCCTCTTGTTCGTCTTTCTTGAAAAGATCAAAGTCATCATTCTCATCGATATATTGGGCGAACGAGTCATATTCCCTGGAACCCGCCTCGGAATAAAAATCTACTTCTAGGTGTTCACCACTGGAATCACTTTCACTGCTCAGATCATGGTCAGAGTCGTCCGAGCCAGATTCCTCCGATTCATGTTCTGGTTGAGATTGATGGTAGGTATCCCCAACAGAGGACAAATCCTCATTACACTTAGGAATCTGCCGCAGCTTTTCTTCAAATGGCAAGCATCCGCTTGTACCAACGAAGGCCCCAAATGCTTTTCCTTTGGTGTGACCGGCACAGCCACCCGAAGGAGTGAAAATTACACAACCAATAGGCCCGGGTTCTCCCCTGCGGCTACCCCTCCCCGAGTTGTTTGATATTTGAATTACGAGGGTGGCAATATCGTTTTTTCTCTGACATTTTTCTTTTGCTTCACTCTCATATTATATTGTATAAAGAGGACAAATTGATCTGCCCGCTTGCATTAATATGTTTAGTCACAGTATACATACTTGAAATTATCTCGATAATGTCCTCATGGTTACATAACGCTCTAATCGAGTCACCAGCAGCGAATCATCTCCCTTCCCACCCCAATCACACCTTATTATCGCGTATCATAGCCTACGAACGAGGCGAGGCAGTATAGAGCTCCGCAGGCTTTGGACGATAATCCCTCAACTCGCTTACAGGGTAACTATTGTGGTCCGGGAACACTTTCCGGGCTGAATGGTTCGAAGGAATAGGCTGGGCTGTCGGAACGACTGCCAGTTTTCTCTTCCTCCTTTCCCAAAAAGCCCATCCAATAGCAATAAGAGCAATAACGGCGAGAGGAGCACCAACTCCTGCACCGATTGCAATTTCCCGGGACTGATTGCCGCTGTTATTGTTGCTGGTGGCAGCGGTAGAGGTAGTGGCAGCGGTAGAGGTAGTGGCAGTGGTAGAGGTAGTGGTAGCAGCAGCACTGTCGGTACCATTGGCAATGAAGGAAGAGGTATTGTTGGTTATTTCCTCAAAATTGGATAGAACTGCGACACCGGGAACAATGATTCCGTCGGTGATTGAAAAGCTGGTTCCATTTGCACCCTCGATGTCGCTACAGATCTTCTCCGGAGAGATTGGATCAACAAGGACCGAGTTGCAACAATACCTCGCGCTCTGTCCATCGCCATCGAGCCATACAACAGCTGCGCCGGCACCTCTTTGTGCGTTGACTGATAACAAATGTTAGCATAATGTACAAAGGTCATTTTAGATGAAATTCAGATGTACCACATATCTCTGAGCACCGGCTGCTTCTCCAGGTGCTGTCGGTACAGCCGCCACGAGACAGCGTGAAAGGTTGATTCATTGATAAGCACAAGCCATTACTGAGACAGATAGAAGACTTTCCGCAACAATGAGAGAAATTTCCATCGGTGTAACACGGGGTATCTGTGCTTTTCACTCCGTTGGGATAATAGCATTGGTCGACGGCGAACACTGCAGTAAAGAGACCCAAGAACGTGAGCTGAAGGATGAAAACCCTGGAAAGAGAGTAGGATCCCATATCGACGCAATGAAATTGGGAAAGTTTGCTTCAACAGAACAATAACAGTGTCTTTGTTTAGACACCCGTTCAAACCCGGCTGAAGGATCTTGAAAGCAGAGGACGGCAAAGGAAAACATGGGCCTTAGCATGGGTTTTATTTTTGCGAGATTATGAGCAACATCCTTCTGAGCGTAGGGTATCTAGCCTGGTTTGAGAACCCTGCTAACCCCTGTCAAATTACATTACGACACGCCTCCAGGGCTCCTCACAGCCGCGCTCCAAGACATGGTCGCCTTTGACTTGAGTATCATCAGCCTCAAATATGAACCATCACCCATCATGCAGTGGATTTTCTAATGCGACATTTATAACAATTGAGAATATGGTTCATAGTAGTAATAAAGTCATCCAAAATTATCTCGCGCTGTTAAATTACTAGTCCGAAATATATCGGCGTACGTGTTTCGATTGAGCGGGAGCAAGGTGTCCAAAGCGAACTGGCGGGCGTTACAGATGGAAAGGGGATTTGCTGTAAAAAAAATGTGGGAGAATAATTACTCATTACCAGCCATACAGAACTAGGATTGTCACATGAGAGGGGATTTGCAGTAACCATTGAGAGATGGGATCTAGCCGCCTGGAGAGGGACACGTCTCCACTGATCGGAGCTGCAATTTTATCATTGAACCACTGATGATTCGCAGGACAGAAATACGATCCACTTAGCTACACTTCCGACCGCCCCGATATTCAGTCCATTGTCCTAAATAGAGCAATGGAATCTTTTTGGCCCCCGTTTCTCTCAAAACAGCCCCACTAGCCTACCGCACGCTACTGCACACACACCATTGGCCCTATTTCATTCCCTGCTCGTTATAGTATGGTAACTAGTGTAGTACATGCACCTATAGGGGGTAATTAGTGCCAAAAAAAACCGAGTCAACAGTCACTAGAACGATGCCAGGATCGGATTAAAAAAGAAGAAACGAGACGGAGAATAAGTATTGACGTACAAATATTAAAAAGCATACGCGTGACTGCTTGATTAAAAGTGAAGCTCAATAAACATATCCCGTCGTTCGCTTCGGGCGGGCCGAAAACTCAGCTGTGCAGGGTCCGCTCGTGCTTTTCGTAAGACATTACAAACGGTCTCGCCTGACCCACTATGCGGCATCGGGTTGGTCCTCGACCCTACCTTAGCGCTCGCGCAGACCATGCTAGCCTCCGTTATTAATTGCTACTTTACTAGGGTCAAGGGTCTTCGGCGTCTCGCCTCGGCGCGGCGCAGCAAGCCTGACTCGACGCTCAATACTTTTTGTGGACCTATCTTGGCATTCGCCCCCACTGAATTCTTTGCTATCTGGACACACGATGGAAAGCTCGTCCTTCTTCAGATTATCAGGGGCATTGTATAATCTGTTCATTCCACCTTATCTACCTTGCTGAATTCTTTCACTAGCTTCCTTTGTTAAGTTCTCTCACTAGTATTCTTTGATGCTCTGACCCAGATACAGATCGCAGCCTGGCTACACCAGCGAGATGATGAGACACTCGAACATTCAACTCTCTTCATTATCTAATCTTGTTCGTCACTATCGACGGGGATTATATCCAGCTCTGTTAGCCATACTATGTTTATTGATTTTTGGAAGTGTGCTCAATCGAAGGCAAGGCTATCTGCAGTATTTTTCTTCTGGTTCATCGCCTGACCTAGAACAATCAAGATCTACTGTTATACGGCCTGGAGAACTATCAAGCAGCGGGTCGCGAGAACTACGACCACTAGATGATCAAACGCCATTTGCTCATGAGCCGATCGGGCTTGGAACTCTACGTGATGTCCGGTGTGTGGCGGGCCTAGTTGGTTTCCAGTCTATGTCTATGTTAACGCATGATCAATAGGGAGGAAAAGTTCTATCGCGGCGGGACTTTGTCACTTTCAAATGGAAGTGGTCATCCTAACCCCCCAACAGCCGTAGTCTATGATCCTTATCCCGACTACAACAGCGACCAGTGGCGAAAGGAGTTTACCGGCAATTTTATTGCTTGTGACGGCCCACGAGGAAGGCCATTAAGTCGCTCAAATATTCAAGATATGGTCTCCGTCTATCCAGGAGTTCCTCCAGGTATTCCGATCTCACCCACAGTGGCGCGACATCTTTAACCTATGAGATAGGCTTTCCCTTGCCCTTGCTTGGATCGTATACGGAAACAGGTATTGATGCATATACTTGTAACAATCGCTTCTCTCGACTGGGCGTGTATGGCTACAGTGACGATAATCCTCCACTCATCGATTTACATGAAACCAACTGGGGAGCACTTCAGTTACAATGCGTTGAAAAAAATGCTGCAAGATACTCGAGAAGGCAGACTGACTCGCCTCCGATCAAATCCACTCTTCCAGTCCACCCTCCTCTTTCTTCAAAGAAGCTCCCTCGCGATCGACTGGGCTCTGCTTCTCGTAACTTGAAGCACAAATCAAGATCGGCTGTCATCCTACGTGCGTGGCATGACATGGAATGGACCGAGAACCTCAAGCAGTTTGTGCGATCTCTTATCATGGAGCTGTCGTTACATTCCGGCGGTGAGTATGAGGTCTTCATCTTGTGTCATGTCAAAGACAAGGATATCCCAGTCTATACAGACGATAATGAGGTCATGAAATCCCTCAAGTCTCGCTTTGTGCCACGCGAGTTTCTGGACATGACAGTGCTCTTCAACGATCAAACCTTGAAGACTTGGTATCCCAAAGTCGATGAACACAGGTTCGCTAGCTCCGAGGTTCCTCACTGATCAATTAATAGTATATCGTCTAACATATCTAACAGCACCAATTATCAGTACTGGCAACCGGTTCAGATATTCTCACAATCGTTTCAGGGATTTGAATACTACTGGCAATTGGAAATGGATGCCAGATTTACGGGGCACAGCTATCATTTCCTTGAACAGTCCGTGAACTTTGCAAAGAGGCAACCGCGGAAATATCTTTGGGAGCGCAACGCTTACTTCTACATTCCGGGGACACATGGGAGCTGGCAGGATTTTGTTCGGACGGTTGATTCCTCCATGAAGGGCCGAAGTAGTGTTTGGGGGCCCCAAGGCATCTCAGAAATAACGCCAGTAGGCCCTAAGCCGGCTGTGTCATTCCCTGAAGACGACAATTACGAATGGGGTGTAGGGGAAGAAGCAGATCTCATCACCTTCATGCCAATCTTCGACCCCGTTGACACAAAGTGGGTATTCTCAAACAACCTCTGGGGCGTCTCAGAAAATGCGCCACGCCGGGCATCCCCCGTTGCAATGGGGCGCATATCAAAGTCTCTGGCGCAACAAATGCATGATGTGGAAACCGAACGAGGGATAGGACTTGTTTCTGAGATGACGGCTCCTTCGCTTGCCCTCTGGCATGGGCTCAAAGCCGTCCATGTGCCACATCCTATCTACGCTGACGGGAAATGGACAGCCAAGGAGCTTGGGCGCATCTTAAACCCTGGTGAGCCCCACAAAATCAATGGGGGAAGCGATAGTATTTGGAACTGGGATCACCGATGGGACCACATCCTCTACCGATTGACCTATATGTTCTCTACCCAAACCGCAGAAGACCTTTATCGGAGATGGCTGGGCTACCCAATTGACCCAAATCAATTTACCGACGGCAGTTATGTGAGATGATACACCTGCCTGAGACCTGTTGCTGAACTAATATCGCTTCGCTTATAGCACCAGGATCCACAGGGTCGAAATTGGTTCGAGAGCGGCGACTTGGTTAGTATTATCATTGTCCCCCGTTGAGGCGATATCATTTGGGCTGACTTGGTCTTTCTTCATTAGCGAGAGGACTTATACGGACCACTCTGCTTTCCATCTATGTTACTACATACCGTCAAGAACACCGCTGAGAAGAAAGGCAGCGGCATGGCAGTTCCTGTTTGACTTCATTTTGCCAGGCCGTGCAATTGTACGAATATTTCCAATTTCGCGATGAGATCTCGACTATTTTATTTTATGTCACAAATACCCAAAATTATACATTTCAGCTTCTCAACCTCTATTTGGCAGCATACTGATCCACGAAGTGTCAGATAAGCGGGACATCACCAACAATTCTTGGCCACTTTTGATTCAAGTAGCCGTCTTACCGTGACTAATGCAGAAGCCAACTCAGCGCGGAGAAGCCGTCCCTTCGAGACATTAGCAAAATTGTCGATGTTGAGGGATATCCTTCCGAAGAGTGGCATATCTTCTGGAAAGGCTACTGTTCAACGGACACTTCGACCTGTTTGAGAAACTGTCAGCGAACGAGCCGAATTCAGCTCGAATGAATATAGCAGGGCATTCCATGTTTCATAACATCGTGAGATGGGAATACAAAGACTTGCTCGCCAAGGTTTTCACCCACGAAATCGCTCTGAAGTTTGAGGATGATGAATTGCGCAAACAAGCTGCAGAACAAGCGGGGATTTCGCAACGAAATGTGATTTGCCCTTGTTATTGACGGCATGTGAAGGAGAATTGCCCAACCTGGAAGGCTGTTATCGAAAGTTAGAAAGCGAGATCAGAGTTAAGAAACGAGACACTGAATATGCCTAGACGAGAAACGCCGTCTCTCGATTTATAGCGTCAAGGAGAAGACAAGCGGGACTGAACAAATGAACTACTTCTATCGATTACTTTAAGAATCTCTGCGATGGATACAAACATAGGCTACGAAGCTTTATGGACGCCAGGGTCAAATCCCTTGAATTAAAGTGCCTGATGCGTCAGTGTTTTAATCTAGGCTATTAAATCTTGTCGGATTCCTCAAATTATCTCTCCATTCAGCTTTATAATGGCTTTAAGTGATCAAACCTTTCAAAAAACACCACATTGCTTGCATTTCCTTTAGCTATCTCTCATTCCCACCTCAAGATTGCTTCAATTGATTAAACGTAACGAATTATGTGAGAAGTTGAATGAAGTTGAGTTGAAAAGAATTTGAGAATATAGGAGTAGCATACCCGTCCTACTTATTCCATGATGCTGAACTTTAGAAAGCCGCAAAGTCCGTTTCAATATTGTCACGAGTTTTAAGAAAGACTCTTTAATCGGGACGCATTGTCCAATTGGGTAATGATCCATGGTGAAGACCCCTTTGGCGTCGAAGTGACTTCCTAAAGTAGCTTAGTGTCATGTCACCTCAGAATGTTGATAAACATACCCAATGTCCATCTCCCGTCTCCAACACCCCAACAATGGTGTTTCGCGGGCGGTCGTCAAAGACTTGTCACCGCCATCGGACGCGGAGACTAAATGCAACTCCATTAATTGATCTCAAAATACTTCAAAACTAACTTCGAACAGTGCGATCTTCGACCCGGCTCACGCAGCCCATGCTCGCGGGCAAATGAAGTATGCCACAAATACCGCCTCGTACCCCCAGCTCCCCATCCACGATGAAACGGAGTCAACCCAGCGCAGAGTCTGCGGTGCATAAAACTCACTCCCTGCAACGGGCCGTTGAACTTCAAGCGTGCGACGTGTTCTCTGCTCATCATGTGTTTGTTGCCTGGATCACGGGGCTGGAATTTCCTCATTCAAATGCCGCCCTCAACACCTTCATATTTGACCCTCAGTGTAGAGGCAGTATGTCTAGCATTCCTGGCACATCGACGCGACTTCGTCTCTGTTGAATCGCGCGAGATCGGAATACATCACCGTCCTGCGAACCATGAGCAAAGCCATTCCGTTCTCGAATGCCGATGTCAACCACCATCTGTTGACAAGCTCTATGTGCCTGGATCTATTTGAAAAACTGACCAATGCGGTTTCCGGTGGTAGAGAATTCTGATTGGGACATATAAACGGTTCATTGGCACTGGTTCAAGCTTTGGGATTGGAATATCTCAAAGATCCATTGTCATTGCGACTTTTGGTGCGCTTGGTAACTAATTGTACAATATTGTGTGTTGCGAGCGGTGACCGGCACCGGTAGCACTGCTTGAGGTGCGTGCTCAACTTGAGCGATTTTCCGGGAAACGATCGAATCCTAAATGGAAACTGTCCGAGTTGATGGTTGGCTACGCGATATTTAGTGCGATGCGCGTCTCGCAGTCATTGCAGGAGGAATCCATAGCAATGACACGGGAACTTGATTCGCAGCTCATTGAGCTGGGGCGACACATGCCGGACGGGGCTTCCTCAGATGCCGAATTCTGCGATGGACCCGGCGTCGTTTCCCAGGGAAGAGCTTCATGCCAGCCGGCATGTTACTCGGACAAGGAATACATTGCGACTGGTTCATATGAAGCTGCATGATTTCATTTTGACTTACCTTGCAAAAACCCTAGAAAGTACCATAATTGGGGATGATGTTCATCGACTGAGTGTTGACGTGATCACGGCCATGATCAGCAGCATCTGTGCCTCCGTTCTCTAATATACAGATGGAGATAATGATTCTCAGTCTCACGGTGACTGGTCTATCTCTGCCTGCAATCCCCTAGGCAGCTCAAGATTCTTGGAAACATATGAATTATTCCCAAACATTGAATTGCTACACCCTGCTCTTCCAACTTTATATTGTCGAACACACGAAACGGACCGCTGGAAATCAGCAAATCTGGATTATCGACGACTTCGATGTCCGCCGGGCCTTGAATTTGGTAAATCTAATTCAGCAATCACCTGGAACTGACCCGTGGCATGTGTACACCATGCGCGGGAGTTATGCGTTTGCCGCGCAATACTACTAGGGACTCCTCTATAATTGGGGGAAATATCAACTAAGAAAATTTGTTCATCCAAAACGCCACAATTGCAATATTTACATTCAAGGCCATCTTCACGTAAGTCATAACCAGTCAGTGGACCTTGGTATCAACCTAGATCTTCTCCGACGAATACAACCGAATGGGCACCCCAAGCTCATGCGACATGGTCAGGTTAGAGAGCTTGATAGGCTCCATCCGGGGGTGTGGGTCCGCATTCTCGAGAGTATCAAAGTGCTGCATCAGACGAACGACGGTGTAGCTAGCCTCGGTGAGCGCATATTGTTCTGAAGTTTGTTAGTGAGCCGTCTTCACCAAATCGCATATTTGCATCCCAGGAACGAGGAGACTTACGACCAAGACATATGCGTGGCCCACCGTTGAAAGGCAGGTATTCCCAGCCATGCTTAGCGTTCTCTTCCCAGCGCTCGGGGCGGAAGGTCTTTGCATCTTCACCCCAAAGATCCGTGCGGCGATGCATAGCGAAGACATTGTAAGAAACCATCGTGCCCTTCCTGATATAGATCGGGGAGCGGCCGTCCGCCCCGCCGCCAACAGGAAGCGAGGTATCTTTTGTTGACACGCGGAAGTTGACCGGAACAGGTGGCTGAAGACGGAGAACTATCATCGGTTAGCAGCCTACCAGAAACTGACTCCAAACCACCAACCTTCATTCAATACGTATCGCAAATAAGGAATATCCTTAAGCTTTGCCTGAGACATCTCCGCACGAGGGTTCTTCGCATCCCCAAACAACTCTACAATCTCCCTCCGCAACCGATTCCACACGTCCTGGTGTCTCGACAAATAGAAGAAAGTTGAACTCAGCAAACTGGCAGTCGTATCCCGTCCCGCTAGCAGAATATTCAACATGTTATCGCGCAACATCTTGGGATCATCAGTATCGGCCGCCAAAGCTTGAAGAAAGATATACCGCCCATCACTCTTCTCCGGATTGCGCTTAGACTCCAGCGCAACGTTAACATAATGATCGACAACCTCGTGAACCTTGGCGTTTGCTTCTTTGAATTCCTTCGGGTTCACCAGCCAGTATAATCCCTGCGCACGCGATCGCGCAGCAAGATAATCCTGCGCAGTGCCGAAAGCATCTGCGAACCCCTGTGCACTACCGACAGCGGACCTCTCGAGTACTCCCGTTGTTTGCGATGGAGGAAGCATGCAGCCCACGGACTCGCCGAAGAGGAAATGCGTTGCTGAGTCCAGGGTGAGAAGAAAGAAAAGACGCTGGATATCGAAGCTGGTTCTATCCTTTGGGATTAGGTTAATGAGATGCGAAATATGATCATCGAGCATCGACAAATCAGCGACTTGATCGCGCGTGAATTGGGGCCTCAAAAGACCGCGGGCATGCGACCATCCCGCGCCGTCGAGTGTGAAGATGCCATCGCCCATCAACGGATAGAATTGTTGGTGGCGGGTTCCTAGACAAAAGTCTTTGAATTGGGTTGCGAGGATTGCCTTGATGTTTTCTGGTTCGATTGTTGTGATTAGATCTTTCGAGAGGAACTTTTGTTGGTAGGTCGTGCCGTGGGTGGCATATTCGTCGGTTAGGTAGTCGATCCAGCGTTTTTCGCGGACTGCTTTGGTGAGGCGGTAGAAGGCCGGTAGGCCGAGGAACCCGGATGAGCCTAGACGAGGTGATTTGCAATTGAGGGCTTTGGATTGTTGGTGGTGGTGGATGAGGTTGATGATCCAGCGTGTTACTATAAAGGCAGCGCACAGACCTCCAAATAGGAGGATCGTAGGACTCAACATTTTTTGTGAAGATTATAGTGAGTGTTACAGAAATTCTGTGCATTCAAGTAAGAAATGGGAAGTATTTAATATGAAATTGAATTGATGTTATTTGATATGAAGGCCATCCACCTCGGTAGAGTCACACGTGAGAAACTGTGACGAACATATTCGGGTAGATCGCAAGCTGGTATGAAAGGGGAATAGATCGAAGTCAATTTGAACAAATCACCGAATGTTGTGACGAAAAAAAAGACGATCGGCGAATAGCAATCTCCGTGTTTAGTGTGAATCCGAGTTAAAAGCATGCAAGCCACTCTGTCAACGCCTCGTGGAAATATCCCCGCGAAATAGCACCTGGGGCAAATGACGTGCGGAAATCAAAGCAATGCTCAGCATTAGGCATAATATGCCCAAACAAAGTACTCTCATCAGTCTCTTGACCACATCTAGGAATATCCGTCGTGAGAGTCACATGCGGGGCCGAGTTTCCCGTGGCGAGAGGAGACAAAGTGCGCCAGGGATCAAACTGACCACCACTCCAATAGACATTTGACGGACGAATAGACCACCCGCCCGTCTGTTCATTCGTCGCATCAACCTGCGGTGCCTGAGGCAGAAGTCCTTTCTTGACAGCTTCCGGGAAATTGCGATAGCAGTAATCCTGCGCGTACGCCAGAGTCTGATACTTTGAAAGCAAAGAATGAGGACCGAAATTGTTGGTCTGGAAATATCCCCATTCAGTGCAATACTGCCAAGTCCAGGCAATGGTGTCGGGATCCACAGACGGCGGGGACAAAACACACGAAAGCGGCAGATTATTTTCCAACCCTTTGCAATTCGTGTCGAAATTCATGTTCACCATCTGAGTGAAAACCGGCCATGATGCATATCGCTGCGCAGCATACTTCTTTCCCCTGGATTTCGCAAACCCAGCCGCAGGCGCCGGCTGACCGGTCTTGGGATCCGTTTCCATGTGCTCGCAGAACGAGCCGAGACTCGCCTGACCCCCGCCAAGCCCGTACGCCTGGAAATAGTTATAAATACTTGCCAAGGCGGCAGTGAAATCACCATTGCTGTTGACCTCTGCGCCTTGACCGAAGAATTGCTGCTTGATCTTTGCTGCGGTGTCGCTGTGAGCGAGCTGTTCGTCGACGTACTCCAGTGCGGCTTTGATGTCGCGCGTGCAGTTGAGGTACCCGTTTGCGACGATTCCGTCATAGACCTGGTCGAAGTAGATGCTCATATCGATACGTGCTTCGACGGGCGCGGATGATGCAAATGCCGCGTAGATGGTGTTTGGGTATTCGTGCCGAGTAAAGGCTGATCGCATGCCGGCGTATGAGCCTCCGACCATGACCCAGGGGGTTGCGTCCGGGGTCAGAGTGATGTTTTTCAAATTCTTGCGGGTGAAGTTGGCAGCGAAATAGGGCAGATCTGCTAGCGCTTGCTTATTGTTCAAGTATTGGAGATGCTCTGGGGGAGTTTCCTGGCTAACGTTGTATGGCAGGGAATTGCCATAGTACCTATTGATGTTAGTCACGTCCAGGATTCAGAGTGAGAAAAACGAACCGGTGCTCCCAGACAATACCGATGCCATGGAACTCCTGCAGCATCTGATAGAAGAACGAAGTTGAGTTGCCGAGATGTCCCTGGGCCGATGATTCGGCGGATGATTCGCCGACATCATACACAAAGACCGGACCGCCTGCCTTGTAATGCTCTTCGCTGACCCAGTACCGGTTCAAGTACTCGCCCACCGAAGGGTTACCGTGATCGATTGGGAGCTATGAGGTGTCAGCAACTATCAGACCTGGGGGCCTTCCACGGCAACAATACTCACCGACGCATATTCTGCCTCAATGCTCGCATCCAGACGAGCACTTGCGACGGCATGGACAGAGGTCCTGTAAGCCAGCAATTCATCTGGATGAACGCCCAATTCCGCAGAAAGCCTTAAATCCCGTTTGAACGGTGTGTGGCTAACCATCGCAGCTGTACCAGACAGCGCGGACAAAAGCATCGTCCCCGTAGAAAACCGCATCTTGACAAATTACCGAAGAGCACAGATGATGGAAAACATGGTCGGCATGGGACTACGGAGTATATATGGCAAATGCTATGGATCAGCTGAAGATCTAGATAAATGGTAAATGATACATTTACATTGGCCAATTACCCGAGAACAATGATAAGAACAATATGGTTGCGTTAGACCGCTGGATTCAGATGACACCAATTGGCAGCAGGTGTGGACACCAGGTGCTGCCGAGACATCGCGTGCGGGTTTGTGTGATAGTTACAGGGTTGGATGTAACCCTTGAGTCTCGAAGCAATTAGAACAATCTTTACCCCTCAGTTGTTCTCCCTAATTTGTGTATCTGCAGCTAATATTTAGGCTTCCGACGTTGGATGGATACTATGTGCCTGGATATGCATTGCGTTAGTGCATGTAGCACCCAACCCATACATAATAAATTAGTTATATCCAGCTTGGAGGGACCCGATCAACAAGACATCCATCACCAATATCCGAATCAATGAAATATACAAACTGCCGGATTTGGTTCCCCTCAAAACAGGCACCACGCGAGTGTCGATCACCCGAAACCGGCAATGTGTTTTGATTTGGACGATTGGAATTGGGGAATTTCATTGGTCGAGTGGCAGAGTGCAACAACGACCGGACTCCGAACAATATGTGGAGCTTAGTATTGTTCTAACTTTGCAATGGAGTCAATGTTTAATTAACTTCTCATTTCACGGCGTTGCCAATGCAAGTTACAGGACCCTAAAATATTCTATTAACATTTATTGGCATTCTTGCGATCCGCATGATCGGAATGTCTGGAATTGTCTGGAAACGGGGAATGGAATGTTTGACGTCGAGCAGGAATGTCCATCGGGCGTCCGGTGCCAAGAGGAAAATGCATGTACGGAGTACATTAATGTGCTCACCGTAAAATGGAGATTCAATGTGGCTGGGGACTTTAATGACCAGATCCGAGATCCTCGTGGGATTGTTCGATATTGTTCTCCTGGTCTTCCACGATTTACGGGATCAGGCGGTCTCCCCATGGTTCAGCTGTTCTTCTTTCTCTTTTTTCTTTCTTTCCGCGTGGGCACATCACATTCGATGTAACATTGGTGCTCTCATCATTTTGATCACTTTGAGCCCTTTTTTAGAAAATAAGTTAAGTAGAAAAACAGCGAACAATTCTTAAAAAAAAAGGCCCCAAAAAACAAATTTGGCCGAACAAGCCATTATCTAAGGTTTAGCTGTGAATATTCTAATCTTTGATGGTCGAAATTAAGTGTCCACCATAAAATGAGCATGATAGATCATTATCAAGCCTGTGCGAGGTTACACAACATCACATCCTATCTGCAAGGAACCACGAGATCGAGTCTTGCGATAAGAGTCACGTCCCGCGTGTACCCTACGTCCCGAAACTGGTGCGCATACCTTCACTGTTGACTAACTCTCTAGCCTCAATGCCAAGATGCACTTGTCTTCGTCGGGAATTGATCCGGAATATCAATACCATATTGCATTGAACATTTTGAATTTGAACGTGTTGAATTTGATTATTCAGCTGGATGATCTTTTATCCCCCTTCTATCGTGATTATTCAAGTCCCAGTCCATCAGATCTAAATGTCAAGTATAGGCCTTATGATCAAGCGAGCGGACAGCTTCAGTGAGCGGCAATGGGATACTTGGGGGCTTGAGACGGAGAACAGTGAGTGAAGGTATGAAGTCCTATTACGCCCACTTCGCTAGGGCACATTTATCGAACAGAAGCCTTGCTACCGTTTTTGGGAGCTGTAATTATTCATCGTTGTCACTGGTATTGACGTCGGCTCCGCGTTCGATCAAAAGCTTCGCTATAGCCTCGTGGCCGCGTAAAAGAGCCCATTGAAGTGGTGTTTGACCTTCTTTATCGCGGGTGTTGATGTCGGCTCCATGCTCGATCAAAAGCCTCGCTACCGCCTCGTGGCCATTCGATAAAGCGCATAGAAGTGGTGTCCGCCTAAATGTATCGCTGGTGTTGACGTCGGCTCCGCGTTCGATCAAAAGCCTCGCTATAGCCTCGTAGCCATTCGATGAAGCCCATCGAAGCGGTGTCCGTCCATCTTCATCTCTGGTTCTGATATTGGCTCCGTTACCAATCAGAATTCTCGCTACCGCCTCGTGGCCATTCGATAAAGCACATAGAAGCGGTGTTCGTCCATCTTCTTCTCTGGTATTGATGTCGGCTTCCTTTTCGATCAAAAGCTTCACTAGCGCCTCGTGGCCATTCAATGAAGCCCATTGAAGCGGTGTCCATCCTATTTCGTTGCGAGCGTTGGTGTCGGCTCCATGTTCGATCAAAAGCCTCGCTATCGCTTCTTGACCACCCATTAAGGCCAGGTTAAGCGGTGTCAGTCCATATTTTTCGCTGGTATTAACGTCGGCTCCGCGTTCGATCAAAAGCCTCGCTACTGCCTCGTGGCCATTCGATGAAGCCCATTGAAGCGATGTCTGTCCATCTTCTTCTCTGGTATTGACGTCGGCTCCGTTGTCGATCAGAAGTCTCGCTACCGCCTCGTGGCCATTCGATGCAGCGCATTGAAGCGGTGTCCGTCCATCTTCTTGTCTGGTATTGACGTCGGCTCTGTTATCGATCAGAAGTCTCGCTACCGCCTCGTGGCCACTCAGAGCGGCCCGTGAGAGTGGCGTTCGGCCCCCTCTATCCATCTCATTACAGATCGTTCTGTTCTGCAATAGTAATTTGACAATGCCCGCTCGACCGTCTTGGGCAGCCCAAGATAGCGGTGTTCGATTTTCATATTCTTTCAAGTCTTTTCTGTGGTTGAGACCGTCGGTGATGTCGACTCCATCTAAATACCTCGAAGAGGAGTTCAAAAGAGCAGCAACAGCGTCTTTGTTACCATTGGCCAGCCCAGCAAACAGTGGGTAGTTGTATCTCTCCCCAAAAACATGAACCTGCGGATCATCTTTGAACCATGTCCGGATGAGCGCCGGACATCCTTTATCTGCTAGTATATAAAACAAATTCGCACTTGGGGTATATTTGCGATTTCTGAATTTTTCAAAAAGATTGCTGCTGTTGATCCAGCTGGAGATTGGAAAAGAGGTCAGAAATTCATTTTGAGAAACCGCTTTAGCCGCAGCGTTGGCATGGTGGAGGATATTCTGAGTGGCATACTCCAAGAACGGATACTCATTTAAGATTTCGTTCCGGCTGTTAGAGGTGGACTCTGATTGCAGCCTGCTAACAGATGCACAGATCAAGGTTTGATTGTTGTAGAGGTTGCAGCATTGTTTGAGTTTCTCATGGCCTATGCTTTCGCAGTCAAATCCAAGTTCAGGCCATAATTCATATAGGCCCTTGTCTTTGATAAGGAAGTCTCGGACAGATTCATGAATGAATTGAACTGTAGGCCGACTAGATTTGGTGGTCTCGGCAAGTCCCTTTGAAGAGCTAATGACATATCTACTAGCCATATCATCCCCAGTGCCGGCACCTAGGACGGTGACATCTGGAATCTGGCTATCGACCAGCCCCTTCAAAGACAAACCAGACCAGAGAGCATGATGGAACTCCTGTGGCCGCAAAGGGTTCTTGGCGTACAAAATCCAGAGGATGCAAAGCTGGAGAGCTTCCATATCCTCATTATCACGTCTCAAGATATCTTTGAAAAGTTCACTCAGGTCACTGGGTATGTCCGCGAGTCTCCTTCTTAGAGCCATTCCGCCTCGTCGATACTCTTTGTTGAGAATATCGACAACTAAGACGACCCACATGAAAACACCTGCAGCTTTACCGAGTAGTTGTGGTTGCAGCTCTTCGATGAGCGCAGGTTCTTTAATCAAGAGGCGGCTTGTAACGTAGGTTGCCAAGTCTTCTGCATGACCTAATTGATCCTCAAGTGTAAGTCGGAGACCCCGTTGAATGACGATGTGGGGATAGTGTCGACTCGAAAAGCAGATTCGGAACGGGACGCCTTTGGCCGTGGATTCTTCGGCCAGGTCCTCAAAATACTGGACCATGTCCACCACTTGTTGTTCATCACACTCGTCGAGAGCATCGACGAAGCAGGTAAAGGAGCGTTGACCGAGGGCGCAAATCGCATTGGTAAATAGTTCCTTGAGAACATTCAAGGAAGGGCAGTCATTTTGATTCTGAGAAATCAGGTCGAAATCGTCTAAAACAATCTGGAGATCTGAATACCCTTCCAGCAGCTGAAGCAATAATGAACGGTACATTCCTAATATCGTTTTTTCTAAGCATTCACCTCGAGCGTTGAAGAAAAAGGAGGCAGTGATAGCATTCCTGTGACAGGCCTTGACTTTCATGCTGGAGTATGCAAACTTCATGATTGTTGACTTGCCAGCACCGGGCTTGCCACTGATCCATAAAAACCCATGATGTTGCGCCAATCTTGCGGGATCGAGCCATGCTTCGTGACTAGGATGGCTGAGAAACCAGCGACACGTATTTTTCTGTTTTTGTTCAATGGTCGATTTCCGGGTTTCCATCTGTTCGAACTTTAAGGAATTTAACAAGTGCTGCCGGCGCTCGCGTGATGGACACTGAACTGTAGGTCTAGGGTTAGCGGCAGCGAATTGAGATTGTTCCTTAGCATGATATCGTTTCTTACGGGGATCCACCATGGAGACAACGGATGTATTCGGTCTGGTCACAGGCATATCCTCGAGCAATTCCCTTGCGAATGCGGCCGCCGTTGCTGCAGCATATCTTTGCCATTCTTTGTTCTTGTGAGAGTCGGAGTAGTCGCAAATTCCCCGAATTGGGAGACATGGGAGGATGTCCATCAGACCTGCAGTTTCCATCTCAAAACATATGACGTCTAGTTGTTGACCAATGTTGTCCCGAGTTATGCCGTCCCTCATGACTTGGTTCCCTGAGGCAATGGCGCCATAATGGATCACTACTTCGTCCGAGATTCGTCTGCTTCGTGGTACTAGCTTTGAAGTGTCGCATCCGTCACAGCCATCACTTAAAGATTCATGATCATATGTCGCATGAAACAAACGATCTGGTAAAGCCGGGCGACTATATGCGGGCTGTCCTTTTAGGTTCTGCTCTAAAATAGATTGGACTCGGCTAGGACCTAGCTCATGCTTCGAACGAATAGAAGACACAAGCGTGCCAAGTGAGTGATGAAGAATTCTGGATATCGCCGTTCGCCGGAATTGTCCGTCTCCAAGGACTTTCCCAAGATCGCACTGCATCACCCTTGTTCCGACGACAACATCACCCAAACGCACATCAGCCTTGCTTGGCACACCACCGCCAATCCCGACCATCAAACTTGCGCGAATCGCTGGGAAGGTCCGCTTCATGTTCGTCATAACAATGGCCGCGTTGTTTGTTCCATACTGATTTTCTGGTAAACACGCAATAACGACATTGTGTTGAGTGATGTTTCCTAATATGTACGTGTTTCTATCGTCCGCATGGGTAGGCAGGGCCTCGTGGAAATCATCCAGCATGGCTCGGGCTGCTGCCATTTCCATGTGCAGTGCGCAGATCCAGGCGATAGTGTACTGATCGTGTCGTGGGACAGGCAAATTGTCATAGTGGGAGGTCTTGGGCCGCTTGGATAGGTGGAAGTCTCCCGAAATTGGGCCGTAGTTATTACCTATTTGGATCCCATTATTGATCCCATGATAATGTGTTGAATCCATAATGAGTGTAGCTTGTGTTATCCATGGCCTGTGGCGAGGGTGTTTTAGGACTCTTAGCTGAACGCGATGCGCCTTGCTGCATCATCAGGTGACTTCATGGTGCTTAAATAGGATATAAGAACTTGCTAGTATTTCTTTGCCCTTGCAATGTAAGGTTTCCAGACCAGGTTTCTTTTTCTATGAAGTTTTGAAAGCGCAATCTCACAATGTGACTAGTCCTGGTTTTGCATATGAATCGTGAATCGTGTGTTTACACGTGAGATGAGCGAAGACTGTTGCCAGATTAGAATTCCCTTTTTGTTTGATCTGTTTGCATAAGTTAGCTTGAGAATCAAATTGAAGGAATAAAGTGGTGGAACTGATTTCGACAATTGAGACATACGTCCTAGACTAATGCGTTGTATATTATGAAGATTGTCTAAATTTAAAGTCCAATATACCGCAATGATGCCGCGTAAGAATAATTTCCAGTTAGCCGGCGTGATAAGTTCCGACCTTCGCAATATGAGCAATGCTACCCCTCCACGGTCAGACCAGCGTGCCGAAAATGGCCTTCTGCGCTTTCCCACTTTAGGCCAACGACATCAAGGCAACAATGCAGGAAATTATTGAACCATCGATCCGGGTTGTCTTCGTAGGGTGGCCAATTCCGCCGGATGAAAGCCTAGACTCCAGCAAAAAGAAATTCTTCAATGGGATTCAACTCAGGCGAATATAGGGGAATATAACGGGATATAGAGGCAAATATACCAGCTTTACGCCAGCTTGCGTTGGAGCTGGATAAATTGTCTAAGAGTGTAGATGGTTGCACCAGCTTCGGGACGCACTGTAAAGAAAAATTATCATGCCCTTTTGAAATGCAGAAGAGGGATTCGTCTTCGTCACGAACCTGAAAACAAACCTTGGAAGTACCAAATTGAGGAAGTCTGAAAGAGGAAGTCGAAGCGAAATGTTCACTATCGGCTCGCCTTCCCTCTTCATCCAACCCCTCAATCTACATTTCATATCATCTCAATCGAAGTCAAACTCGGCCCAATATACGAATATTCTTGACAAAGTGGATGGTAATCTCTAAACAAAAAAGAAATAAAGCACTGGAAATGCAATGTCCGCTTATTCTCTGCTAGGAAAGTCAGCAACGAGCCTTCGGTTCTGCTTCCAGCTACACAAACCGCCAACATATATAATATCCGTATGACATACAGGGAACATTTCTTCCCTTCAAGATTCTGAGATAATTTACCCAAAATCAAAAGACGAAAGCTAAGCGCATCCATCATGTCCACATTCCGTCTACAAGATAAAGTCGCCATCGTCACCGGATCCTCATCGGGACTGGGACGAGCAATTGCCATCCGCTACGCACAAGAGGGAGCAAAGGTAATCTGCGCAGATCTCACACCAACTGCCAGATCCGTAGAGGAAGCCTCCATCACGACGCATGACTTCATCTTGCAAGCTGGTGGACAGACAGTGTTTGTGCAGACGGATGTCGGGGATGCGGTCGGTATGGAGCGAGTTGTTAGTATCGCTGTCAAACTCTACGGGCGACTAGATATGTAAGTCATGTCCGTAATAGTATGAAAAGCACGATTTAATGTGGATCCATATCATAGCCTTGTCAACAACGCCGGTATCAGTATCGAGGCCCGCACGCCTGCCGTCCTGCATTTGACTGATGAGGCTACGTGGGACACGACGATGCGAGTGAATGCCAAGTCTGTCTTCCTGGGATGCAAATATGCTCTTACACAGATGTTGGCACAAGAGCCGCATTCTTCTGGGGATCGGGGGTGGATTGTTAATATTTCTTCAATTATGGGGATGATTGGGGGGCCCGAGAATCGTGAGTTTGGTACCTTGGCCAATTGAACTTTACTGTACTGATATCAGAATAGCGTCCTATTGTGCGTCAAAAGGTGCTGTGAGTAATCTCACTAGACAGATGGCTTTGGATTATGCACCTCATAACATCCATATTAATGCTATTTGTCCTGGTTGTGAGTGGCTTGTTTGGAAAAAGGGTTTCCCGAAACTGACAAGCAGACAGACACTCAAACTGCTATTTTCAAAGAGACTACGACGAACTTGACTCCTTGGGAGGATCTCAAGCGGCGACACCCTCTGAAGGGTCCTGGCTCTCCGGAGGACATCGCTCGCGTGGCTGTTGTACTAGCTAGTGATGATGCCAATTGGATGACGGGCGTGTGTCTTCCCGTTGACGGTGGATATACGGCCCGTTAGCTACTTGATAGTAATAGTGCGTTCAATTTCGACATTATTGGGCATAAATATCAGCTGAACACGCAATTTTTCATTGAATTTACATACTTGAGCACTGGGATGAGAGAGACATATGGATAACAGAGGATAATCCTCCCAGAAGAAAGAAACCAGCAATTAGCTTCTTCGCAGAGTTCGGGCAACATATTCAGAAGGAGCAGCCACCGCATCTTTTGCAGGCGGTGCCTTTTTCACTTTCCCACTTCCCCACTCATCGCTCTATCTGCATATTCACGAATAAACATCGTGGCCTGCGGATCCCTACTCCTTTCCCCAGGTGTGAACCCAATGGAGTCTATGACCTTGGTCGAAGCACCATGTTCAAGTAAAAGCCTCACCACCTCCAAATTTCTCTTATCAGCAGCCAAGTGCCACGCCCTCTTCCCATCCCCAACTTTAAATCCACCGGAGCCCTATAGTCGAGGAGTACCTGCACGATATCAAACTTCCCCGCCTCAATAACCTCTTGAAACAAAACCTCCTAGTACTTATCATTAGAGTCGAGGATTGCCAAGTCTGCGCCGCTTTCTAAGATAGCTTTGATGGCGGTTGCCGCTGGAGGCTGCTTCGTGTAGAGAGAGGGGCCAGGGGCTTTGTTCGTTATGTCACTCATGCTGGATGGCTGACTCCTTGTTGTGTGGATCAATCAAGATGGGTTTTACTATCCTGGGTTTGTGGGATATGTTCTTAGATATCTCAAGGCTTTTATACTTCTCGGATCTACGGGTCTGTGAAGGAATGAGGCTGTGGTACCCGCGCCCGGGTAGCCTCAAGGCAGTGAGTGCTATTGGATACCATGTTATGATTGGTTCAGGTACGAAAACGCTACCAATAGAGATTAAGCTGATTGCAAGGTGCCCGGACTCGTTAGATATTAGTTGTTTTCGCTGATCTACCGATGCCAAGTAAATACTCTCAAACCAGAGCTTTCAATGAAGATTGATTCTCGGTGGGATTTGAAGCCCTCCAACGCCAGGTGCTGGCTGACGTATAAGCTCGTATAGTTGGCCTCAATGGGCAATAGAATTGATATTTTCTGCCTCAGCACCTCTCTCGAAATGCCCTTCTATTTGCATCTAACACTAATATATTCAAATGGACCTCCCGAGACGACAAGTGAAGCTGCGTAAGAGTATATACTCAGCCTCTCACCCCGAATTAGTGAAAGATGCGCCCGTGAGCCACCGCGTCAAAATGTCAAACGCAACTTCAGGACGATCTTGAGGAACCTACGACTCAAAGATTAGCATCTACCAAGAGTTTATTATTCAGCGATATCACTCACCAAATGACCAGCCCCTTCCACAGTCACGAATGTAAACCGTGATGCTTCTGCCTGACCATCAAATTGCACTCGAACCTCCTTGGCTTTGCCGACCGTCTCATTTTGACCTGTAATGTTCGAAGTCCAAGGGCGAAGCTCTTTGGATGCGAACTCAACTTGTCCTTTCCAGGCAAGCGAGTGAGCCCACCGGAGCGTTCCCGCCGTATTACAGGCCAAGTCGAGATTCCCCTGGTAGGCCAGGAAATGCACACCATTGGCAAGCAAGAAAAGGACCTCATCCGAGGAGAGGGTCATGCCCTCCGGCGTAGTTTTGAAAGCCGCAACGACAGCCTCGGACTCCATGGTATAATTTTTGACTTGCTTGGGTGGGGAGAGGGCATTCCAAACGGCGGGGGAGTTCAAATATTCCATGACATACGCTGCTTCCTGATAGCAAAAATTGTCGACGAAGCAGGGTGCAGTGACTAACAGTTCTACATTAGCTAGGCTGGTAGTACCCGTGGATGGAATTCGCTCACTGTCAAACCGATTGCGACCCCCCTTGTGGCTACTCTCGTCTTCGTACCAGCCTACAATTCCTTTGTAGCAAACACTGCTTGCAGCCTTGCAGATATCCGGGTCAAGGCTGTTGATGCATACATCGTAGACCTCCATGCACCGCGGCATGTTGGTGGCCAGGATGTCGCATCGTGTCTCGTTGAAGACAGGAGTGGAAACGCCAGGATTGGTGGTGCAAAGGGTCTCCCAGTATCCGAAGGTGGTATCTTTGGATGACATGTAGCCATTTCCGACCAAGCATGATTTCAGATTGATTTGTGGCTCTGTGGGGTGTAGCTGGTTTTGAACCAAGATTTCGGCGCCGAGGTAGGGAATGTATTTGCCCTGAAGAGGTCAGTTGGGTGAGCACAGCAAGAGGGAAAAGTCTTACCGCGTATGATTCGCCCGAAATGTGGAAAGGCGTGGAGCGAAGATGAGGGAAGATCTCAGAAGTGAATATTTGCAGGAATCGGTGCATGTCAACTGCAGCTTCGAGAGAATCGCGGGGAACCTCGTGGCCGTCGTCAACATAGGAAAAGCCAACATCAACCGGCTGATCGACATAAAGTAGCGAAGAATTCCTGGACCATCCCCAAGGATTATGGACAGTACCATTGCCATGCTCGTTGATCAAACATGGCCCATTTTCCATAAACAAGCCAAGCATGCTGGAGCCTCCGGGTCCACCATTCATCCACAACGTTAGTGGATCGCCGATCGGATCGTTTTGGCTTTCGAAGAACCAAAAGAATAAGTGCTTGGGTCCAATGTCCAGCCATCCTGTATATTGTGCTGAGCCCGCGGCGCAGATTGACTCATCTTGTCGTCGGATGCGCACTGAGTGGGGGGAATTTGAACTCTGGAAAATGGTGAAGTCCGACGCTAGGGGTTCCGGTCGGAGAACGGTTTGTGAGGCGTGACTCACGGCGCAAAGTGCAGCAAACAAGAGGCTTCGCATTTTTTTGGTAATTATTGACTTCGTGACACCACGTGAAGGAATTGAGGCGGACTTGGGTGGTTTATTTAACAAATTGGAGTTACGTCTGAGCGTTCGGAGTCCGGAGCTCACAGCGGAGTTCGTCCGGTAGCAAACGTGCTAGTCTCAAGAGGCTTGGACTAAAATCCTTCGTTGAATTTGGTTGCCTCACATTCTATGGATCTAGGCAACATCGAGCAACTTTGATGACCGTTATGACGATAAAAAGTCCGGAACGTCGTCGGGCTTTATCTCAAGGATGAATTTGAGGCTGAACTGAATTAAAGCTTAGCCGTTTGCTGAATTGGACCCGCAAAGTCAATCGATAAAAGGGCGAATCTGGCGTTTAATGACCATGTAAGTATGAGCTAATAAGCGAGCCATGAGCAATTGGTTATCAGAACAACCTTAAAAGCCTGAGGTCTTGAGCACATTCGCAAGAACACTTATTCTTTTCTTTTTGCTTCATAGGAAATATATATTGTGCATCGCCCCTGTCCTCCCGCTCGCTATCTCTAGAGCTGGAGATTGAGGAAAGCAAAGTCGAATATCTAGTACCATTGGATTTGAATGGTCTGAGAAGCATCGACGCCGGGCGCCTCGCGCTCGAGAAGCCAAATTTGATTCATTGAGTACCTTAAGTACTCGTAAACCCTGAATTCATCTGACCCTTAATTCTGCAATCTCGTTATCGTGCAGAGGTTGGTGCACAAAGCAACAAATGGTAAGAACTCATGAGGGCCTACCCTTTCCCTCATCAACCGCCTATTATCATGAATCTAAAATTCAAATATCTAATCTTTCTGCTAATTTCTTTTTGGTCTTTTGTCACCATGATTACAAATTTCTTCCCAGCCTCTTTTCAGCCGCACATATATGCAGTGACTTAATGTTTCAATGGCTTGGCAGCGGTATTCCCTCTAATATCGGCTTTTACACGACGTTTCTAGAAGCTGTTCGCAAATGTACTAAACGCCGAGTCTACCATGGAACATAAGTGGGGCTCTAACACTCGCAACCAATCATATTCCCACATTTCGAAGTCGAAGTAGATATGCTAACCACATCTAGTTAGTTAATTGTCAGCATTAGCCTCACGGAGTTTAGCCTTTGATTCGGAGACAATATTTGGTTATTTAATGTCCTCGCTACCTCTGTTTTTCCTGCTCATACTTTACCTCTCTGAGATACGTGCCTGCAAATAAAACAACCCCTCAAAATGCATCTCATTCTCACAGGTGCCACAGGCTTGGTCGGCTCGTCCGTGCTGGACGCCATGCTCAAAAACACAGCCATTTCCAAGATTTCCATCTTGAGTCGAAATCCTGTACGAATGGCAGATGATTCAAAAGACCCACGGGTCAACGTTATCACCCACAAAGACTTCGAATCTTACACCCCGGAGCTCCTCGACCAATTGAAAGACGCCCAAGGATGTGTCTGGGCCCTAGGCACGAGCCAGACGAATGTCACCAGCGAGTAAGTAATGGTTCGCAACAATTCAATCATTGCAAACGACTAACGGTACATAGACAATACGTCAAGATTACCAAGGATTTCACACTTGCAGCTGCCAATGCATTCTCCACACTCAAACCCGCCAACTCACCCTTCCGCTTCATTCACGTATCCGGTGAAGGAGCCACCCAGAACCCTGGCAGATTCTCGCCAATCTTTGCCAGAGTAAAGGGTGAGACTGAGGCTCTTCTCGGCACTATATCGGAAGAGCATCCCAATATTCGAATTGATAGTGTTCGTCCTGCATTTGTTGATCCTGCTATGCACGATGCTATCAAGCCTTATATCCCATCGAGTGGAGTTACAGGCCTGGTGTCAAAGTTTGGAATTGCTTTGATTGCTCCAGGTATTCGACACCTTTATAAATCGATGCATTCGCCGACTGAGCATCTCGGCTCCTTCTTGACGGACATGGCCATTGGACGATATGAAGCAAAGCTACCGGGTCCAGGAGTTTTCAGGCTGGGAGGGGGTTATGTCATTGAAAATGCTGGCATGCGGAGAATTCTGGGACTTCGAATATCAAGAACATAGTCAGAGGGCAGTTTTTGGTGTAATGTATGTATAATATCTCTAATAGAATTTTGCGTCTTTTGGAAATTTCTGATTAGAAGATGCGAACCGGCTTTCTTTCTCCTCAATCTAATGAAAAATACATGCTGCATCGACTGGTCAGCTTTTATGCTCCATAGTATCATTTAGAAGTCTGGCATGAGCCCCTCGTCGCAAATTTGGATAGTACTTTGTGCCAGAAGCAATCCATGGTTCGGAGGTCTGTCACTGACTAGATTTATGCGAACTGTACACGCCTAGCCACTCAGGTTCTAGCTCAAATTTAGTCTTTGACTCAGATACTTATCCATCGACTGCATCTTGTCTTCCATACTGCCATATATGACCCATCACTGCATGCTCCCGATTTTCTGTAGTTATTGAAAGCTCAAGTTTGCAGGTGATGTAAAGTGTCCACATAGAAAATTTTAGTGAATCTGCGAAATTATCTATCAAATCGTGCTGAACCTAGCATGCTATATTTTCAGCCAGATCCGAAAGGTTAGACGATCTTCGCCGAAAGAGGAAGCCCGGACGCCCCCGAACAAAGGGCGTAACTACCGGCACTGGTCATAAGGATCAACTTTAGGCTCATGTAAATTAGTGCGATGCTTCCAGTAACCGTCCATCGAGTTACAATCAATAGATTATGGATCTTTCGGATTATTGAGCCCCATTTTGGGTAACAGGGACTGCGGGTATATTTAGAGTCCTCCGAACGGCGGCCCAAGACGTTCTTTGTCACCAGAACATGAAAAGGCTTTACCAAATTTTTATTCAATCAAACCCCTGTAGATATTACCTTCTCATGGTGATCGGATTATTTCTCGGGGCTCACAAAACGCTGATCTGACACTGTATATATACCTCAATAAGTAATCCTCCTCATCTCAATAAGAAACTTTCCCAAATTTGACTTAACCTGTATCTCGTCAATTTTACCCCTATCAGGTATATAAATAAAGAGATGATTGAACGTCTCTCAGTCAATTCCAAGCTACATTCACAGAGTATCTTTCACATTATTTCTGTCCAACATGAAATACCTCCAGCTCGGTAGCGTTATTGCGCTGTTAGGCGTTCTTTCGGCAACGGCAGTTCAAGCCTCCCCAGTTCCAGGTCCTGATCTCCCTCCATGTGGATGGGATAGAAGACCAATCGTTCCTGGCACCGATTGCCAACTGCGCCGCTGATGTCAGAATTCGAGAAAGTCACGCTGGAGATTTATTCTAGTAAGCTCCGCCTTATGGACGCAAATCCAATGAGGGGTTCAAATTTACTAAAAGTCGGGGAGTAGTCACGGACGCGTGCAACGGAGACTTTCCGGAGCCCAGGGAATCTTTGCGCTACAATTCTTCGTTTTAATTTGGAGGACTTTTTATTATTCGCTTACTGTATTCTGATGTTCCCGATTTTGGCATCTGAGAATTCTAGAAAATGGCCTGTCTGCTGCCGGGGCCGATATATTGGGATCACCCACTCTTTTCTTTGTTCAACAGGATCACTTTGTGGAGGTTGTGTCGTTTTCAACTTATTAATTTGGGCAGCCGTGGGAAACCCATTATTCATTACTAAGTTTCTGAAATAAAAAATTCCTTCCGAGCTCATCAGGGCGAAAAATTTCCATAATGTATTGCAGTCAATATGACATTCGAAACAACCTAGGCATGTATGATCCGAGAAACGGACAAACCGCATTTCCGTGAGCAAGAGTTATTGTGGCCTGGATCATGAAGCTGAAATATCCTCCTTGATAATTCTGGTTTTTGTTTCCTACTCTTTTGAATACATGGACATGATCCAGCTATTTTAGTTCTGCCGAATGGATGCATCTTGGTGGCGTTGATCCTAACCTTATCCCGGATTTTCGGGTTAACAAGGTCCGCACTAGAAAGCGACCACGATTTGCTTGTCCTAGAAGTCTGAGCAAACTAGTCGGAGTATTTGCCCCATTAAATGAAGCTGCCGATTCGTCCAAGCAGCCAGATGTCACATCATTAAATTGTATTCGCTAAAAACTGACAGACGCTCCGGGAGATTGAAACAACCATCACCCCACATGGAATTGCAGGGGGTCTTGGCAAGCCTGCGTGAGATGCACATCCTCCGGGATATATGCACCCCCGCAATAAACCCGCTCGCTACGAGCTTGTTTATGAACAAGAGCGGCCTTTGCGTCAACTCTTCAGCTGGTCCGTACCCGAAGGAGACTTCGCCCTGCAGCCAAGAAGCCAGAAGCGCCACGCATTGGTGGAACTATGGCTAAATTCCGGGCGCAACGGAGAACTATACAATAACGGAGCTTCGACTACTAACTCCCAAATCTCCACCTTTCAGCATGCAGAGTTTCACCAGGAGCATCGGGAATCTCCCGGGGGTATATATTGAGGCCAGTCTGCCTGCTCACTTAATCAAATAGAGCAACTTATTCCATACAAGTTGGACAGTATGCTTTTCAAGTCCTTGGCCGTTGCTTGCTTGGCACTGTTCGCCAAACAGGCGTCTGCCGCCTTTGGTATCACAACCAGTACCGCATCTTATGTGATTGATGCTGGCTCTTCCAATCCTCTCAAATTTACAGTCAGCCGGACCAACTGTGACATCACGTCCATCAACTTCTATGGCTCCGAACTTCAGTACCAGTCGACTGGCTCTCATATAGGCTCAGGTCTTGGAAGCGCTACTGTGACCGCAACCCAGAGTGGTGAGTTTTCAATCCAGAGCAGCTATAAACAAATAATCTGAATGAGATAGGCGATTATATCAAGGTAACTTGTGCTACGTCCACCTTGACCCATTACTATGTTGTCCACAGCGGAGACCCGATCATTCACATGGCAACTTATACCACTGCCGGTTAGTTGTACATATGAGATCGAAATATGCATGCTGATCATTGTTAGAACCCACGGTTGGAGAGCTCCGGTATATCGCCCGCCTGAACGCAGATCTGTTACCGAACGAAGAGCCTTTCGGCGTGGTCTCTAACATTGCTGGTGGAACTGTTGTTGAAGGCGAGGATGTGGTATGTCAGCTGTATGATGTTTCGGATTATCGCACATCTAACATTTACTAGTTCCTTGTTGATGGACAGACACGCAGCAAGTTCTACTCCAGCCAGCGCTTTATCGATGACAATATTCACTGTACACAAACATTCCCGCTATCTGGAAAGTTTTATACTGATTTTGGTAGGTGTTTCCGGAAGCGCCCACCGCGTTTGCATGATTTTGAACCAATACGAGACTTCCGCCGGAGGGCCTTTCCATCGGTAAGTCTTGCGAGTGATACAATTTAAGCCGGGCTAATCTTTGACAGCGACATCAACACTAACAATGTTGGCTCTTACACCGGTTTATACTGGTACATGGTCTGTCATCACCCATCCGCTCATGTGGGACTTTTACTTATCCCCTTTAGAACTCTGGACACGTCCAGACCGAAACATACCGCCAGGGCCTGCACGGCCCATACTCGATGTACTTCAGCCGAAGCGGTACTCCCAGCTCCAGCATCGACACGTCTTTCTTCGCCGATCTTGATATCACCGGATACGTTGCTACATCAGCCCGGGGCTATGTCAAGGGTACTGCGTCCGGTGCTGACTCTTCTTTCAAATGGGTTATTCATTGGTAGGTTCCGTCAGAAAGTCTTGCCAGCACCAAGCATTTAACCCCATAATCAGGTACAACTCTGCTGCACAGTATTGGACCTACGCTTCTTCAACTGGAGCTTTCACCTCTCCTGCAATGAAGCCCGGTACATATACCATGGTCTATTACCAGGGTGAATATGTCGTTGCCACCTCTTCTGTCACCGTGACCGCAGGATCAACCACATCTAAAAGCATCTCCGGCTCTGTGACTACTGGAACTACGATCTTTAGGATCGGTGACTGGGATGGAACGTAGGTACAATTCATAATTGGTCCTAAACGATCTATACTGACCAGATCTTAGACCCACTGGTTTCCTCAATGCTGCCAACCAGCTCCGCATGCATCCCTCTGACACCCGCATGTCCTCATGGACACCAGGTACCTACACAGTCGGTACTTCATCGGTGTCTTCGTTCCCAATGGCTCTGTTCAAATCAGTGAACTCTCCATTGACGATCAAATTTACTGCTACTTCTTCACAGACCGGAGCCGCAACTCTCAGAATCGGAACCACTCTTTCCTTTGCAGGTGGTCGGCCCCAAGTTACGGTATGCACAGAGCAAGCATTTATCTCTCTAGCATGAACACGCCGCTGATACTTTTCATAGGTCAATAGTTACTCGGGCGCCACCCCGGCCGCTCCTACTAACCTCAACTCTCGCGGTGTCACCCGTGGCGCGTACAGAGGTTTCGGCGAAGTCTATGATCTGTCGATTCCTGCCGGTACTATTGTTGCTGGAAGTAACACCGTAAGCGTTTTTGCCTGGAGCCCTTACAGAGCATCGCATGCTAACGTGCCTAGATTACCATCACTGTTGCCTCGGGTAGCTCTGGAGACACCTATCTCAGCCCCAACTTTGTGAGTTTCTTTTTGATACGGACAATGTTATATGACTGGCATATTCTGACTTCTCGCAACAGATCTTCGATGCCGTGGAGCTCTTCCAGTAAATATGCGCCAAGGCAAGGTTATGTATAGCTGAAGTAATTGTTACCTTAGCTACAAGAATACATAAATGTCTTTCCTTTCCCTTCGATCGTGTTTTGATATGCACACCACAATATGCATGAAGCAATATAAAGTATAAACATGAATCTAACCCGGAATATACAGAAGTGAGCGAATCCTAGCTGTTACCCCCTTGTATGCACCAACCTTCCACCAACCCAAACAGCCTTCACATTCCGATCATCGCCACTCCAGACCCATTTCTCGATTTTCTCTTCCCAGGTCTCCGTCCCAAAGAGATCAACATTTCCCACAGGGCCGGCATTCACATTATCCTTGACTCCATTGCAAACACTACCCAGAGGACCCTGTTCGGTCCCCTTCACACCACCGAGCTGAATCAACTGCACATCCCACAACATTTCCATATCAAAACCACCAATGTCCTGGGCCATATCAACAACCGCAGCACCACCCCGCGTAGCGAGATACAGACTCTCAGCAACAGAAATTTTCTCACGGCCCTCATCTTTCTTGTCAACACAGGGATGGTCCTCTTTCCACTGAGCGGTATGTCCCAAAAGCCTCGAAACAAGACACGCCTGTCGCGCCGCTTCAAGAATACTAGGACTGTACCCACCACTCACATCCGTACCAAGTCCAACCGTAATTCCCTCATCGATAAAAGTCCTCACGGGACAAATCCCCGACCCAAGCGCCGAGTTCGACGCCGGACAATGCGAGATCTTTGAATCGCGCGCACGAACAAGCTTTCGCTCCTCAGGCGTTAGATGAACCGCATGAGCGAGGATCGTACGCGGCGTAAGCAGATTATGCTTCTCATACACGCCGGTATAGCTATCAGCTTCAGGGAAAAGCTCCTTAACAAGGTCGACCTCATTCCTGTTCTCAGAGATATGCGTCTGAATGTGCAGCGGAGGGTCGAACTCCGCCGCCAATTTACCGAGGCCCTGTAGCGCGGCCTCCGAGCACGTAGGTGCGAAGCGCGGGGTGACGATTGGCCGGACGAGCTGGCCGGACGGATCAAGTTCGTGAACGAACTTGATCGTTTCGCGGGTTGCAGCTACGGAGTCGTCGGGTGAGAGGTCGCGGTAGTACTTTGGACAGAATTTTGGGTTGTCCATGCAGACTCTGCCGATGAAGGCGCGTTGGCCGCGGGCGTGACAGAGGGCTGCAAGGGCGTTCGTTGCTGGGATGTGGATTGTTGCAAAGTATGAGGCGCAGGTTGTCCCGTGAGAGAGGGTGCGGGCAATTACTTGGTTGTAGATGTTTTGCCCTGAGATGGGCGTGTCGTTTGGTTTAGTCTGTGTTTGTAGCCCTGCTTTAGGGTCTGGTTGAGCGCCGAAGCCAGACTCTACTGGGAAGGTGTAGGTTTCTAGCCAGTCTAGCAGGGTTGAAGAGCCGAAAAGACCGGCGTTTGGATATTGTGGTGCATGGATGTGTGTGTCTGGCTGATCGTTAGTTTCGCTGCTAAATATTGAGGTTGCTGTCTGGCCGAGTGTGCCCATTTGACGCAGGTGACATACCAATGAAGCCCGGGAAAAAGAACTCGTTTCTTTCTTCGTCGGCTCTAATAACCTTGACTTTGGTCTTTGCGGAATGAAACTTGACGTCTGTAGCCTCAACATCGTCCAAGTCAACCCATCTGCTACGAGTCATCAAGTCTTCAAAACCATTATCGTCGTGTGCTTTCCAGTCCCAGCCTTTGATGCGGCCGTCAGCGGTAGAGACCCAGAGAGCACCTTTGTCGCGGCATAGTTCAGGCTTGGATCCCGACGCGGGCAGACGACTAAGTTGGATGAAGGTGCCACGATAGACGTTGAAGGCATGGTCTGTTGTTGAACCCATGGTATCGACAGTAATGTAAATTAGGTCAAAGATTTGATTGACGTAATCAAACCAAGAGGAAGTGTATACAATGTAATGGTGAATAGACGTCTGCCTGGGGTAGAGGGGTCTAGAAACAATCTTTAAGATATAGATCAAGCCGGAGACGTAGATATAAAGTCGCGCTTAAATGCAAGGCAATTGAAGTGCAGATCCGGATCCACAACGGAATGGAAAATGCCAGATTGCAAATCGATCAAGATCAACCCAAAAAAATCAATGGACACGACTCGGGGTTGCAGGGGTATTATATATCCGGCTTGAATTTGGTGTCGCTTCCAGCCGCTCGTGTGACCCAGATAACAAAATGGATGGGGAGAATACCCAGTCCGTGTGTAATTTAAAGGCTGTTCCTGCTTCTTTCGAATGTTCTCCCGAGGATTCGTAGTGGGTGGTCTGTGGTGTTGGTGGGATGTTCAGCCGATTAGCTGCAATTCGGAGAAGCTCGGCGGTCGGCCAGCTCCGATGTATGGTAATTACCGTATTTATATGCGGATGAGTTTCTTCCGCACATTTAATTATTGGTATTGTGGTTCTGTGCGGTAAGGCTGATAAGGTGTCCTTGGATCATCATATCGAAGAATACCTGAAATAGCAAAATACATCGCTGTCGCTTACTATGCATTGTTAACTGCGGCAAAATTACACATAGATAGTTTGTGACTGTGAGCGTTAGTGTCTTCAAGCCGAGAAACCATTATTTCGCCCCCACACGTATATTTCTCTATCCAGTCTTTAGGGATCGAGCGCAGGCTATCATGAATTTTTACCAAACAAGGTACAAAGTATATTGAAAAATATATGGGATAGGAATTAAACTTTGCGGATCATCTCGGTTCCACTCAAGCTACTTGATAGCAACATTTCACCATGGGGAGAGGTGTTGGATTCAAATATTGTTCATATGTTCAAGGTATATACATATCTGAGCATAGAAGGCTTATGATCCAATCGTCGCCCGCGGGCCTGAATATATACCTAAATCTTCATCTATTCTTGTTTTTCAACAACTCGGCGAATGGATAAATTGCTATAGCTCTCACATGGTCAACCATTCGTATAGTCAAGTGGGGTCAGCCAAATTCATATTTATGCTGCAGCTGCCGCAAAGTTGGCAGCATCGTCGACATTCAGTGCATAAGTCAGATGGGGAGGGCCAATGATGATACCATTCTTGCAAATATCATCAGCGGCATGGCAAGCTGTGTACACCTTTGAGGCAGGGATATTCGAAAGTGCTTGTCCATTCTCTGTTCTTTGTTAGTGAAGTTTCAAGCTTTGTTTACGAGGCGGATTCAATCATACTGGGATCTCCAAACAGCAACGCACTGCTGACCCAGCTTGCAGTTGTCGCTTGCAGTTGTGCAACAGCATTATGCACAATTTGACAACCTTGAGAGTAGCCAGAAGCGATCAACTTTGTATTTGGGCACTTCGTCTTTACTGCCTCAATTTGGCGAGCCCTACAGATACAATATCAGCATCTCACCTATGTAGAAGACGGAAAGTTTTATAAACTCACATTTCCTTGCTTCCAGCCGCATCTCCTCCCGCCAAGTATCCTTTAACCGATGCCGCATAGTTATTCACCCCCTGGATAGTGAGCGCCGAACTGCCAAATTTTTCGAGTAAAGCATCAAACAAGGGTGGCCCAACGAGGACTCCGACCTGGCGAAGAACATATATCAGTAATTATAATCTTTCGATATATCCATATTCTAGAACTTACATTTCCTGGTTCAGCTGTACCACGAGCGAACACGACAGTCCATTCCTTGCATGCCCCTTCCGCCTCGTTATAGGTTTCTTGTGCACCAGTCAAAGCGCCAAGCAACTTGTCAAAGGTGGTGATAACAGAAGTACCGTCAACGAGAGACTGGCTCACGATAGGTAGGTGATCGAGAAGAGTGTTCAAAAACTCATTCAAACCAGCCCCTCTTTTGGTAACCTCCACCTCAGTTGGTGCTGGTACCGGTGATGCAAATGCATTCAGCCCAAGAAGGGTCAGAAGAACCAGTTGAAGGTTAACAAACATGTTCGACGATTTCGGCTAGGATGCTGATGTCTTCTCCAAAGGAATACTCTAAGAATTGGGCGGGACTGGTCACTGAATTTATAGCAAAGCACTCAAGGATGCGCTTCATGATTCACATGGTATCATGATATGAGTCTTTTGAGACACCGAGGCTTTCATCAACCTCGATATCTCGAAGGAACGAAAAGTGGAAACTTGCGACTTGCATATAATGTATGGGGTATATACCTGCATGACCAATGCTACGATCCCCTCTTAACTAACAAAAACCTAACAATCTAATTAGAGTTACGATTGACCAATGAGAAATGAGCTTACATCTTGACTGAGGCTTTCCTTTCTCTCTTTGTGTCCCGTAGGCGGCTTGCAATGCTGAGGATTCGTCGATTGGTCAATTTCACAAGCTCAGCACTAATACCGAGCTCAAGGGCACTGATCTCATCCGTTTGTCCGGAAAGAAGAGAGGATACAATCGTGTACAAAGCATCGTCAAGGTGTTTGAGCAGGAGCACTAGTTTCATGATCGGGCGGGGACTGGAAGTGCAAAGGAATATTCTCGGGCTGATCTCGCGTTGGAAGGATTCCAGGTTTCTCCGACGTTGTGCTTTAGTTCGTCACGAGGGAAGTCAAGTGTGGGGAAGTACTATATTAGCCTTTTGCTTGTCCTAATTAGGCAACATGCCCGCCGTACTCGCATTGTATCTCGCTATAGACCTAGGATTGATATATACAACACATCAATAAATGTGATTAACATCGGAAAGCTCATCTGATCTTGCACTCAATATGTAACTTGCCGAGATGTTTGGGCCGAGGAGAAATATGGCAGAAGATTTTCGGCAACCGTAATACCCCGCGAAGTTGAGGGAACCTTGACCGCTGAATAGGTTTGGTTTATATGGAGATTACGAGGAATTTGGAGAATATCAGGCTTTGAATTACCACTGCTAAAACACTTTGCTCGCTTTAAATCTTGGAAAGCCCACCTGGACGTGCGATGCAACACTGAAACTTACCCGGTACGACTCGGCTTTTCGGGGATGCCTTTCGTTAGGTAATAATACATGATGAAGTTCGGGGACTCTATTTTATCTGTGTGCCGTGTCAGCAAGTCCAATTTATTTCATTATTGTCTATTTTAGGTTTTCGAACAGGCACCCACGTAAAACTGTTAGCGTCTTGACATTAATACTGCCAAATAATACGCCAAATTCTTGGCCTTCTCTTGGGCAATTCTTGGATTGCATAGCTTGTCCCGTGCATAGTCACACTTCTCCATTCGACGATGCATAACGACATGATCCCCTTGCATGGCGCGTATTTTCTGGACTATTGCCTCTCCTTCAAACACAAATTATCGCGGGCACAACTTATGACCAGATTGTTATGCTGGATTTTTTCCGCAGTGGAATGAACAGGCAATATTCTAGGGTCTTTCAAGTCTAGACCAGATGCATAGCACTCTGTAAAAAGACCCATCATCCACGGAGGAAGGGGACTTCGGCTCGGATCCGGTAGAGCCTTGCTATGATAATCTGTTGTTGAGTCGGTGGAGTGATAGAAGCATATGAGGTGACAAAAAGTTTCTTTTGTAGACAGTTGACTGCTAGCAACGAGTGCCAAGTTGGCACCTGCACTGAAGCTTGAAACAGAGATGTAAGACGGGTCAAAGTCTTGGGGATTCGAGATCACCCATTTCGCCGCGTCTTCGGCCTCATGAAGGGCAGCAGGAAATGGGTTTTGTGAGTAAAGGCGGTATACGACGTCCAAAACGGCGTTATCGGTATATTGAACGACTAGACGAGCAAATTCGTCGTCGCTGCCATGCAATGGTACTATGAACCCGCTGCCATGGAAGTTCACCAAGACGGGACTCGGCATTCTGATTCTCGATTGGTACAAATGTGCTATGATAGTTCTTATTTGTGGTTAGGAAGCTGCGGTCAAGTCCCACTTGAAGATAAGTTGAACAAGCCACGTCCCAACCTTGGGATGAAATCTTTTGAGTAATCTAGTCGAATTACTTTAATTTATGATATCAGATTCTTAATCTCGACTTACAAACTACTCTCTATCTTGATATTTGCTCAGGCTTAAGTACCATAGTATGTTTTCCCTATAGAATCTTCCAGGGAGATTATGGATACTTTATGTTGTATATGCTTGTTTCTGCATCTTTGATCTACAGTTTTATCTCTGCTCAAACACACCAAAGCCCAGAGTCAGTGGAACCGGCGTACCTGTTCATATTCATATAATTGTTATAAATTGAGATCTGTTTGTAGCCTGATATGATTGCTAAAACATATGGCATGATCGTTTGCCCGAATGTCAGTGTTCAGGCAAGATTCTGAGTTTGTCTGACGTACTAAATCAAGACCCTGTAAAGGAAGCTACTCGTAAACCAATTTATCTCAATCGGCGGCGGTCCTTCTGCTGTTTGAGCCTTAAGCATCGTGTGATAGCTGCCTTGAATCCGCTCAAATACCTCTAAATTGCATTTCAGGATATTAGCTAATTCCAATAAGCATTCGAATCTACAATATTTTTACGCCCTAGTTGTATTGAAATAAAGGTGAAAGGGACCACTCCCTGCAAAGGAGTTTCAGTGAAGAACAGACCCTGGGCATTGCGATCTCAATTTCTAAATAGGGTTAAAACCGCGGGTCAATGTTATGTCACAGTCTGGTACGCGGATCTAATCAAAGGGTAATTTGATCTTACCGGCAATCCTTCCCTTTTGGGCGAGACTTTGGGACCCTGATTATCTGATCAACTGATAGCCAGAACCGGACAGGATTATGGAGTCGATTGTATCCGACATCTGAGCCGGTAAATGGCCGATGGACATCCCAAATTGGTGACTTTTAACGTTACATTACTAGCCAGCAATGTCCACTATATATCCAAGCAGCATATACCAATTTGCCAGAATATACGGCTATATTGTACTTCGGTGACCTTTTACCTGTCCATCTCGCACGCACTGGCCCTGGCAGCAATTGATCATGTTGTTCTCTACCAGAACGCTCCCCTATGGGCTTCAGCCGAGGTTTCACTATCAAGTCTGCACGCCTCGAGCTTTCCAAACACGGAAAATACACCTTATTTAATTCCTAAATTTACTTGGAAAATTGGGTCACTATGGCAATTTCATCTTGAGCATCTTAAGACTAATACACATTCAATATACAAATGGAACATGATTAAAAGTGAGCTAGCCTTCTACCAGTGAATATAGAGATTTGCCATCTCAGACGTGTGCTAAAAATCTTCTACTATTGCATGATTTTGACCATACGTTACATAGCAGTGCCTAGCTAAACAATCATATTTAGCGCACGATTTACATAATGGACAAGAAAAAGTTTCGGACTTTTGAAAAATGGCTGATCCTTCGAACGATCTCCCTGACACTTTGAATTATCTGGAAGGGCTGAGTGTGGACCCTGAAAGCGAAAGTTAGTTCTGGCATTCAAGCAAGAACCATGTGTAGGGCCATGCCACCAAGGACTAGTGTGTTGTCAAAATTCAGCTAATCGGCACTAGATTGAATTTGGTTGGCACAAGTGAGCTTGGACATACACACGAACGGGAACGTACATGAACTAAAAACAAGAAGACTTTGATGGGCCGACCACGTGACCCTTCACAACTCCAAAATGGTGGTAGTGGTTCAAAGTGAGATCATAGGACTTCCTCGCAGGCGAAGGCTGCTTCAGATTCAAAGCCATTGTATGGAGTCCTTATATTTCAAAGGTCAAAGTTTCTTGGTTGGCAAATTTTCCGTCATAAGTCGGCGGCCCGTTCCGAAATTTGGAAATGGCAGGGCTTGGCTGAGACATGAAGTGGGTCCAATCTGATACGAGTCTCGGCATTTGTCATATTTTGCAATTGATCATCTTACGGTTGTATTGCGTCTGTGCAAAACAATTCGGCTTGAAAGATCAAGATCATGGAAAACAGCATACCAGCCACGTGATAAATCTAAAGAACAGCACCAGGGACCTGCTTCTTGTCGACATCCACATTTCTCAAGAGAGCAGCAATGCAGGGCAAACTCAGTGCAACCACAGCTGTAGTTACAATACAGCTATACTTCTGGCTATCACCCAAGGCAATTCTGATGGCGTTCCGGGCCATCTATCCCATGGGATAGGTTATCTGGGTCACATACATCCCAAAGTAGGTGTCTGTCCACTGTGCCTGTGTCTCCGCCGAAAGCTTTACGACCAAAGTATTTGGGAAAACATTGTCGTATATAGCAGATGCGACAGTAACTCCTGTAGCTCCACCAAAGCTGGCAATAAGTCCAACAACTGAACGCATAATTGGGACTCCGTCAAGGTCTGCTGCGCTCATAACTTGAAACATGAGCCTACAGTCGCAACAGAAAAGACTTTTGAACTGATGTAAGATATACAGACATCAAGCCAAAGGAAGCTCTGGGAGTCGTGAGATATGTCGGACGCTTCGAAATCCTCGAGAAGATTGGAAAAATCGCCTACAAACTAGACATCCCCGAACATTGGCTCAAGAAGGGAATGTATCCAGTCATTAGCATTGCGCACCTGGAGCCAGCGCCCACTGGCGAGGATCCTTGGCAACGGGGTGGGGAACCGCAGGAACATGTCCCGACCTTCGACGGGAGATTCCCCGATGACGCGAACAGGTATGATATCGAGCGTATACTGGACAAAAAGACGAACCTAGCTCCAGGACGCCCAAAGGCGAACGATTCAAGGAAACAAACAACATGGTACTTCGCCAGGTGAGCGGGGCAATCCGCGGAGGAGGACAAATGGGTTCGCGCAGAGGATACTGTTGGTTGCGAGGACCTGATCCGTGAATTCGAAGAAAGAAGCTAGGCAGGAAGCACAAGCCAATTATTCTTACTACAATTCATTTTTATCTCTCGTGATTCTTCATTATATCTCATCATTCTTGCAACTTTATCTTTCTCCCAACTTCATCTCTCTTCTAACTTCATCCTTCCTTTCACTATACGTTAGTGCAGCATCAATTCAACCTGACTACACCCTATTGAATAAGCCGATCATTGGGGCTACCTTCTAAGTGCGGCCTCACTCGCACAGTCGCGCGCAGAGCCTAACTGAAAGCCATAGCTCTCAGATTAGCTCTCACATCTAAGCCCTACCAGCTCTCACATCTGAGCTCATTTTCAACTCTATCATCCAACTTTGTCTATCACCTCTTCAACCCTGACATCCAACCAACTTCGTCTATCCAAAACCAAAACCTCGTCTACCCTCAAAAACTCGTCAAGAAGGTTAAAAGCAAGCCAGAACTAAAGCCAGAACTGATTCAAGACACCCGGGACGAGGACGCTGGAAAGCCCGCAAGAGACCCAAGTTGCAGAAAAGAGAATACCGCGTTCACCGCTAGCCTTCAAATGCAGCTAGACAAAGCGAAGGGACCTGTTCCAGCTCCCGCTACAACATGGCAGACTGGGGACCCCGTTTCAACCTCGAAAACATCTTCCAATGCATGCATCACCAAGGTTCTTGATGCGTTTGATGCAACGCTAAGACTGCGTTTGACTGCAAAATAACGTGAGAGTTTTGAGAAGGCCAGAGGCCATGACTGAAAGCCGAAGTCAAGGGCTATGAATTTGGATTTTATATTCTTCGGTTCAACCAAACGGAAACAAAATTCGAAGAGCCTCTTATTTCTGTGAAGCGCAAGGGTGTGTCGTCACTTTGCAGAAGCCAGATAGCCGCCCAGCTGTGTGTAGGGAATGCCTACTTGACTCACCTGGGCTTCCAAAGTACCACCACTACTAAAGCGCCAGAGTGATTTTCTGAAACTGCATACTGCACTTCATGGAGCGCTGTAATGCAACCCGCATCTTTACTTACGCCTACCATTTCTTTGGGCGTCAATTGTTCCAACTTCCTCATGGCCCCTACTATTGGCCATACTTCTAGCCCTTATCCACGATACCTCAGCCAGGTGGCAGTGCTCCCTGTTTCGGCCTCCCGCACCCACCATATGCAAGGTTAGCCGCCCCGCTAGGCACGACCTGAATAGTTCCTGTACTTGCGACCTCTCATACCTCTCATACCTCAGGTAGAGAAGGTGTTTACCATGACAGGATTTTATTTATGACTCTATCATTTTATCAACTTTTACTGGACTTCTTTTTTTCAAATGCTCAAGTCCAAAGTTGTCTGACTTTTGCCAAACTGGGCCCTTACTATGGGAAAATGCCGTGCACAGACCACCCCCATACAAAAAAGTTCCCCACCAGCAATTTCTGGCCCCGTATAGTGCTGTCTGCCTTTTTACCACCAAAACGTAGTCGGTGAGCTTGTATAGAAGTAATAACTTGAAGTAGTAAATAGAATGATTATAATGGTTGTTGAAAATGGAAATCTTTTCACCGAGCAATGATCAAGATTACAAAAAAAGCAAAAGTCGAGCACAATGCAAAAGCTCACCACTCTACTCGTGAAAACCCTAATGCGTTTACACATAACCATACGATTTGTTCTGCTGGTCAATCGTCTGTGTAATTTTAGAGTAAAATAATGTCTTGCTTGTTCATTGATCATAGATTCTGATAAATTGTAGGTCCCTTAAGTTAGATTGACCTCTTTACAATGCATTGCACTTCTGTGACCTACAAATAATGATCACTAGTAAATATATACTGTCATTGCGGTGATGGATTTTACTAGAAGTAAGCACCTTTGAAGATTTACTCTGGCGAGGGGTAAAGGTAAATACAACGACCAAAGCTACAATAAATACCCGTTCATTGCGGACTTTCTTTCGCCTCCTGTAAATTTTGACCATAACTGTCTTTCTGCAAATCCAAATCCGCTGTCATGATCGAAGCTTTTATAACGCGCTCGGATTTAGGAGCTAGAACCTGCGTGTAGATCCATTTATTTGTGCTATTTTTTTTAGGGATCTGCAGGAAAATATTAGTATAGTGACTAAGTCATCTACAAATCATCCATAAAGGGCGAATTACAATAGGCGACTTTACTATCATCACCTCTCTAGTACGCCACAAACAAATTTTCTCAGTGTAATAGTGCCTAAGCCGCGCTATGACATAGTAGGACGCTTCAAGTATAAGTCGTCTTATTTTCCCATCTGTTAGATAATATCATAGATTCGTGACCCGAAGTTCAACCACTGTAAATACTCTCGAATCTGTGTTAAAGTCTATACGCATACAACACCGCCCTAGAACATCCGGCTTATGGACCAACATTTGAGCGAAATTCCTTGCATCGCACACTTTCGTCAACTGGCTAATCCTGACCAAACCTCAGGCCAATGATGGCTTGTTTCAATGCCTTTCACGTTGTCTAAAATTGTACCCCACCGTATGTCCTTCATACTGTCGTCAACTGGCTAATATGGCGCGCTATGTTCGCCGCTTTAGAGTATGCTAGTCCGTCAACCAATTGGAAATTTAGCCGCCTGGCTTATATCAATCCATCCTAGTGGCTGCTGAAAGAAGGTGTAAGCATCCGGCAGGAATTCTGCAATGCAAAGCGCATTGACTCTTGGGAATAGTAGGTGATTTTGCTGTCCAAAAAGTTGGCGCCCTCTCAACATTCATTACACAGAATGTTGAGTCAAACAATTGATTTTGGCCGGCATATTTGATTGCATTGATCCAAGCCAAATCACAACAAGCAATATCCTTCCCCTCGACTGTTTTTTCACAGTCTAATTTCCCACGAACAATCCCTGCTTTGCGATGTTTCAATTTCTATATTAATGTAATTCAGCGCTTAACGAGTCATTGTATGATACCGTAAATATACACAGAATTTTGTCGAAGGGGCGAGGAGAGGTCTAGCGATGCAGTTTGAAATATTCCCAGTCCTCCGTTCTTTCTCTTATCATTTGTTCTGTAAGCAACTAGCACTATCAAGCCACATGTCGGTTTTGTTTGTGTTGGCCATGGATTCCGCTCGCTCCTGTTGTTTCGATCTGCTCAAGGCATCTGCTAGCGCGCAAATAAGCTGACGCAGATCTTTAGAGCCTCTATCACGGTACAGCGCCCATCGTTAGCCCCGTTTGCTTAGCCGCATGCATGCACTGCGCAATTTTTGAGATTCTGAGCTTATCAATTTATTTGGATAAGTGGCGATGCATGTCGACGTGGTCATCCTATGTAACCGAAATCACATTGTGAGGCTGAATTGGAAAAGCGGGGGCCACGGTATGCACTATAAAGAGGGGGTTGATCTAAAACTTACCATTTTCTTCCCAGCGCTCATTCACTTCCTTTCAATACTACATTCTAGCTCTCTGCATCTTCAGTCTTGTTCTTTTCGAGTTCTGGTATACCCATCGCCATGGCCCCACTGACCACGGCCGAACGCATCCGCGCCGTGGAACACATAATCGACTATGAGTTCCATGACAAAGCTCTTCTTGAGAAAGCCCTCGGAGCTGCCGGCGCCACCGCGGATCCCGAGGGTAACAAGCGGATTGCGTTAGTCGGGGACGCTGTCTTACGCCTGGCTCACCATGATTCTTGTTATCAAGACCAAGCGTCTACTGGTGAGACACCCAAACTTGTTCTTTCATTTGTTGTCGAAGTGTTAATGAGATCAAAGGTGAGATGACCATTTCACATAATGGTAAGGCCGCAAACGAAAACCTGTCGCGGATATGCTGTTCCCTGGGCATAAGTGTCTACATTAAACTCAATCCTTCAGCCCGGGGCGTTATCCAGTCGTCGCTCATGGCAACCACCATCGAGGCCATTATTGGCGCGGTCTGGTTAGATTGTAAGAAGGATATAATGATCATACTTCTGTTGATCATCCATCTCGGCATCATGTCGAAATTCTAGTGAATATCCTCGGGTGAGTGACTGCTCTTCCCAGGTTGCATTCATCTTCTGAATGCTGATTCGTGCTTTAGGTCGCATTTCCCGGGGGGTATCACTATACCCTTACGGCGATAGTTGCTCGCAGATGCCCTGGTAAAGAGGCTTTTCAGACGTTGTCGAGAAGGACGCACTTGGTACTATGCGTCCCTCTCGAGAATGTCTGGAAAGCCTCTTTATGATGGCATCTGGTGGTTAGTATTGTTGGCATAGTATCTGGATACTCCGATGGGCGCCAGTCGTTGGCATTTGTCTAGCGCGGAGATCTCTCCGGAACTTTTGCGACAGGAAGCCTCTTAGTACCAGGGCTTCCTGACGCAAAAGTTCCGGAGAGATCTCCGCGTTAGGCAAATATCAATGACTGGTATTTGTAGTAATTTTTGGAATTCATATTGAAGTTTTTGGCTTCGCTGGGATGTATTCAACATATTGTCTGCTAAGTTATTGGCTTGGTTTGAAATGTTTCATTTTTGGAAATTTTTGGACTCTCACGCTTGGCCAACGATTCAACATCTTAGGGTCATTGAGCGTTGTCGGATATTTGCAGTCCTCAAATTTAATCTAGTCACTCGTTTTAACTCCATTCTTCAAGATTGTAGATTAGTAGAGAGTATGAATTCTATAATAAAAACCCATATAGATTCTACACCATCGTATCCTAACCTTCATGTAGGTGACGGTAACAATGTTATCCTGACTGAGTCTCTACATCTATCATCCCGCTACATTTTAAGAGTTATCTATTTCTTTAAAAAACAAAAATTTAGCATACAACGACCTATATGACCTATATAAATGCAAACCTCGCGGCCTGGAATTGGTTAGCGTTGGTCGGCATATCCCGGATTAATCTAAATAGCCACGACTGTGAATAACCCCAGCTTAACCTCCCACTCGGAGATCACTACTTGCAAAGTTGAAACTCATAAGTATACACTGTTTGTTCAACCTACCGGAAGTACGGAATTATAACATAGCTAATCGGTCCAGGTCTCGAGCTATAGTGATAAGGATGTAAATAACATCATGACTATCTGCGTTACAAGGTGCCTTTCAAAATACCCAGTAAGAGCAAATTTATTAAAGAGACCTTTAAGACCAAGCTGCAAACAAGATATAAGCAAACTGCCTACGAGGATGAAAAGTATTATTTTAAAAATATGACTAAGTAATAATTTATCGATGAATATAAACTAGTTAAGTTAAGTAAATCTATTATGATTTGATTAACGGATCTTCTTAGATAGAAGCGTCTTATCGTTTATTGAAATCTTAAGTATTCTACTTGTTAGAAAGACATAGCTAATATAATATGCTCATCACCGTAAGGCGTGTATCTGACTAATTTGCTACTTATAGAAGTGATCTATTAGCTCCTGACTATACTATTTATGAAGGTTTTCGGCGTACAGACTCCTGGAGTAAGACTATACACTCTTTCCTTAAAGAAAAAACTTACACCTTCTCCTTTTTTCCTTGTCTTACTACGGAGATACCATCATGCCTCCTTAGATCGCTATCTTCTTTATAGGCTTTCCTCATTTGTCTATGATTTTCTTAAGAGCTAACGTGTTATTACTCTATACATAGCCATATCCTTAAGTTAGCCGAGGCCGAAAGGCAGGGCATCGAGGCTACCAGCGGCAAGGTCGACATTTACCAAAATTTTGCTATCTATTACTCTATTTTAGTGGCCTCAGCTGACAATCACGTCTAGATTTACCGAGACATAGATTTACCGAGACACTATTCTAAGAAATCTAACTATCCAGTGGTGACCCCCGAGACCCTCACAAAGTACGATGCCGTTCTCTTCGGGATCCCTACACTTCACGGAAATTTCCCTGCGCAGTGGAAGGTGTTGCAACATCTAGTCCACTATCATTGTCGTTGCTGAGGCTGCAGTCGCTAAAATCCCTGCGCTGTAAATGAGCACTGATTCTCTCTGGGAGAGGACCATCACTGCCGAAACAATGATATGACAGACAACGGTGTTTGTATTGTTAGAAATGTCTTACCGCAATGTGTCATCCGTAGCTCGTGGCTAGAAGAACTTATTCAAACCACGTATCCATTTTGCCTAGTATATTCACACCACGAGGCCTACGGCAACCTCAGGGTATTAGTTATAAAAATTCCCCACCCGCAATTTCTGGCCCCGTATACTGCTGTCTGCCGTTTTACTACCAAAATATGTTCGGTGAGTTTGTGTAGAAATAACAACCTGAAGTAGTAAACGGAACCATTATAGTGGTTATTAAATTTGTTAAAATTAAAAACCTTTTTATCGAGATATGATCAAGAAAGGAATGAGAAAAAGTCGAGCACGATGCGAAAGTCACCACTCTACTCGTAAAAGCTCCAATACGTTTGCACATAACTATACGAGTCATTCTATTATTTGATCGCCCGTCTATAATTGGAGTAAGATAGCGCCTTGTTTAATTTTTAGCTATAGATGCCCCCTTAGTTTTCCTTTTTCTAATTCCTTTTTCGATAAATGTTTATAGATTCAGACAAATTGTAGGTCCCTCAGACTAGGTCGGCCTCTATATAATGCATTGCACTTTGGAGACCTACAAATGGCCATTATCTTTCAGTAAATGTAGTTATTACGCTGATGTGATTTACTAGAAGTATACGCCTTTCAAGATACTCTGGCCACAGGTAAAGTAAACTCAGATGACCAAAGCTACAATGAATCCCCTTTTATTGCAAACTTTCGTTGGCCTCCTGTAAATTCTGACTATAATCCTCCATTAGTTTTCTGCGAGTAAAAACCTGCTGTCATGACGTACGTATTTACAAAGCAACCGGATTAAGGAGCTTGAACCTGCCTGCAGATCTAGTTGATTGTGCTATTCTTCTTGGAGATCTAGAAAAATAGTTATTAGTAAATTAAGTTGTCCACAAAGGACGAACTAAACGGGGCGAGTTCATTATCATTGCATCTCTAATACACCAACGAACAAGTTTTCTCAGTGGACTCTAATATTGCCCTAGCCGCGTCCTAATACAGTATGACACTCCAAGTATGAGTCGTCTCATTTCCCCATCTGTTAAATAATAGTATATATTCGTGATTCGAGGTCTGATCGGTGTAAAGACTCTCGAATCTGTGTTAAAGGCTATACGCATACAACACCGCCTTAGAACATCCGGCTTATAGACCAACATTTGAGCGAAATTCCTTGCATCGCATCCTTTCCTCAACTGGCCAATCCTGAACCAAAGCTGAGGCCAAGGATGTTTTGTTTCAAAGCCTTTCACATTGTTCAAAATCAATATCGTCAACTGGTTAATATGGCGCGCTGTGTTCGCCGCCTCAGAGTATATCTCATTTGGTGCCCTGTCGAGCCTCAGCTATAATATCAAAGAATTCGACTCTGACCCTTTTTACCACTTTATTAGTGACCTTCCGTAGCCAAAAGGGACAATGTCTGTACGATTTCGCCGCAACTGGTCACCTGTCGCTTCGGTTCTATGCGTTATGGGTTAGATTGAAGTCTCAGAGAGGGCCCGCCCGCGATCCCTCGCGGGAATTAAATGTGTTTGTATATCGTAATAGGCTTATAACAAAGTTTGATAGTTTCTAAATTTACGTGAGGCTAAAGATTTACATTGGGAACTGGGGACCAATCCCCGAAGCGGTGTGGGTACGCCACGGGATTATTATAGCCCGTGACCCGGAAATAGTATCATCGATCTTTTTCTTTGATGTCATGAATGCTAAGTTGACGAATGCAGCCACTCATGCGAGGTCTGGGGGCGTGTCTTATAACTCCGTGTGGGTTGCTCCCGGATAAACGGGATCGGTTCTTGAAACCTAACCTAATCCCTCACTGAGAGCTCTGAACATGGACTTTATAAGACAGAAAAGCTGTCATCAAATCATCACAATCTGTACAAAGAGTATTTACGATGATTGAGACAATTCGCGACACAGGCTTTGGGAAGCTGGTCCGATTTTTCAGCGGCAGACGTCTCTTACGCTTCCCAGAAGAACAAAATCCCTCAATATGGAACGCATACGTCAAAGCACCGGAGATGAAACCCGAGGAAACAGGGTTATCTGAACCTGATAGCTATGAAGAAGACCTTGAAGCCTACGGACTATATTCAGTCATGTCGCAAGCCTCTCGTGTAGGGCGAAGAACTTCCACCACGGCCTCCGCATTGTCAGCTCAGAATCGAAGTAGCCCTATCGTAATCTCTTGGGGACCAAATGACACCGAGGTATTCCTTCCCTAAAAAACGGTCAATGAGTTTTGCTAATTACTAAAACGCTATAGAATCCTCAGAATTGGAGTCTCACTAAGAAGCTACTGGTCAGCTCCATGATCTGGTTACTGACTTTCGCCATTTACATCGGGTCCGCGATCTATTCACCCGGCATTCCGGACGCAGCACAACATTTTGGTATAAGTAACGTCTCTGCTACACTCGGCCTAACACTGTTCGTCCTGGGATATGGCGTTGGGCCCATGATCCTGTCACCACTCTCCGAGCTTCCCGCAATCGGACGCAGTCCAACCTATGTCCTGAGCTTGGTCGTTTTCGTATTCTTCAACTTCGGTGTCATCTACGCCAGCAACCTGGGAATGTTTCTCGCATTCCGATTCTTGACTGGCTTCTTCGGTTCCCCAGCTCTGGCCACCGGTGGCGCGTCAATGGGCGACATCTGGAGCCCGCGGGCACGTGACTATATGATTGCTGTGTGGGGGTGCTTCGCGATCTCAGCGCCGGTCTTGGGACCTTTGGTGGGAGGGTTTGCCGCTGCCGCTAAGGGATGGACCTGGACCATCTGGCAGTTAATGTGGATCTCGGGTTTCACGCTTATTCTGCTGTTATTCTTCTTGCCCGAGACCTATGCGCCGAATATTCTAAGTCGGCGCGCAGGACGGGTGAGGGAAATCACAGGTGATCCAAACTGCGTATCGGAATCCGAGCTTGAGCTTCAGAGTATGACCAAAAAGGTACGTTCTCGGCGAGAGTCATCACAGAACTATATAATATCAACGCAAAACACAAGAACCTAACATGTAATCTTTGGGACAGGATCTAATATTCGAAGCCCTCGTCCGCCCCTTTCAACTCTGCTTCCTCGAGCCGATCGTCTTCCTCCTCAACCTCTACATCTCCCTAATATATGGTATCCTCTATATTTGGTTCGAGGCCTTTCCTATCATCTTCGAAGAAATCCACGGCTTCAACTCCGGCCAAAATGGTCTGGCCTTCCTTGGCATTCTTGTCGGAACCATCGTCCTCGCGATTCCGGGCTACTTCTTCTGGAAGTACCGCTACCAGTCTCGGAAATTTGATACGGAAGGCAACATCGCGCCAGAAAGCCAGCTACCTCCCGCCTGCGTGGGCTCTATCTGTCTCGCTGTCTCACTGTTCTGGTTCGGCTGGACCGGCAACTTCAAATCCGTGCACTGGATCGTCCCCATCATCGCGTCGGCGATGTTCTCGGTGGGCGGGTGTCTGATCTTCAATAGCATCTTCACCTACGAGGCGCACGCCTATCCGAAGTATGCGGCGTCCGTGCTCGCGGGCAATGACTTCATGCGCTCGAGCTTTGGGGCCGCATTCCCGGTGTTCGCGACCGCGATGTTTCATAATCTTGGGGTGGGGTGGGCGTGTACATTACTGGGCTGCTTGTCAGTGCTGTTTGTGCCGTATCCCTTTGTTTTGTTGGGCTTTGGGAGAAGGCTGCGGCTGGCGAGTAAATTTGCAAGGCATGATATTTAAAATTGAGTATAACCTGGACTTTTCCCGAAATATGGTAGAAGCAGGTCAAGGTACATAAGAAATATTTTTGCGAGGTATACGTGTCTATTCATACGCATTGAAGATGTCGTTGCAAAATGGATCACGAAAAAGGAACAAATAGTGATAATTTGAATTTGGGACAGATGACGAGTCTCAATGCTATGCTTTTCAGGGAGGATTTAATGATCCTCGCCCTATATATAGATACATATCCGGATCAGAAGCTCTCTTGGCAATAGCATACAGAGATACTCCTCGTCGCCCATTGAAGGACTGCCGGCTAATATAGTCATCGAGACTGTATGATGGGCAATGAGATATGAAGAATGAATATGTAATTGCGGACGGACGAGAGACGGGAGAGGAGAGAGTAGAGAGATGGAGAAAGATATCTACTATCTACTATCGTGCACGTAGACTATCCCCACTGAGAAGACACCTGAAGCTCCAACATACGGAATGTGTAGAGGGGGATCCATAGTTCATATTCATTGAAAAGATATCTGCCACGCCATCCTTCAGTAAGCGAAGTACCGCGACAGAATTATTCGTTTCTGTGAAAACGCAGGGTGATATGCTAGTCATCACGCCATTCACATATGTAGGTCGAATGGACGCAAGATTGTGATATAGAGCTCTTTATTAATTATGTGTGAAGCAATAGATTGGCTACATGACGCGAGGAGCAGAAATAAGTCCCACTTTACAAATTCATCGCCCCTCGGATTTACGGCGATCCGGATTTTGATATGAATGGCTCCGACTGTGAATAACCCCAGCCTAGCTCAACCTCCCACTCGGAGATCACTACTTGCAAAGTTGAAATCCACGATTATACACTCTTTGTTCAACCTACCGGAAGTACGGAATTATAACATAGCTAAACGGTCCAGGTCTCGAGCCATACTGATGAGGATGCAAATGACATCATGACTATCGCGTTACAAGGTGCCTTTCAAAATACCCAGCAAGAGCAGATTTATCAAAGAGACTTTCAAGACCAAGCTACAAACAAGATGTAAGCAAACTGCCTACGAGGATGATAAGTGGTTATTTCAAAACCATGATCAAGCAATGATTTATCGATGAATATAAACCATTTAAGTTAGGCAAATACATTTTGACTTAATCAACGGATCTTCTTAGATAGAAGCGTCTTATCGGCTGTTGAATTCTTAAAGTATTCTACTAGTTAGAATAAAATAGCTAATATAATATATTCGTTACTATAAGGTGTGTATCTGACTAATTTACTGCAAATAGAAGTAATCTAGTAGCTCCTTACTACACTATACATGAAGGTTTTCAGCGTATAGACTCTTAGAGTAAGACTATACACTCTTTCCTTAAAGAAAAAAACTTACACCTTCTCCTTTTTTCCTTATCTTGCTGCGCAAATACTATCATGCCTCCTTAGACCGCTATCGTTTTTGTAGGCTTTCCTCATTTGTCTATGATTTTCTCAAGAGCTAACGTGTTATTACTCTATGCATGGCCATATCCTCAAGTTAGCCGAGGCTGAAGGCAGGGCATCGAGGCTGCCGGTAGTAAGGTCGACATTTACCAGAATGTTGCAGTCCATTGCTCTATTTTAGTGGGCTCAGCTGGCAATCACATTTAGATTTGCCGAGACACTATTCAAAGAAGTCCCGAGCAAGATGCATGCACCCGCAAAGTCTAACTATCCAGTGTTGACCCCCGATACCCTCACAAAGTACGATGCCGTTCTCTTCGGGTTCCCTACACGTTACGGAAATTTCCTTGCGCAGTGGAAGGTGTTCTGGGACCATGCTGGCAACTAGTGGGTCAGTGGAGGCTTTTGGGGCAGGTATGCTGGTCTCTTCGTCTCGTCTGGTACCTTGGGTGGTGGTAAGGAGTCCACTGCTATCGCTTCCATGTCCACGCTTGCCCATCACGGCTTCATCTACATGCCTCTCGGCAACAAGATCGTCTATGCCCAACTAGCCAATATGGACGAGATTCACGGTGGCAGTGTTTGGGGCGCTGGTACATTTGCTGCAAGTCTTCGATCTCCCATTTGCTTTCAACATGGGCGCTAATATCTTCTAAGAGTGCCGACGAATACCGCCAGCCCACTCTCGAGCTTGAGATTGCCCAAGCGCAGGGAAAGGCGTTCCGTGAGCACCTGGTCAGGGTTAGCTTCGCATGAGGACGTGTTAGCGACGTATTAATTCCGAGTCGTACTTTGTAGCGACCAGATGAAACTGGGAACAAGAATAAGAATAAATTGTCCAGACCTGCAGCGTAGAACAAATAGAATAGCCGACCTGGTCAAACCCAGGAAAAAGGAGCAATAGGGCTTGGCCAGTGAATTGCTTGACCCAACCTGGGTCCGGAAGGTTGGGTCCGGAAGACTCCTGCCGAGCATACTGTCGCTTACTGCTATTCCCGGATTTTTCCTGTGGTGACTAATGTTCTTGTCAGCCGAAGTTCTAGTTGACCAATACATCAATAATTTACCATATAGACAATTGCATCGCGGGATTTAAAAGCCTGACTAAAGATTTGTAACATGAAAAAGCCGATATGAGTGGAGCAACCCGCGTGTACGGAACACAAATTTTTGCGATATGTGCCATCACTAGGAGGACGATCGTTGTGATAGACGATCAGACTACATCGATCCCAGCGCAGGTGTGCTCATCGCAGTAGTGGCCGAAACACTGGTCATGTTGCACCCTCGTGTTACATGGCTTAGGACTCGGTCTGTAGTAAGTGAGCGTATATAGAAGAAGATAGTGTGTGTCCCACCAGAGGAGTCCATATCCACACCACATTGAGAGAAATTCTAGAAACCCGACGGCGGATGGAGGCCCACATATTCATATTGCCGCTTCAAAGTGAGTCTTATATAAAGGATAGGAATTCGCGCACCCAAGATGGTGACACTAAATTGTTCTCGCATTTCACCCGCGTGTTTTCTTCTGTTCCTGATTCCTCGCCGGCACGATGAGATTCTTCCGACTTGCAACGGCGGCCACCGCCGTTGGCACCGTCTCAGCCTCATCTTTCCAAAACAGCACATACGACTACATCATCGTTGGAGGCGGTCCTTCTGGTATCATCACAGCCGAGCGCATCGCTGAGGCCGGCAAACGCGTTCTTCTTCTAGAGCGCGGTTATGGTCCGACTGTCTCTACGGGGTCCAACGAAACTCTAGTATGGAACAACACTCTCACTGGGATCGATGTCCCTGGCCTCTCCGGAGATATCGGTAGTCTCCCTGAGTGGGACCAGTATATCTGCAAGGATACTGCTGGTGAAGCTGCGTGTGTTCTGGGTGGCGGTGTAACGGTGAACTATATGGTCTTCGTGCACCCTCCTGAACGCGATTTCAATGACAAGTGGCCCCAAGGATGGAAGTGGGCTGATATGAAGTCAGCTGCAGGTCGTTTGTATGAGCGGAACCCTGGTTCATCGTTGCCTTCGCAGGATGGCAAACTCTACGACCAAAATCTGTACACCACTCTCAAGGGTTTCTTCAGCAACCTTGGCTGGACTTCAATTGATATGTCGAAGCAGGCCAATGAGAAGCACCAGGTATACAGCCATCCTACATGGAATATTCAAAACCAGAAGCGTGCCGGTCCAGTACGAACCTACCTTCCTCTCGCCGAGCAACATGACAACTTCCAGCTCAGCATGGGCACTAAGGTTATCCGCCTTATGAGATCTGGTGGCCAAGTTACAGGTGTCGAAGTGGAACTGGCGTCGAACGAGACAGAAATCATCACTTTGCCTCCTCATGGTCGTGTCATTCTCTCTGCAGGAGCTTTGTCAACCCCTCGTGTTCTCTGGAATTCCGGCATTGGCCGCAAGGCTCAGATTGAGGTTGCCCAGCAGAGTGGAATCAGTCTCCCAGACGAACAGGAATGGATCGACCTCCCTGTCGGCGACGGCTTGAAGGATCACCCTATTTTCCCCTTCGTTGTGAAGACCAATGGCTCATTCAACGTCCCTGACTACGCTGCAATTGTCAATGGCTCGGATACCTCTGATATCTCGCTCTACGGCGAGGGAGATGGTCTGTTAGCCCAGGGCAAGCACCGCATGATTTTCTTCACTTCCAACAATGTGGATGGCCAAACTCGTTACTACCAGGGATCCTGTGCTCCATCTGCCGAGGGGACAGTCTCCATTACCGCTTACATGACCCACGGCGCTACCTCCTCCGGCGTACTCGGTCTTGATGTCGATGGTAATACAATTTTTCTCAAGACCCCGTACCTCAACACCATGGGCGACCAGGCAGCGGCGGAGAACTTTGTTCAATCCTTGATCGACGATGTCAATGCTGCTGGATGGGAATTAGAGACCTACACAAATGCTTCTTCAATCATCGAGAACTACACCCAAGGCGTTCACTGGACAACTACTGCCAAGATTGGTACAGATGACGGACGCAAGATCGGTGGTTCATCCGTTGTTGACCTTGACGCCAAGGTCTATGGCACGAACAACCTGGTATGTATTTGGCTGCCCATGTATCCTATCTTTTCTTCTAGCACCTGCTCTAGGTATTTCACTTGCTGACAAGTCATAACTATAGTTTATTGTTGACGGAAGTATTCACCCTGACCTCCCCTCCGGCAACATCCAGGCCACTATCATGGTCGTTGCCGAGGCTGCAGTCGCTAAAATCCTTGCGCTATAAATGAGCACTGATTCTTTCTGGGAGAGGACCATCACTGCCGAAAAAATGATGTGACAGACAACTGTGTTTGTATTGTTAGAAATGTCTTACCACAATTCGCCATCCGTGGCTTGTGGCTAGAAGAACTTGTTCAAACCACGTATCCATTTTGCCTAGTAAATTCACACCACGAGGCCTACGGCAACCTGAGGGTATTAGTTACAAAAGTCATCCATCAGCGTCGCATCTCGATCTAACCCCATCAACTGGCGCACCGCTATCTGCGCTCCTCTCACATAATAATCCATGGTCCCAACAATTTCATCTGGAATGTCCACAAATTGCCCAATGAGCGCCATATTCGTCACTCCTTCAGGAATAACCGGTGGCCGATCACCGTGTTCCCTTGGCAAAAATGGTGCCGCCATACGCGGCACCACACAAGGAATAGTGATTGATTCGTTGAGAATTGGTTCCAGCGGGAATTGCAAATTGTACAAAATCTCCGTCATGATTTCCTTACCCGAGCACTCGAGCATGGGTTTTTGGATAAAATTTCCTTTTCGTTCCGGGAACACTGCATAACCCCAGAACACCTGAACGTCTGCCGGCTGGTCAGGAAACATAGGTTGGTCCGGGATCTTGAGACTGAGCAGCCAAGTGCTATCTTTAAGGGTGACGAATACCCCGGACCCCGGTGGGTCGCCAGTCAACTCGGTGAAGCGGCTGAAGAACTCTGGGCTCTTGAGCGTCACAGTGAATGACTCCTGTCTGGACTCGCCCATCCGCGTGCAGAAATTGTACGCGTTACCGAACTTTGTGTCTTTTGTCGATAATTCTAGCCACAACAGCCAGTTTTCATCCAGGTCTTTCTCGGGACAGCTAATCTCGATGTAGGGTGGCTCGGTATTTGTTCCGCTTGTTGCGCCAGATATCACTGAGCCTAAGGATACAATCACGACATCTCTGGTCCCGACGTCAATGCTCATCTCCGGGTTATTGCCTTTGATCGCACGGATAGAGGTAACACGCCGATTAGTTCCGGGTTCAAGGATGATATCCGTAACAGTGGTTCCGAAGCGGAAGTCTACTCCGCTAGACTGAAGAAACCAAGCGATCGGTACTATGATGGACTCGTGGCGGTTATACTGCCCGTTATCGAGCGGACGTAGATGGTTCAATTCGTGTTTGCCGATTTTGAACCAATGTACATATCGACGGAATTCGGCGGCGCTATGGCTTGGTTCGATGCCGAAACTATTTATCGAGATATATCAGTCAGCATAGTTCCCAATGGTAACTGCATCTGCACAAATACATACGTGGTAGCCAGTACCAACCAATAATTGCTTTGAAAAAAGCTCGAGTGAAAGTGATCCTGGATACGAGATCGTCCTAGAGCCTGTTCCGTCTTTGAAGACAGCATATACAAAGCTATGCGGTCTCTCAATGCTACTCCCAGTTTATTCGGGCCAGTCCTTGCCAGTCCGGAGGACTTTCGTGAGAGAATTCGGGTGTTCGGGCCTTTATGGGGTGTTTTTGAGCGGCTAAACTCGCAAATGTCGTCCAACGTGGTCTTCTTCGGGTTTGAACTCGAAGGCACCATGGATAGAAGCTTCTCCATGTAAATGTTATTGAATGCCGGCATTGCGCCGGCGCGATAGTCGTATCCATTTACTGGATCTCCCGTGCTGGCGGATCCTCCGCCAGCTTTTTCTAGCTTCTCAATGATGTGGATTCGTTGTGGAGCGATTTTAGCTTCCTGGATTAAGTGTACTGCTGATGTGAGCGAGGCGATGCCGCTCCCAAGAATCCAGATCTCGATATCATCTGTAAAGGTAGGTTCAATTTGCAGACTGTTCATCCGGGACGCCATTTTGGAAGTCTGGAAAACTGATTTTCAGTAATGAACAAGGTTTTATGATTTAAAGCACCTCTGCATGATCGGAAATCATCATAAATGGAGAAAAACGTTTATTCAAGGCTCATCCAGCCTAATGTTGCAGCGGGGAGAGTGATGTCAGGCAATAGCAGCAACCCTGGATCGTGTGAAGCGCGAATGTGCGGAGGCGGAGCGTGGACATGTAGAGCGCTCGAGACAATTGTCAGCATGAACGTCGGTCGGACTGTCGAAAACTGAACATAAACACATATGTTTTCCTTTGGTATTAAAGCTCAACACGGAGGTAGGCTACACGTCGGTTTGCGAGGGGTATCAAGAATTTCCAACGCGACCATGAACTCGTTTCACTTACATCACGGCTTCCGCAAACAGCAACGGGTCACTTGCGCCCTTATAAAATTTATAAACACGTCTCTAAGCCTAGATTCAAAGCTAAATGTGTCAGCAAAACGCTAACTGATATCCGCGTGACACATGCTGGAGGTCCACGAGAATGCAACCCTGGAGAAAATAGCATCAACCATGACATCATGACATCATATAGATACCCTGCTGTTTTGCTACCTTTTTATGCAGGACTTTGCTAGAGATTTGCTCTAGTCTATGGGTTCATTTTCTTATTGGGATGTTTGCCCCAGCTAACGCTATTATTGCTAGATTTTCACAAACATTTCCTCTCTTTTTTCTTGCCAATACACAGGGGCTCAAAGATATATATTTTGACATTATATATAATTTTATATACTTGGGGCAGCTCTATGACGCACCATTAAGTTTTGCCCCGGGGTATCTTCATGCACAGGCAATGACAAGGATCGCAGTGAATGATTGAGTTCGGGGCCGTTTGTAGCAACTTGAGGAAGGGCGTTGGACATGCTTCTCAAGTATGGTCTCGAACATTTTGTAGGCCTCAGTATCGGCACTCTTTTTGTTAGTACATTAGACCTGGCGTCAATAAAATCCATTTCAAGAAACAATCAAAGAGAACAAAACAGTGGAACTGATTTCGATCCGCCCTGTAGTATGTGAGCCGAAATAGTTGAAGAATTTATCCTGTATCAAACGGAAAATGGGAAAACAACCGAGAACAAGATCGCGTACCAAAAGGACTGTCCGGACGTTGTGATTGATATCAACTTCCTATAAAATTGTTGTGGTTGTGTAACGAGTGTGAGCTAGCCCGGACCGATGGCGGACCCACCCGCGGAAACGCCCGAGTCCCCTCCCACAAACACCCAAGGAACCCACGCCAGCTTCTCAGTTGAAGACTTTCAACCTCGGATTATCAATCGACGCAGGCCAAATCATAGGGAAAAGAACGAGAAATGGCGAAGCTTAAACACCCACCGAGGGCACAGGCCGGATTACCACCGGAGAGGTGTGGAAGCTCATTGACAACCTTAAAGATATCATCCATCGCCACCCATGCTCATCGAATCCACTAAGGCCGACCTAGAGGAGGTCAGGCACGACCAGAACGTCCTCCTAGAACAGAATGATAGGCTTTTTGAAGATGTCAGGGCCCTAAGAGCATATATCGAAGCCAGCCTATAGCCAACCCCGCTTAGGACATAGGCAGCGATAGCAGCTAGCGGTACTAGTGACCCGCAACCAAGCCTCCAACGACCCGAGAAGAACCGGAACTGCGTCTGCACTAGCACACAAAGATTATTGGTGGACCCGAGAGACAATAAGAATGTCGAAGGGAATACTTTCGGGCGATGCCTCTCTACCGACTCTGCTAACACCCATATCCGTACAGCGCTATTAGGCGCATCCTCTATTCAAGGTGCGTAAGTGGGCGACATCGGTACCACTAAGACGGGATACTTAGTTCGCTTCAAAGACCTAGGGTCGGCCGAAGCAGCCCGCGACAACAGTAAATGGCCGAATGAGCCAAGAAACAATACAAAGCTGGTCAAGCCGCGATTCGTTATCATCGTGCACCGCACGCCAACAGAGAGCTTCGACCTAGGAAATCCAAAATCTTAAGCCATATAAAGGTTCATGGAAGAGAACGACCAAGCCTCTTAGTACCTGGGCTTCCTGTCGCAAAAGATCCGGCCAGATCTCCGCGCTGGGCAATTATCGATTACTAGTATATGCAGTGACTTTTGGTTTCTCTATCGAATCTGTTGCCTTCGTTGGGACATATTCAACATATTTTCTGCTGACTTATTGGCTTAGACTAAATGATTTCAATTTCGGGAATTTTTGGTCTCTCACAGTTGGCCAATGATCCAACATCCTAGGGTCCACGAGCGTTGTTGTATATTTGCACTCCTTAAATTTGATCTATTCACTCATTTTAATTTCATCATTCAAGATTGTGGATTATTAGAGTGTATAAATCCTTTAATGAAAACTCACATAACATCCACACCCTCGAATCCGAAACCTTAAGCAGGTGATTGTAACAACGTAATAGACTAAGTCTCTACATCTTTCATAGAGCTATATTTCAAGCGTTACTTGTATCTTCAAAAATAAAATTCAATATGCAACGACCTATATACATGCAACCTCGCAGCCTAGAACCGGTCAGCGTTGGCCGGCGCATCACTCGGTCCCGAAATGGTGTATAGCTGATCTCCTCGGCGCCGAGCATCACTTCCCCCGACCATCTCCCTCCGAGATCATCGACCACCGACCTATAAAATTGAATCATAAAATTCAAGGGCCCCTCTGTTTTGTCCACTGATCAAATTATTCATTATATGTAATGACGCAGCGAACTTCCATCCAAATGACTAATTCGATCAAAGAGAAGCATACCAACATGCAACCCGACCAGGACTGTACTTTCAACGAGAATCGCTCGGATAGCAAAGATGAGAGCCAGTTTCCAACAGGTATCCGACTGGTCACTATCATAGCTTCAATTTTACTTGCTATGTTTCTCGTCGCGTTGGTATGCACCTCATGTCCCCACTGCTGAACTTTAGTAACTTTGTCTATAGGATCGCACTATCATCGCTACTGCAGTTCCCAAAATAGCGGATCAATTCAAAGCGCTAGGAGATATAAGTTGGTATGCCAGTGCATATCTCCTGACAAGTTGTGCGACCCAGTTATCCTGGGGCAAAATCTACACCTTCTACTCAACAAAGACAATATTCCTCATCGCAATCACCATATTCGAAGTCGGATCCGCTCTTTGCGGCGGTGCCCCGAATTCCCAAGCCTTCATTGTCGGACGTGCCATCGCAGGAATTGGCTCAGCAGGTATCTTCTCGGGCACTACGATCATCATTGCACAAATTGTGCCACTAGCGAAACGACCCATCTACGTCGGTCTCATGGGCTCCATATTTGGGTTCTCGTCTATCATCGGACCTCTCCTCGGTGGAGCATTCACAGACAACGTGAGCTGGCGCTGGTGCTTCTTTATCAATCTTCCAATCGGGGGATTTACCCTGGTTGTCCTGTCCTTTTTCCTGTCGATCCCCCACACACCAAAACCAGGGACCTGGCAGCAGCAGATCCTACGTTTAGACCCACTCGGCACCATTTTGTTTCTGCCTTCTGTCATCACCTTCCTGCTCGCACTGCAATGGGGCGGTACGATCTACCCCTGGAAGAACGGCCGCATCATTGCACTATTCGTTATCGCTACCGTTTTAATGGCCGCATTTATTGCCGTGCAAGCATGGCTGAAGAAAGACGCAACCGTTCCACCTCACATCTTCAATCAGCGTAGCATTATGAGCGGAGTCGTATTCGCAATGTGTATCGGAGGCGGAATGATCTCCATGCTGTATACACTTCCATTGTGGTTCCAGGGCGTACGCGGGACATCGGCGGTGAAATCGGGCATCGACACGATCCCGCTAGTTCTTTCGCTTGTTGTTGGAACTATCGTCTCTGGTGCTATCATCACAAGAACAGGATACTACAACCCGTGGATGTTTGTCGCAGCTTTTCTCATGTCGACAGGCGCGGGATTGATGACCACTTTCACTCTGGAAACCAACCACTCCGCCTGGATCGGGTACCAGGTGTTATTTGGTTTGGGTATTGGCACTGGAATGCAGCAGGCGTCGCTGGCAGCACAAACTATTCTCCCTACTGAGGAGGTTGCCATTGGTGTATCGCTTATGTTCTTTGCTCAATCGCTTGGTGGGGCTGTTTTCATTGCTGTTGCTCAGGCGCTGTTTCAGAATTACCTTGACGCCAATCTGCCTCTTATCTCTGGCATTGATGTGGCTGATGTTCTGGCTGCTGGATCAACGGGTCTTTCCGATGCTGTTCCGGCAAACAAGTTGAGAGAAGTTCTGGTTACTTATAACGATGGACTTCGTAGGTCGTTTGTCGTCGCCGTTGCTGTTTCTTGTTCGTTGATTGTTCCGGCGTTGACCATGGAATGGAACACCATAAAGAAAGGCGAGAAGGACGAGAGCGATAAGACATCCTGCTCTGCTTGACTAGTTAGATTTTGCTGTTCAATTATGGTGGGGAAAGGGTCCAAGCATTTGGTTGTATATCTTGACTCAAGTCGAGAGGTCGCGCCTTAGCGCGGCTAATGACGTTAGACTTAAGACACCATGCCTTAATGACTAGGTCCTCTGTTACTCACGTCTTCCAATGATCAATTCACTTGCCTAAGGCTACGACAAGATGGCTGCTTGTCCGTGCGTATCAAACATTGTGTCACCACTTAAATTCCCCTCTATTAGAACCCCCGCCTGCTAGATAATCTCTGAGCTAGAACTTGCATAAATCAGCGTGATATTTGATTTGAACCGAGACTCACAGTGCACACACCCTATACAGTTTCTGGTAAATTGAACTTTATAGTAGCAAGCTCTCGTAAAGTAGACCCGGAAAGCCGCGAATCAGTCTTAAACATGTCTCCAAGTCGATCCCGGTTTTGCTGATTCATATTAGCGACAATGACTTACCCCAGGGCAACTGCACACAAGAGAACTGCATGAGCACCGCAGTCTTTCAGCAAACTGCGTAGAAATAGCTGATATCTTTGGCGTTTCCAGCTGTTGGTTTCTGTTTGCAAAATCGAAAGAGCAGCCCCGACGCTTTTTTCTCACTCTTGATACAGTATTTTCGTAGAGATAGACTCTTGGCCTTGTTAACAAGCCGTTCTAAAGCGTCTATTACACTGTATGACTCTTGCAGTGTAGAATGCCGCTTTCTCTCTATATCGAGGAATAGTAGAAGTTATGGAAGAGTTGGAAGAGGAGTGGAAGAGAGGTTAGAAGAGAGGTTAGAAGAGAGGTTAGAAGAGAGGTTAGAAGAGAGGTTAGAAGAGAGGTTAGAAGAGAGGTTAGAAGAGAGGTTAGAAGAGAGGTTAGAAGAGAGGTGGAAGAGAGATGGAAGAGAGGTGGAAGAGAGGTGGAAGAGAGGTGGAAGAGAGGTGGAAGAGACGGTCTGAAGTGACCCCTTGAGTATTTTCAATTGGCTATTTTGTCAAGCCGACACAAATAGGCCGGCCATCAAAGAGCCGCGGCTGGTCGAAGGTCAAACCACCAACCAAAAAAATGTGCGCGCAGCCGCCACAACGCTCAGGGCACAGTTCGCATGCATATCAAGTCACATCAGGCCATGCCTTTGCCATGTCAGCCTAAACAAACCGTGATTCGGAAAAGAGAGGCAGGTGACTAATGTATTGCTTGAGTGGAAGGGCCGTGCGGCGTCACACCAAAGTAGTCAACCAATCCCACACGTGGTGGAAGGCACTTTCAGTGTATTTTCCAGTGTACGACTTGAGGAGCCGCAGTTAGATCTGCACTTCCGCTAACATATGTCGCTGGTCTAGATTGTGGGTCAGGCACAAAGAGTTCGAATATCTTTATTATTAATTGACCTATCCCTGTCCTACTTTTTTCTTTTACCCCGCTTCATTTGACTTCACAGATGCGCTGAACATAGGGAAAAATGGATGAAAAAGTATGTAGAACACTATACATTGTGGGGCTTGTCCTTCTTGCTACAATTGCTCCAAGACAAAGGACTGAATAATCGGAGTTGGGAGGGTGAATAGCTGCAATTTTTGAACTGTCACTGAAGCTGCTTGACCGACAACCAGTCGTAAGGATTTCTTTTGAAATCGTTTACGAAATCCAAGTAGCAGGAACAATACATGTAAATAAGAATCCCATTCTGAAATTCATCTCATATTTGCGATCGTTTGTGATCCACCGTCCCCAGATATAATATTACGTCAACTCAGGCTCCTTCCGAATCCAGAGGTTGCTGGCGTCTACAATACAAATGTAATCCTTTCAGTGCAGAGCATATTTCAACGTCATCAGAATGGCTTGGAAGGCTATAAGCATCATAATCAAACCACATTTGCCTTGTTCTCGGAGAATCAGCATCTGCCAATGGTTTTCTGTGAAGTGCCATGGTTAGACAAATTCGAGGATCGATAACAGCAAACTTACTCATTACCATTAAAGACTTCAAAGCCGGTGGAAATAATGAGCACAGGCCGAGCAAGATCGGCGATAATCTGCTTGACTGGGGCGGCAGCAAAGGGTGATATTATGATCGATTCCTCGTCAATTTCCGCGAATCCTCCTGCACCGTGAGTTCCAACAATTGTGAATTCCTTCTTGGTCAGGATCTCTTCCGCGACCTCTGTATACTCTGGGTCCTGAGCAAATAATGGCAATGGTTCATTGCCACGAGAAAGTTGAGCGATAGTGAGAGCCATCGAATGCTGGATTATGCAACCCATAACATTTTCTACCTCCGATTTCTCATCCCAAGAGCCATGCTGCTTTTTTAGCCATTCAGGCGCGGAGCGGCAAAAATCACCGAGCCCAAAGCAGAGAACTTTCTTCACGGTGTTTTTACCGAGTATATCTTCGACCAAGGCTGCCAAGTGCTTGCAGGTCTTGCTATTCTGCCACAACAAGTGTTTCTCATCAAAGACTTGCATAGGCTGTGCTATAAGCTCTCGGAAGTTTTGTGCAGTCTGATTGCTCCAATCCACAATGTAAGAGCACAGGTAAGTTTCAATTGGGCCGTTGGGTTGTGCTTTCACAAGTTGCCAATATTCTTGGTACTTGACATGGGGTTTCCTAAGGAAAAATTAGATTGCAGGCTGAAATTGGGTCAGAATACCATATCCACGTACCAGATAGGGTTCTGTACTTGAAACATGGGATTGGAAATTTGGATTATGCTTCCATCGATTCGACGGACTGAAAATCGCTCCATCGCATAGGATTGGCGCAATTGTTGTTCTATGTCTTCGAGATCTTGTTTCGTCCAAAGCCTGGTACCAGAACTGTACAGATCTGCGACTCTTTGGCTACTGATCCGCCAATCCGTGCACCCGTAGTCGAGCGGTCCTAGTGTTTGTGGCATGGTCTCGTAGCTGCTGATCGAGCAAAGGTGAGGAAAACCCCCAAGATTGTTTGAAAAGGGGAGAAATTTATTCGTGTACAAGGATCAGAAAAGAAAAGGCTAGGACTAAGCTGTGATACTCGATGATTGTCTGCTTTTGTGTATGGGTACCAGTGTCGGATACAGTGACAACGTTTGCTTTGAGGGATCAAGAAAAATTCGCCCACTCTGCTGCTGATTACTCACCTAACTACTTAAGTACTAGTTAGGTATTTAGGTAGGTAAGGGAGTCAAGAAAAAACCCAGGCAAGAGGAAAAATTAAATACCGATCACCGCTTTACGGCGGTCCTGGTCTGGGGCCACAGATAGGTTGCCAGAGGCACGGTTCGCTTGTTCGGGTGTAGGCACGGGTGCGGTCACATAGGGCACGCACGAGAGCCGAGAAGTCTCTATTTCTTTAGTATCAGGAACATCGTCGAGAATGTTAATCAAAAGGAAGTCAGACAATGAGAGAATGATGGCCGACTTTTATCATTATATATTATACTAACGTACCCGGTAAATCATCTCCCTACTTATCGGAAGGAATGGGGTCTAGGTGGTCTGGCCTAGTAGCATATGGAATTGGTTTCGTGGAGTGTAAATGACACTGGTTCTGAGAAATCTAGCGCGGAATTTTCATAATCTAACAGAATATCACGGGCAGCTGGCATATTTGTTGTTCCTGCGGGTTCGACATCTTTCGTCATTTTAGGCCGAGTGGGACCATAGACATTATTGATCTCGAAGTCAAATATATTCCACTTATGAGTTGTACCGATCAGTGGCGGTGACTGTCCTACAGGTACCTCACACGGTCCTGGACGAAAGCCGAAGCCGGTAGGAAAATCCTGCTGGAAATATTGTGGCACATGAACTGAACCTTGATCGGGGGGTATTCTTTTTGCTTTGATTGAAGGCGGCGGCCGACTTAGGCCATGGTAGAACTCGATTTGATCAAGATTTACCCTTATTTCCTAGAAAGCGGTAAGACATAGCGGAGGTAGATACCGGCAGATAATATAACAACCTTGGGTCAAAGTGTAACGATAACTGAGCTGGTGTGAAAAGAAGGAGGTCAGTCAACCTTTTTAATACCTAGGCGCCGCCAGAGCACGACTTACTGGGAATCATACAGTATATCGCCTTACAGACCTTATATGACCGAGGACTGCGATACCGCTGCCTCATTGATACTACTCTACGCTTACGTCGGGTGATCATTTAAGGAATTCGGGCGAATTTAGCTGACCCGTCTCGTCGAAGGGCGCCTTATGTTCGTGGTACCCACTGTACAAGGGTGCCTCTTTCTTCAATCTATACCGTTGTAGCCTTCAAAACACCTCAGCTGACAATTGAGGGATTAGGAAGAGATTAACAAGAAAGAAATCCTTTAACACGAGCGGCAGCCTACAGTTCACCAATCATCTAAGCCGATCATACAAGCCATCAATTTCATGGATGGTTGTGATGCCACTAGAGCTTCTTGAGGCATTTTTGCGGTTAGCTACTACTGAGAGGTGGCACGAGAAATTTGTCGATGAACGAAACCAAGTTGATTAAGCCCTGAAGTCAAATTCTTCGATTTTCTTTTGCCTGTGTTACCTGTAACAAAACGAGGTCTTCCCCATTGTAATGAAGTAGATATTTCCAGAGAAACATCATTTTTTTTTCGTGTTTATACTCGCCTGTTGCCACTTTTCAATCATGTGAAATTGAGCACCCGTGGAAGCCCCTAACCAACGGAGGTTAACCTATATCTCTTCTGTCCAATCGGGGAACGCAAAGCCGAAGATAGATCGCAGGTCCTCTATTTGGCTGTTCGAGACCTGGGTATCGTAGGATGGGGGATAATAGAGCATGTCGGACCCAAACGGCGATGGCGTGTCAAGGCTTGTGAAAGGAATTTGCCCGGAGTTTTGTTGCGCTATTATCGAAGACAGCTATAACGGAGTCAGCGATTTTTCGACATCAGGAAACTTTCACCTACATCTATATCTTTGAAGTCAATATCTGGCCCGTAATCCCATATTGGTTGGATTCCTTGCTCCATCTCCGGCTTCGACGCCGAGTGCGTGGGTTGTCTTTCCCGCAACTTGAGAACATATTGTCGCGCGATACCTGCAAAGCTTGAGATGATGCTTCCCGGGAGCGCGCCCTTGGAGGCGTAGTCAACTTGACTGAAGTACGCTGCTGCCTGATCAAGGAAGGCAATATTACTTTCCGTTTCTTTGTGAGTGGTATTGTGAATCACAAAATCAAACAGAACGAAGACCGCCGATAATGGCATGATGCCAGCAACACTAAGTTAGAATATTAGTCGGATGGCTTTCAGCTGTTGTCCCATTGAAGTTGAAGAAGATGGACTTACAACACAGGCATGTAAGGCTCGATTTCAATCAACGAAACAAGCTCAATGACAGCGCGCGCTGCATTCATCAATTCCCACTTGCTATCCTCGCGGTCTAGCTTTTCTTCGGGGTCGACGTGAAGGGATAGATGTTCCACGGCAAAAATCAGGTTGCAGTACAAGTAATGCGTCTGTAAAGCGACCATCTTTGTCCTGGGACACTCAAGTTCACTTAATCGGATTGCCTCCTTTGGCCGGAATGCCATAGGTACCGATAAGCGCCATTCTTCTAACTCTCGTCGTACGCGTTTGATAGAATATAAGCAATCCTCTGCGGACTGCAAAGAAGATCTCGTCGAAAACAGAGTGGTGTATGCAATCGATGTTATTCTGCTCAGACGAATGGCGGATTGGAACCAGTTGTAGTCTCCCAGCATGGACCCAGGGACGGAAGGGATGTCGCATCCAATGTCTTCATCAGCGAACACCTGGATAACTATTATTAGAAAATTTCCCAAGCTCCGGAAAGAGCTTGAGCACCAGACTCACTGAGCTATTGTTATCAGAGAAGGAGGCAATCTTTTCCAAGTGGTATATGGTCCAGAACACTCTCAAATGAACTGGTTGAGCATTGGAAGATTTGTGATATCGTAGAATTTGTGCCATTCTAGCTGCTTCATATACCAATGCCTGATCCAGTTGAAGACAGCAGGCATTCATTGCAAAGATAGCCTGTCACTCGAATATTAGGTTGGCGTAGATAGCAAGCGATGATTTTAAAACCTCACCATAGCTGTCAGAGCCTATTGAAGTTTATCAGCAAGAATTGAGACGAAATAGGCATGGGCATGAAAATACTTGGAGTTTCGTCAACGAGTATGGAGGAACCAATATGTCCGGAATAGCACCAAGACATAATTGAAAAAGGCTCCACGCTTTGCCCGAACCTGGAGTGAAGCTGCCGCCTTGGTTGTATTGGCTGCCCAAAGCTAGGACAGCATGATATATTGCAGAACATGCTTTGCTGCATTTCGATCTCCCAGTACGGCGGCAGTCAGTAGTATGCGAGGTGAATTCTTGTTTATCCAGGAAGGGGTAGATGGGATGGATCTGGTCAAAGTAGGCTGGTTCATTCAATCAGGTACCGGACAATAGGTAAGAGAAGTGTCAACTCACAGCCAATATACCCATCGGCTTCGCTTGACGTCACATCCACTCTGGCTAGCGGCGGCTTGAACTCAATGGTAGACGACTCGGAAGAGTCGTTTCGCGAACATATTCGTGCCACAAGGAGGGTTTCTAGATCCTCAACGAGCTCTGTGAGTACATTTGTCCCTATCCGGCTGGCCAATGCACTCATCCGTTCATTCGAGAAAAAGCTTAAGCTCGAGCTGGTTGCTAGATATGTGTGAGGAGTGAGCCACGCAGGTGGGAAAATCTAAGCTAACCTCGCCCATTGCTAGCCTGCAAGTGCGATAACGTCAGGAATTTGATTTCTGTGAGAGTATGTTTTAACACTCATACCTTGACAACGACAGAATCGTCATAGAGAGGGACCCTTTGAGGCCCAAAGCGCAAGAGACGGTCGATGGGGAGGTCATTTTCGCGTGGCAGTGATGGTTCAACAGAAAGAGGAAAAGGTGCTAGGTATTGTTAGTGACAATATAGCAAATTAGCTATGCAGTACCCACGTGTATCCTCAAGTTTGCGTCGGAATTTACGTCTGATAGGCGTAAATTGACAAGACTCATTCCGGTTCTACATAAATCTGCATTAGAGGCGCTGCAAAATCAGTAGGAAGTTGGAGTTGGAACTGTCGTACGATGCAGTGGATGCAGGTTGATGGTGCTCCTGGGTCTGTAAGGGTTTCAGGTACTAAAACAGTAGTATCATCAGCCTCAGCCCCATGTACCTAGGTACCTGATAGCAAACTGGAAAAGGGGTTTACCGATGCATCGGACTTTTCGGAATCTGCACTGATCACAGGACTTGTTGATTCTTATCACTTTGGAGGTCATTCTGAGATAATGCGTCAATCAGGATACAGTTCCTTCTCTGGAGAGCATCGACCGATGAAAGTGAGCTGGTCTTTATACCCCGCGATATGTCACACCGCCTTCAACATGTAGTCACGTTGAAGATCTTTGTTTAGCTTCTTGATGAGATCACTGTATACTTAGGATCACTTAATCTTGCCCAACGATAGTCCAAAGATCATAGAAACATTTTGTGAAAGCACGTGTATGCCAGACAGTGTAGGCATCCAACCATATTTAACTAGTCCTAGATCTTGGAGATAGTTTCTTTCCTCAATCAACTATTACTACCTTTTTCAATCGGTTGTTTCCCTTATTCCTCGCCTGGGCAGTATTCAACCTTTCAAAAAAGTATTCCCGATGCGCATTTTAAACTTCTACGGTTTGATTCTTCTACTAGTTTCTGGCCTATTGGCACTCAAAATGAGGGTTTTGAGCGAAAAGCACTTGAAGCACACAAAAATATCACATTAGGATTGATGACTCTAAATTTTGCTCTCGCAGGATCTATTGTGTTCGAAATCCCATCAAGCCCGCTTGCTACCCCCTTTTTAGGGACCTTGAACGCCCAGTAAAGCCCTAGCCCCGCCATAATGTTCACCAGGATATAGACCCATATGAGCCCAAAGTCCCGCCATCTCGTATCATACGAAATTTGGAATCGAGTGAGGAACTCATTGGTAGTGGCAAGTGGGCAGTATTCGCACATACTTCTTGCTGTCGGGTTTAACACCAAACCACCGGCAGATTCCCTGTAAGCTCCTAGGAATTCTTCGCAAGTAAGATTTTCAGTGGGAGCCATATGGAGGATTTCGCGGTCGGCACATGTAACGTTCGAGTTGGCAACTGCGTTGGACATGATGCCCCCGACAAGGTATGTTGCGGGCGAGACACGATACATGAAGGACCAAAACTTTGGCAGATCAACTATAGGAACCCCGACTCTGCGTTGATGGTTAGTACATTTCCTAACTTTAGACAGGAATGAACTCCTCTGGACTACCACTCACCCGCAGAACAGGATACACAACATCCAGAAAAGACTGGTCAATACGCCTGCAACTTCGGGAAGATCAATCCAGAAAATGGCAAAATGGGCAAACGTGCTCGTAAATAGCAGGTACACCCATAAAAGGAGGAAGACGGAGAAACCGCGGATAGCCTGGTCATCGGCTGTTGTGTTTCGGACAAAGCCTACTGGGTAATACCAACAGAAGTACATGATGACCGCCATCAAGGTATGCCATGCGAGCTCAATGAGGATATTGGAAAGTAGGTATGCTTTTGAAATGAGAAAAGTGAGCGGGGTTGTATCGAAGGGAATTACGTTGAGAGGTAGAAAGACTTACTTGTCCATCTGTAAATCTTTGACGGGCGTTCACGAGCCTCGTACAGCGCTCGCTGGGGTAGGAACATGGGCATGATCTGCTCATTTATATTGATGAACAGCACGAGCAGCATGAAGATAGCCCACAGTTGGTTTTGCAGCCCTTGGATGGAATTGTTGGCATTGAAACTAAAGCCGAGGTAGAGGGACTTGCAAAATAAGATTAGTTAGCACGAGTCAAGAAGACAATGAGGGATTTTCACGTACAGAAAGAACAATCAGTATGGTTTTGGACCATATGTAAGTCGGTGATCGCCAGAGATGCTTCCAAGTGCGTCGTAAAACTTGGCCGAACTGTGTCCAAAAAGAGGCTACGAACTCCTGATGCTGAGAAGTGCCATCTGTGGTGTCTTCATTGCCGGCGGGTTCTGCTTGTGGAAGAGCACGAAGGCGACCAAGCTCAGCCTTGACTGCCTGATATTCAGGAGAACATAGCCATACTTGGTGCCAGTCTTGTGCTTTTGAGTCATCAGCAGGCGGCTCAATTACCTGTAGCATCCATTCAGCTGGGTTGGCACCCGCTGGGCATGCAGGGGCATTGTTTTTCTCAAAGTAATCAATCATGGTTGAAGCTCCACTTCCCAAATCTACAGGCACATTCAATCAACGAAAAGGGCTCTCAAGAATTGGGGCGAGCAGAGACTTACCACCAAAATAAGCTGTCTTGCCTCCCGGTGCGATCAGGAGAAGACGATCAAACTGGTCAAAGAGGATAGCAGAGGGTTGATGAATTGTGCAAAGAACCGCCTGGCCGCTATTCGTCAATTTCCTGATGAGTTCAGAGATGGACCAGGATGTCTGTGAATCCAATCCTGAAGTTGGTTCATCAAAGAAGATCAGGAGTTGAGGTCGGGCAGCAAGTTCCACACCAATTGTAAGACGTTTGCGTTGCTCAACATTAAGACCCTCTCCAGGAACACCAATGACGGCATCCGCAAATTCTCGCATTTCCAATATATCGATGACATGCTCAACGTAGTTCAGCTTCTCAGATCGGGTGATCTCTGCAGATTGACGAAGAATCGCACTAAACCGAAGCGCTTCGCGAACGGTCATGGTGCTGAGATGGAGATCTTGCTGCTGGACATAGCCAACCTTGTGCTGGAAAGAAGGATCTGTTGGCTTTCCATTGACCATTGTACTGCCAGTTACAACACCGGTGGTGACACGAGTGGCCAGAACGTCCAGTAAGGTCGTTTTTCCTGCACCAGACACACCCTGATAGATCTTTGATTAGTGCGTGCTTGCATTAAATTTGGGATTGAGATTACCATGAGGATAGTTGATACGCCAGGTTTCACCCAGCCATCGACATGATCCAAAAGGGAGCGGTTCCCGCCCTTGATCTCAATGTTATAGCAGAGATCCTCCCAGTGGAAAACATCCTTTCCAACTACCATGTTATCAGATCCGCTTGAAGAGCTTGCCTTTTCCGCTACTACCGGGCGATTTTGCAGTTGATTCTCGGCGTCCAGGGAAAGTGCCTTTTCTGACTTGGGAGAGCCCTTGTTGCGACGGAACACTAAGATTTCACCGCGTGTTCTAGGTGGCTTCGCAAGCTCTGCAGCAAGCACGTAAGCGGGGAAAAAAAATGCTAAAAATGCGCAGAGAATGCCAATATTTCTGTGTTATATGTTCCCGTTAGCGCGTGGCTCATCGCACGGGAAATGACATATACTGACCTCCATTTGTGCACATTCCAGTAGTCAAAAGACCTGTTGATATAGTTGTCTCCATTGACAAAGGCCGAACCGGCCTCCGACCCAACCACAGAGCAGATGTGCGACTCAGGCGGAAGATTCGTGTACCCCTTACCACTTGGCACCATCCCAACACAGGGAAACTCCCGATGGTGGAATTCATTTGCCATCAAAGCCTCAAAGCCGTATGCCAGGGGATTGATATACGCCATCCAACGGGACCATCCAGGCATATACTCTGGTGGAGTGGTGAAACCAGTGTATATCATCAGTCCAAGGCTGAGAACGGCGCTAGGGATCATAGCTTGATCAGATGTCCGGGTTATGCAGGCCAGTGTGCGGAAAATGGCTGACTGAACCAGAGTGGTGAGGAGGGTGGTGAGGCAGAAAAAGAAGAAAGCACCGGCCTCTCGCCTCAGATTTGCCATAAAGTAGATAAGAATGTTGAAAACAAACATATTCACAATCTTGTAGGGTAGATCAGTCAAGTAGCTTGCAATTGCCTGAGCTGACTGGTGATAGAAAGCATAGCGATTCTGCTTCTCAACAACAGGGCGTTCGGCATAGATTGTCAGGACCTATTTTCAAGTTATCAATACATACAATCGGGTCGAACTTCAAAAGAAAACGAGGATCAGGGAGAGGAACTTACCTCCAACTGGCTCGCAAAAGCATTGAAGAGAAGCGAGAAGAAGATGAGTCCTCCGCGATAGTAAAAGCTGGATGTATCCGGCTTGAGATTGTAAAACATGCTTCCTAAGATGAGCGCCATAATTACATTAAACAAAAGGGAGGCAATGGTAAACCCAGGGTCAGCCAGCAATCTCCGGTAAGCGCGCCAAAGGGTTAGAGAGATTTGCTGAGCGTATGATATCGTGTAAGCAGATTTTGAGCGCTGCTGCTTAGCCTGCTCAGCTCGCCTGGACTGGTAGTATTCAGCCGTTCGCTCTTTTGAAGGATGTTTTTGCTCATAGGATGCAAACTCAGAGAGTAATTTCTTTCGCTGTTCACTTGATTGCCATCTTTCTGCAAACTCATCTGCCGAGCGAGGCACGGAATTTTCGAAGCCGTCTCTAACCCTCCGCTCTTCCGGACTCGTCATGGATGTCAAAAAATCGGGAATAGTTTGCCTAGGGGGAGCTTCGAAATTCGTCAGAAACCTCGACTTATGTTGTCAGCTCACGAAACCTCGAAAACTCACAGTAAAATCCCAGGCTCTCAAAGTAGCCCTTGGCTTCAGTGGTTTGACCGAAGAATATCTGCCTTCCCTCATAGATCAGAGTAACTCGATCAAAAAGCTAGATGTAAAATATATTAGTTAGCCAGCGAGCGTTGTTTTGAACATCTATTTTCAAGAAGACTAACGTCATAAGCTGACTGTGGTGCTTGATATAAGGTAACCACAGACGTTACATCAAGTAGATCTGCCTGGAGGCGCAGGTTGCTGCAAAAATTTATAGCATTGGCGCTGTCAAGGCCACGTGTAGAGTTGTCCCAGCACTGAAACTTGGCTCCAGTCAGGGAAGCCTCGGCGATACTGACTCGCTTGCGCTCTCCGCCACTCACACCACGCACGAAATCATCTCCGACATGTGTGTTGATGGTATGATTTAGACCAAAAATGGCCATCATGACATCGCGACGTACTGTGTTGAGTTGATCGCGGTCAAAGCCTCCCGGAACGTGTCGAACTGAGCGAGCACGAGAGGCAAACGTCAAAGTTTCTCCAACAGTTAGGTGCGCCAGGTGAACGTCGAGCTCAGCATTATACAGAACATCCCCGCGGAGGGAAGAGCGGATATCGGCCACATCCAATCCTGAGTGCGTTAATAAAAAGTCATAGACGTTGAAATGCGCTATCAAAAACATACCTCGAAAGTTGAGATACGATTCTGGCGTAACATTCAAATCCGCCGTTTCCCCCGATAGCGTCTTGAGAAGTGTAGAACAGCCAGAGCCAGGGGGACCCAGCACTAGTACCATTTCTCCCTTTTCTGCAATGCCTTCGAAGTTGCGTAGAATGTCCACACGTCTGCCATGTGGATTTCCACGAAGCCATCTTGCTAGGTATGTTGCGAGTCCAGTTACTACATTCCCTGTGGTCTTTTGGTACTCTGCGGCCGTGGTATATGCAAATACACCCAATTCTTTGAAGGCAACGCCAAGAGAACGCGAAGGTGCCGACTGAGGATCTGATTCGGTCAATCTGATAAATTCCTTTACCCAAACCCGTGCGTCAAATGTTGAGGACGAGGGATCAAGCTTGCTGCCCGGCGTTGGGCTGAGTACTTGTGACTGCAACTCCCCAGAACTAGAAGATATGGAAAATCGCTCTGCGACTTTCGCAACCCTATCGTGTAGCTCGTTCACTTGACTGTCCGTGGAGATACATTCGGCGGAAGATGACCCGATTTGGATGCTTGTATTGGCGAGGTCGCGGCCAGCCATGGTGGCTGATTTCAAAGGCACGCAAGCAGCTAGTGAAGAAATTTGAAGAGGCACAGAGATGTAGATTGATCTAGAAGCTGAAAAATATCTGAGCGTACGGACAGAGGAACTATGACTAAATGACTTAGGAGCAAATAACAAGGTCACATGATCTCTAAGGAACTTTCAAACATGTTGAGAGGTCTTTCTTTGTCTTTGAATTGCACCGTCCTTCGGTGCTCGGGGCTTGGCTCTGACCGGATGAATATAGGTACCCACAATTCGGTGCTCGGGGCTTGGCATCGATGCCAAGGAATCGGGGGCAGAAAGGAGTGTACAGTAACAAAAGCGGCCCGCCCCCGAAGTGGATCTTTGGAAGTTCTCCTCAAATGTGAATATATCTAATACAAATCGTCCTTGGCTCTCATTAAGTCTTGGGATACGTACCCAATTGGAGACAAATCAATATGGAAAGCTATAGTTGTTCGTATATTTGGCTGGCCTATAATGGGCTAATAGAGAAGAATTTGACAGATAGAGTCTATGGGAATTACATCTGGGCCATCTTACGCCCAGGTACTAAGCTGCATATGTCCAACGTAACATGCTCCACAAGCTAGGTAGATGTAGTATGACATACTTTTGGTGGCCCCCAAACTAGGCACTTTATGTAAAGCATTTTCCTCAAGTGGGTACAGTCGTATTTGGAAGGATTTGTGTTCTGGCCCTTTGGTACCCAGTACACGTCTTCGTACCCATAGGACATGGTATGGGGGCCTTTGGACCGTCGGGCATAACACTCCGAGAACGTAACTCTACGCGCAGGGTTGATAAAAGTAGAGTCTCCAGGGTTTTCGCTCATACCTAAAACATATACTTTGCTCCTTTCATCTCTATTGACGCGTCGTTGACATTGAGAAAACTTTGCCAAAATGTCTGCACTTCCAATATCTTCTTCCTTTGTCGCAGAATGGGCGAAGGCCCAACAGACCCATGGGCAGAAATCAAAGAACTCTTCGGTGTTCTATCGGAACCTTGAGGAGGAACTTGATATCAGCAGAGCCCAGCATAGCTGTGCAATGCTGCATAATCAGGACACTCCCATGGACTTCTCGTCTTGCGACGTTTTGGGGATTGGTCAATCCGGGGCCTTGAGAGCTGCCTTTTTAGATGAGCTTGATCGCAACCCCTCGTTTCAACTGGGTGCCCACGGAACCAGATTACTGAATGGAAACTCGAAATACCTCGAAACCGTTGAGAATGAGGTCGCGGAGCTGCACGGGGCTGAAACAGGCCTGATCGTGAACTCATCAGCGATTGCCAACGATGCCATCTTTTCTGCTATTCCACTTCCGGGTGACGCCATCGTGTATGATGAGCTCATTCATGCTAGTGCCCTCGATGGGTTCAAGCATAGTGTGGCTCTTTGCCAGAAGTCGTTCCGTCACAACGATGTTGGTTCCTTTGTGGAAACTCTGACGGATGTGAAGAATTCGCAGCCTCAAATCCGTAATGGCACTCGATGCGTCATCATTGCGGTCGAATCCTTCTACAGCATGGATGGGGATGTTTGCCCACTGCGGGAGTTGATTGAAGCCGCCAAGGAAACTTTCCCGGATGGCAACGCTCAATTTGTCATGGACGAGGCCCATAGCAGCGGCCATATTGGCCCAAATGGTGCAGGCCTGGTCAGTGAATTGGGACTCGAGAAAGAGGTTGCGGTCCGCAATCACACTCTCGGGAAGACTCTCTGTGGTACCGGTGGTAAGGCCTGTTCTGCTACTTTAAGACACTACATCAAAGCTAATTTGAGTTATAGGAGTTATTCTATGCAACTCTACCATTCGAAAGATCTTAATCAACCGCGCGCGGCCTATCATGTTCTCTATAGCGCCATCATTCCCACTTTGTGCCGCAACACGAGTGGGCTACAAGATGCTAAGGTCTGGAGAGACCATGGAGGTGAGTGCATTCTCTGACTCATCCATTTTACTTATCAGAGAGAATGTTTTTAACAAATGGTATTCTCTTCAGGCACAAAGTAGAGTTCAACACGTGGTGAAGCTGTTCTTGACAACTATCACCTCTCACCCTGTTTGGGATCGTGCGAACGATGCCGGTATTCTGCGTATTCCTCTTTATGAGGAAGATGACTGGGATTCCCTACCATTCGTAACTCAGATCTGCCCCATATGGACTCGTCCCAAGCACAATTTCTATCTTGCCATTCATCTTCAGTTAGCAGGATACTCAGTGTATCCAATCAGCTTCCCTGTGGTGCCAAAGGGATCTGATAGAATTCGCATCATATTCCACGCACAGAACACAGATTCTGAAATCCAGGGACTCGCCCAGTGTACCTGTGAATGGGCCGAGGAGATGCTTCAGATTCAGAGAGATGGAGGCGGAGTCAAACTTCCCGCTGCCGCCCGCCATGCTTACAGTCTGATGACAAAAGAGAGTTTGAATGGCTCCAACTAGGCATTGTATATAGCGGCGGGGGCTGACTCAGGAGGCGTCAGGTACCCACAATTGTCCATAAAGAATACGGATATATACTATTGCAGTAGCTATAACGGGATTCAATTGCGACAGTAACATTGTAATAGTATCTGCAGGTCGTATAATTGAGTAGATCGGAGAGTATTTGTAGGCTGGTAAAGCCGGCCTTGGCCCGTATATTACGTATAATGAGGCCTTCCATCAGCATTGGCATCTCACTTTCAGTGAGTCAAGTCATAATCATGGAATGGCTAGACCCTGTCAAGAAGGGGCAATGCATGATCGAACGATGTCACTTTGCCAAGCTCAAATGGCCCCCGGTATACGTATACTACGCGTAATTTTTTTGAGGGAAATTAGTATAGATCCTTCAGACGCTACCTATGCAATCTTCGTCTTACTTGCGTCAGTAGCCTCTGTTCTCCATAGTCAGAATATGTTCTAGTTTCTATCATGACAAGCCACGGTATTTGGTGTACTGCAAGATACGAATGTAGCCTAAGATCTCACTCTGGCTGTTGAAGCCGTGGAGATATAGCAACGCCCAAATATCCACATATGGGGGCGAAATTTGGCGCTCAGGTATAAAAGGCCGAAGAAGAACTTGGTTGAGACGATCATCAGTCAAAAGAAAAACGGAAATTCATCACTCATTTCCCTCATATTACCATCGGAGTTCACGATGAGTTCTTTAGACCATAATCCACCAACACAGGCCAATGGAGCGTTGAATAGTTTGGCAGAGGCCAGCCTTCACTCCAATGGGACTTCCCAGACCGAAGAGATGCCCCTAACGCCCGAAAGCGGGTCAGATCTCGAAGTCAATGAATCGTCACCCGATTCCCCCATCGCGATATGTGGTATGGCCCTTCGCCTTCCTGGCGGATTAACAAGTCCACAGGAGTTTTGGGACTTTCTTGTAGCCAAAGGCGATGCAAGAGGCCGCGTTCCAAAGTCCCGGTACAACATCTCTGCATACCACTCTACCTCTGGACGTCCAGGAACCATTGCAACCGAATACGGATATTTTCTTGATGAGAGTGTCAAGCTCGGTAGTCTGGATGCTTCTCGCTTCTCGCTGAGTCGCGCAGAGCTTGAATTTGCCGACCCACAGCAACGTTTGATGCTGGAAGTCGTCCGGGAAGCCCTTGATGATGCCGGTGAAATGGACTTCAAGGTAAGCGATTCCCTGACAACTGATCATGAAGACCTTGCTGATATTGGCGGATGCAGGGTAGCGTGACGGGATGCTACATGGGAAGCTATGGTGAGGACTGGCTTGAAATGCAAAACAGAGACCACCAACAGACTGGAGTCAACCGAGTCGATGGCTACAGCGACTTCATGCTTTCTAGCCGCATTTCCTATGAGATGGATCTCAAGGGACCAACGTACGTACCTTGTCTTTGCAATTTTACAGACTGGGATATTGACTCAAGAATAGTATGACCGTCCGGACTGCTTGCTCTGCGGCACTTATTTGCTTGCACGAGGCCGTCTCCGCCATTCAAAGGGGTGACTGCCAAGCGGCAGTTGTGGGAGGTGCAAATTTGATCATGGCTCCTGGGATGACAGCGTTCATGACTGAGAAGGGTGTTTTATCGCCGGATGGCTCCTGCAAGACCTTCTCTGCTGACGCTAATGGCTATGCCAGAGGTGAAGCTGTTACTGCTGTGTATATTAAACCACTTGCTGCTGCTATTCGAGATGGCAACCCGGTCCGTGCGGTAATCAGGTCCACTGCTTCGAACGGCGATGGCAGAACACCGGGCATTGCGCAACCCAGCACCGAAAGTCAAGAAGCTCTGATCAGAAAGGCTTATGAGAAAGCCGGAATCACCGTAAGTCGACTCAGATTCAACTGTTGCGAGGTTCAAGGAATGATGGAAATGAGACTGACTTCTTTAAAGGACTTTTCTAAGACTGCGTTCGTGGAGTGCCATGGCACTGGCACGGCAGTCGGTGATCCTATTGAAACAAATGCTGTTGCGCGTGTATTTGGAGACTCTGGTGTTCATATTGGATCTGTCAAGCCAAACCTTGGACATTCCGAAGGTGCTTCGGGACTCACGGCCCTCATCAAGGGTGTTCTAACCCTGGAGAACCAAAAGATTCCACCGAACATCAAATTTTCAAGCCCGAACCCAAAGATCCCCTTCCAAGAGAGGAAACTTATTGTTCCATTGGAGCCAACTTCATGGCCCGAGTCTTGCCATGAACGAGTCAGTGTCAATTCTTTCGGCATTGGAGGATCAAATGCGCATGTCATTCTCGATTCGGCGCGCAGCTTCAATCTTTCCGAAGATACACCTGAGACAACCCATCAATATGAGCCTAGCAAATCACACTTGCTCCTATTATCTGCCAATTCCGCATCCTCGTTAGAAGTCATGACCAACAGCTTCCGGGACTGGGTTGGTCAGAACCCGGAAAGCATTGAAGACCTTGCGTACACCCTTGCGCATCGGAGAGAACGCTTGTCACACCGATCCTACTTAGTCGCCAGTGGTGATCGGCCA